TCAAAAGAATTATCATCATCTTCACAATCCGAAAACTATGTTAGAATGATATTTTAGTTCCCTGCATGTAAATAATGGTGACATACTGACATGTATTTAAAAAAAGAATCCTTGCAAGACATGAAAAATTGTTAGGCACAAAATTTCCTCATAGGCTTGTAGCAAATGAGGCAACGTTTTTGCTGAAGCTTATTTTACCCGTATCAGGGTAAATCATCAACTTGACGTCACGGACGTTTCATCACGGGTGAAAAATTTTGTCATACCATTTATAATCAGAAAAGTTTATTTTGAATATCGTCAGAAGTTTGCCAAAGTAAATCGTCACGCAGCATTGCGTTATCTTCTGGTTATCGTCATCCCTCATTGTGATGTTCTCAATTTCGACATCCCTTCGCCGTTTTCGTCTATGTCTGTTTTTTTCATGAACCAAACCCTAATATTTACGGTATGTTGGCGAAAGAAATCTAAGTTTGACAGGTTTTGATAACGGATGCGCGTGTGTGAGACAATTAACAGATTCCGAGGTTGACTGAGGGGTTTCAGTCTGGTAACAGTTGATTACATTTCTAATTATTCTGTTTTGGGAGATCAGATTTAAGTCCCACACAAAAAGCGCGGAGTAGAAAAAAGCAAAAAGCCCGTAATCCCAGGGAGAAATTTGAAAGAAAATCACCTTTTTTATGACAAACGTACATTTTTAAATTTACAGTAATTCTACTGAGTTCCATAAAAGGGAAAATGAAATAATCTGCCTACATTGACAAAAAGCAACCAGCAACACAACCTTTCAGATAAAACCTTAGTTCATCACACTGTAATGTTGACCTAAACAATTACAAGCTGTAGATTATTAACATCTCCATTACTTTCAATATATATAATTTACCATTTCGCATTTTGACCCTCAATAAAAGCCGCATATACACGAAAGCGAGTGTCATGTCAGTCAGTCAGTATTACTCAGATAAATTAATACACTATAATCCATCAGACGCTTTAACCACCTACCATCATTGAAAATGAATCATTAAATTATAATGACGAGCAAAAAACCTAAAGCGTATTATCTTTGCAATAAGAATGATTAAACCGGTCGAGTGGTTAACCGTTTTATCTTGTTGCGATCGTTTGATTCAATTTCACTGATCGTTAAAATGTATAAATGCATATTTATCGTTAAAATCTGACCATTTTTGCCTTACTTTCACGATCAACTATTTAAATGTTTTTACGTTCCGTCATGGTTAATAAAAAAGGTTGAAAGTCAGAGCCGTATAGAACCAAAGAATCAAAATGAATACCCAAGGAGCAATCCAATCAAAATGGCCGAAAAAGTTTACGAATCCAAATAAATCCCATTGAATACAAAATATATATAAGGGCGTAGTTGTTCAGCTTAACATTTGAAAATGACGAAGATGCAACGTAAACTTGTATTCATTCAAAACAATAGTTTTCCGAAAAGCTTTCGAAAGTTAGATATATGTGAAAATATCACTATTTCAAATTAAAATTTCAACCCAAAATTCTGATAATTTCAAAATAAGATGTCTCATGTTTATTTATATTATTATGTTAATTTAGATTTGCTAACCGATAAAATTAGCTCGATTTCCCGAAAAAAATCTACCGTGAATGTCAAGAATTTTCCTGCTCGTAAAACGCTATATTTATTGTTATAATATGGTTTCCATGTCGAATATTTGACAACGCCCTGAAATGAATATTTAAGCCATTTTGGTTAGTTGTGTGGTCTAGAAGAATGTGTGACACCTAAACATGCACCTGTCGCGAGTTAGAGCCCTGGTAGTGATCCAGAGTCTATGAAATATGCCGTCAAACTACTGAATCCAGAGGTTGCCTCCAGTGATGTAGTGGGTTATATAGAGCCATATCAACCCGAAGATTCGGGGAAACCCAAACGCACTTGAATCTACCCAGTGAAAAAAACGGTTAGCGTGGTTTTTGGCGATTCAGAAGTGTGTGTAACGATATGGAGGTAACTAATTTTGTTCGCCTACTTTACAACCTATTGTTATATTCACTTGGCTAACACAAACAGTCCCCGAACTCGTAATAGAACTGAAATAAGGGAAATCGGAATAAAATTATTATCGCCCTGGTACACAAACTACGGGAGTACCTGGTTTTTAACAAAGAAATAGTCAATGATTCCATATAACCCACACTGCGAAAATACCGAAATTGGAAATTATTTACGTCAGTAGATAAGAGAGGCTTTATTTCATGACTTAGTTATGTATTTCCTATCGTGCTATTAAAATAGAATATATTCAATCATAAACAGCGTTGCGAAGTAGTACCGCGTTGTCAGATTTGACGAAAACCAGATACATCGTTTAGCTTTTTATATATCATTAGAGGGACTGTTATAGCAACACTAATAACTCGACCACTTTGTGAGTAAAGATTTATGTAGGCGGACCTCCAAGTTACGATTCTCAAAACAAAAATTTGATAACGCACAACGATAGGCCATATATGGTAATAGTGTTTTATGGGTATCTTTAGTACTTAGTACTTTCAAGAACTCAAATGATGTATATGCATATAATATATGAACTACCGAACTACCATTTTTTTGTTTGCCTTTCTTAATTTTCAGAGTGCAAAATAATGTTTCATGGCCAATGCAGAGCCCAGAGCTCTCTCAACACATTCTTTTATCTTTTTCGGATGGTCAAATGCATTGGAAATTGTACAGTTATGCTAAATCTTTTCCAATAGCATTTTGCTCATAATAATTCAGGATTACAAATTGTGATCGAATAATGGATAATGAAGGCAGATAAAAATGATTAAGAGGCCTATTTTGCTATATATACCAATTAACTAATTTCAAATTATTGGATACAAGAATATTTCAAATAAATATGTAAAACAGCTATGCCAAATAAGAAATCAAAAAGGGTAAAATTGAAACTTCAAGGGAATTTTCTTCAATAAAAATATTTTCACTCTTCGATTTTCAGTTATAATACCGTAGTTAAGTTGCAAAATCTTGTAGACAATGAAATATTATTTTTATGTTCCACATATTTGTTTAAAAATTTGAAACTTTAAAAGTGATCGATTTACAGAAAAACAGCGTAAAAGTAGTTCAAGTTTAAGCTTTTAATTCGCACAACGTCAGTCAGTCCATATTAGGTGAAATTTTCAGCGTTTACGGTGTGCGTGTGGCAAACACTGTATTTTGCTTACACAAAATTTTACATAATTATATCCATTTTTACAATTACCAGTGATAAAAAGGCAATTTTAAACCAGGCCGTTGCTTGATTTTGGAAGATATTATGGTAAAAAAATTTCCGACCACTGGGCGATAATGAGCGGTCGGATCGGCGTAAATTGGAAGCAAAACACCAGGATTCGCCTTATCTCAATGCTAAACAACTTGAAAACTATCCATCAAAATGAAGTAGTTAGACCGTCCGAGTTGAGAAAGTGAGTTTCAGCTTTTAAGGCGGCAATAATGTCAATTTATTAACAACGAAAAAATAGAACGCGCAGGAGGTCTGAAAGTTCACCGACCTTCCTCTTAACTTTCTCTGAAATTAAAATAATTGAGTAAACAATTTTTTAACCACGGAATTTCAATAATCTACGTATATCGAGATACAAAAACATCGAATTAAGAGCAGTATCATAGAAAAATTCCCAGATTAGCTCATATTTTATGAATTAAAATATAAGTGCTAATATACATAAAGGTAATTGTTGTCTTTAAATTTATTTTGCGATAAATTCAACTAAGGATATCTTAGGTAACGCCAAAAATCATACCATTATTATACTGATTGTTAGGAATTTAAAAAAAATGAATACACAAAAGTTTATAATATTATTTTCAATAGCGACAAAATGGAAAAAAACCGATGGCAAATACAAAATGGCGACATTCGAAGTAGCAATATAATCGTCGTCCAACAACTGACTCTCGAGTGCGTACAGTGGTGGAAATGTTTTCATTCTTTTTTTGTATAGTGAGTCTAACACCTAACAAGCATGAATAGTATGATAAATAGTTCTTTGAAACATGGTTTATACACGATTCAAACTTGATCGTATCATATTTCAGCCGGAGAATACGTATGTACAAACATGGCCGAACTAAAAATGCAATTTCTGATACGCTGAAGGTCAAGTCCATCAAACGATTCCCAAGAGTTTAAGCTTACGGTAGGTAATCAGAACGCCCAAAGTCCAAATAAAATATTAAAAATGAAATTATCTTCAACGAACGATTGCAGTATAGACTTGTGTGACACCTTGTTTTTACTCAGTGAAGCTTAATCAACAAAACGGGTGACAAAGATTGAAATACCCGTAATATCATTGAATAACGTTTATATCAGTTAAATTGAGATAAAAAAAACAAATAAAGTTAAACTTTTAAATATAAAACGGCAAGTAATATAAACACATTTCAGTCAGTGCAAGCTTGAGAATATGCAAATGTGGTAGATAGCGTCAAAGGAGCGTGAACACAGATTAACTGAGCGAATATAAGGCAAAGAAAATATGCCAGGAAAACGAAGCAGTAAAGCATGCGGAAAATTATATCAGCACTCGCGGAAAGCACGCCATTAAGTTGCATTCATTAAATCATTCAAATTTATTCCTCATATCTTTCAATATGTAGAAGAATATTTCGCCATAGATGATAAAGGCTTATAGAAACTATACGGAATTTAAAAAAGAGAACAAAAAAAAATAAAATCGGAAATATATGACAAAATAAGGCGCTCCAGAAGTGTTTGTACCAATGTAGGTAACTAATTTTGTTCGCCTATTTTACATCAAGTTGTGTAATGGGACTGAAACCTATGGGCAGGGAGTATATTTACTTGGCTATAACACAGACAGACTCCGAACTCGTAATAGAATTAAAATAAGGAAAATCGGAATAAAATAATAGCCTAACCCTAACGTGATACTGATACACACACTACGGAAGTACAAGAATAAATTCTTACCCATCGCCTTCGGTTCCATCTTCGTCCATAAGAGACTGTAATAGGCTAGCTTCCGTTGAAGGCTGCAGTAGTGATAGTGAAACGATGAATTGAAATAGTAATACATTATAAGTAATCGTATTATATAAAAATGACAAATGAGGTTGCGTATACGAGAAAAAATACATCCGGACTATAAACAAGAACGAAAATTAACTTTAAACATATACTTTAACATTTTTTATGATATATATACACGATGAAGTGATTCAAATACAGCAAAATTTTGGTAATTTGTCTTGTTTGGGTAACAGTAAAATAATATGCAATCTCCATAAAAAGTTTAAAATTTGAAACAAAATACTCGAACACCTGCCATAGTTTCAAAAAAACAATTTAATTGAGATATTTAATACCATAATTTGTTACGGCTTTAATGTGATTTGGTCAAAATACGCGATTATTGTGGGTTATGAAAAAGTGACAACTGGCATAGGAAAGAAGTCTTAATTTCTACAATATATCAATCACTAAATGTTGTTCATAGTAGAAAGTACTCTATGATCTCGTATCTAAAACTAGTAGCTCCTCGGGTTACACCGGAATATTTTGGTATCAGAATGACGGTTCGAATTCCGGATGTCTTTTGTTTTTGTGCGATCCTATATAATTATATATCCTATTTTAACTATCTATAATAAAGTGGGATACCTTGTTTGAAATGAGGAAATTTTAATATATATATATATATATTACTCTTACACTAATGCATAGTTCTTAGATTTCATAGTCGTGATTACAAACTTTCGTTATTTGGGGCTACCGTCAATTTTTCTTTTCTAAACTTGAAGTTGGAGTTGAATTCTGAACAATTGGAAGTCTAGATCGGGATACGGAGTTTGCTCGATGATAGCGGACGAAATATAAAAGATTACACACAAATACAAACAACCAAATGTACACTAAATAAAAAGGTGCTGTCAAATTCAAATTATTCTTGATTCATGCTAGACATTTATGCCGTTTTGAGGAATAAACAAAAACACTTACCGGGCGTTTTATATCAAAGAAGCCTTCAGGTAAAACTCCCCGTTCAACAGCTTCTTCTGTACCAGGCGGTGGTGCACCAGCGACACCTGGCGATGGCAGCTCGCCCGTGCTATAATGCAATAAAGAGAAATCAGCGACAAAGGCTGCAAGTCACAAATTGGTTGAAAAATACCCCCGTACATGAGAACATAACAAACGGAAGATTTAGCCAGATTTTCCGATATTATCTTTGAAATATAAAAAAAAAACACATACCCATCTTGCGCTGGAGGTTCCTGTGAATAGAAATGCGTTCAAGTTGAAAGTAATTTTTAATGTGCATTTCAATGTCAATAATAATACGCTTGGGCTTTGGATTTGTATACTTGATTTCAAAATAATAACCACAGAATAAGACAGTGACACTTAACCAATAATTTTAAGCCTATATCCAATCTCTTTAGATTTACGAGTATATACGCAAGCTTTCATTGTCGAATCTTGGTGGTCCCCACATACCGAAAAACACAAAAACAATACAATAAACTCACCTTGTGAACTATTTTTCCGTTCGGTATTGGTTTATCTTCAGAATCCTCTGGAACAAACAAAATACAAGCTTTGAATATTGTAACAATCACAATAATTGAAATGGAATACGTCTAACCAGTCTACACCACGTTGCGAAATTGTACATAATTGAAAATCAACAAAAAATAACTATCTCTCGCCTAACTGAGAGAATAATAACACTCTCCTAACAGCCGAGCAAAGTTTTTCTCAGATTATGGTGATATACCAATCTTACCTGTAAGTGAACATATAATTCCTTTCGCTAATTGTTGTTGGGTTCTTTTTGTTTAGATTTTTGTGCGTTCTACATGGCCAACATTTAAAACGAGATTCGACTGTTTTGTTATACTTCACTAGATTCTATTTAAATGTCCCAATGTACACACCCCCATGTGACCATTTTATTATTATTATTAAATCAAGTTACCTCCATCTTCTTCTCTTTCTTCTTGTACTCTTGATGGAGGTTTATTTGTAACAGATGGTGCAGGAATACTTGATCCTTGGCTTGATAAAGAATATTGACTCAAGGATTTAGCTTTAGATGCAGCATCCAAACCATGAACATCTCCTAAAGAAATATTTGCATAAAATAAATAATTTGATTCAAACAATTGCGCGCAGCTCATGGTCACTTATTACCACCATGTATAAGAGAGGCAAGTTACTATCCAATGCGATATGATAAAACCCCTTGTCTCTCGGGAGTTATTTCAAGTATTTACTGGTACTGGCATCTAGATTATAGTAACATTATAGTAAAGAAGCAACAAGTATTTACTCACATTTCAGAATTTAATGAAATTCAAAACATCAATACCAGTAGATATTGGTTGACACTTGAAGCAGTTCAAATCAGCACAGTGAAAAAACTTGATGAATAATATTTCTTGGATAATTTGATCTTATTGTCCAACTCATATCAATACCTGATGAAGCGATTGATCCTCTCTTTCCTTTTTTGTGAATCTGAAGAAATCCAGGTGTTTGTGATGTCAAGCTATCTCGTTTCCCAGCTTTTGGTTGACCACTTACACCTACTGATGTTATTGACAAGGGATGACCTGTCGTTTGAAAAACATTAAGACATTCTCAAGCCAAAAAATGTAACAACTCCTGGTGAAATATTTTATACATTTTTAATAAAAAAACAAAAAAATGACATCTGTGGTATGGTTGGAAAGTAACGAAGTCTCATCATATCACATTATATCAACTAAAATGGATTATTTTCAATGAATATGAATGGTATGAATTAAGTGTATATACACGATAAATGAAATAAAATTACTTACAAATGCCAAGTTTTCATCGAAATAAAAATCATGGTGAATCTCCACATAAAAGAAATGGATATATCTACAACAATTGTAAAGTTATGGTGGAAAAAATCGTTTCAGCAAAACTGCATAGCGCTTCAACTAGGTTAAATTATACAATACAGAGTACCAGAGTACAATTATACAATACAGTTAGCTAAAATATTTAGTTAAATCCACCTGAAATAGACTGATGAGTTGATGACATTCTTGTCACTGATCTAGACATCAATTCACTTATTTCAGGAGAAACTTTCTCCCATTCTTCTCTTCTTTTGCGAGCAAGATATGTACGTGTTTTACACAAGTCACGTTTGGTGGCATCAAGACCACTTTGTAGAACAATGCTCGCATGTTGCATGTTCCATTCTAATGCTTCTGATCTAATGAGAGAATCTGAATCCACGGGTAAAGGTAGATGACATACAACAACTTGCCGTGACTGGAATAAGAAAATCAATATATTTTAGTTTATTGAATATAACACAATGTAAATCCTATCCTATCCACATTTCGAAATTTTGAAAAAATTTTCATTTGTAGTAAAGTGTTCAGTGCTAAGAAAATTCCCTACACAAAAATCCTCCCTCGGCAAGTTCAACATATGGATATCTTCCTCATTGCAGGCAAAATTCAACCTTGACCCTAAAATCTATCCAGAGGCTTTTTTAATGTATTCTTTAATATATTACATCGCTGGGGAGACTAGGGTCAGTGACGCATGACACATTTTTTAATGACTTGAGGTGGGTCAATCCATCTGAAACAGGGGTGTGCAACAGGCCGCCCCCGCAGAGCCATTTGTTGTGAACACTCAGATTTTTCCCCATCAGACATAGAGTCCGAATTTGACAGTTTATGTTTAAAATATCGCTCATGTGGGTAAAAATACATAAGATCTTTTATTCTTGTCGCTGCATTGAATTTTCAATCATTTTGTCCCATGTTTTTATTACTGCAAGGCTAAGCAATAGCTGCATTTTCTTCTCTTGTCTTTCCCACATGGAGAAACAAATTTTATGCATGACCCGCCCAGATGCTTTAGTTAGTTATATGCCACTGACAAAAAATGTTGCACAACCCTGATCTAAACGAAATGACCTGACTCAAACTTGGACTCGAGAAATTATCAAAGGACTCAATGTGAGACTTGACGACAATTTTGATCAAGTTTTTGGAATAGAAAAAGAATCACAGTCAAATAAGATTTACTACACTGATTAATGTTGTATCTGTTGTTTTAGAATCGATAATGGCTTTTGTTCGATTTGTGGATCGAAACAGCAGTGATTCGAATTGGCTTCCTTACGTCTCACTTATTACCCCATACTATTTTTAAAGACTGGCAGGAAGACACAAATATTCAATAAAGCACTCAAATTTTCATTCAAGTCTCACCACATTCATGTATACAGGGAATTCATGTATTGGGTCCTTTCCTTCGTTTCCTTCAATTTCATCTTCTAATACAGTATATAGATGAACAGAGGGAAGATCATTCATTTCTTTGTTTTTAGGACTCAGTGGAAGAAGACAAGCTGAAAACAATTCATATCTGATTAAAAGGTTTTAAAGAAAAAGACGGGATAATTTTAATATTTATCCCGGGGAGAGAAAAGTCGATAAAGGGCTTAATCATATGGCAAACCATGGCCTCTCGTACGACAACCAGTCCATGTAAGTTGTGGGAAGAGTGGATCAATTAATTTTGAGGACGCATGAACTTGATGATGATAAAAGATGCAACCATCCAGCAACTACGTGAACCACCCTACGCTGCCGTGGAGTCCAGCAAACCTCTCGCACATAATTATCCCTCGCAAGGTTTGAACCTGCTAAGTAATCCGAAGTGCAATAGAAAGTGTGGTTCTAATACTTAGCATGCTGAGCCAACTGTCAAGCCCTAAAGCGTAGTAATAAATCCCATGTTGCTAACACAGATCAGTTTTAGGAATGGGCTGACCCTCAAATCATTGATTAACAGTACCGAAAAGACCAAAATCATATCAATCGTCTAAACATTTTGGAATTAAACATATCCTATCCGATGTAAGAGAGTACATTCTGGATTAACTAAGAAATAATCATGTAAATCATGTTGATACAATGCTGAATACTTTGAAAGTGGTTTACTTTTTTTATATAAACATTTTGGAATTTGGGAACTTTTGATGTACAAGATGTTTAGAAAGAAACAATCCACTCAAGTAGATTTAGAGGTAAAAATTGAAAACCATTAAATTTTGTAATAATTCTTACATCTCTCTGCATTCCACATCATGTTGATAGTATGCATTGACTTCAATACTATACTTGGTTCCTGCTCATTCGTGGTTGAATCCAGAATATCTGAATCTGACAAAACCTTGCATCTCAACTTAACCTAAGAAAAGGTTATTTCAATTCACCATAACACAAAACGAACATTTTTACAACACACTAATAGCCTAATGCAGTATCATAACCAGTATGATATCCAGAATTTACAGTTTATTTTAAAATTCAACTCCAATATTTGATGATATATTGTCCATAATATTTTTGAATTGCATGGAAGAATTTGTTGTGATTTTCGAGCATGTTATAGAATAACGAAACAAGAAAGACCAAGACTTCAAAATTACAAAGTAATGCAAGATACAACTATAAGCCATATCTTTCATGAGATAAAAAAAAACCTATAGCCCTCACAGGAAGACTCGCAATAATCTAAGATTAAAAATGCTTTTCATGAGTTTCTAATCAAATGAATGGCAGAGGTACAATTAATAAGACTACCTACATGAAAGAAAATTTAAGTCATATCTGAAAACCTATGTAGAAAAAGACACCTCCGATAACCAAATGGTAAAGTATCAAATGTACTAGCTTACTTTTTCAACAGTTGTATCTTGTGCTACGGCTCTCTCATGTCTCATTGCAGTAATAAGTGCTTGTGGATTCACCAGTCCACCCAACCATACTGATGATAATTTGCCCTGATAAAATGTTAAGGTAGAAGTGAATTTAATATATTAAACTGGATGATATGATAGCTATAAAGAAAATTATTACATTATTGTTGATGCTCACTATACTAATGGCAATATTGAAATAATCAGTTACCACACTACTGCTATTTTGGTAACCCAAAAAATGTCGCGATTTACTTCAGCGATGGATAATGGATTAAATAAGATGGAAAATGAATATGACATTTCAATTCAAATATAACTGTTACTGCACAGTGCACAAAGACTTTTATCCCAAATGTATGGGTCAGTATTCAAAATTGAACTATATAATTCTTTGAAAACATATTATTTCTTGAAATACACAATGTAAAAATGGTAAAGACTAACACAGTACAGGCTAACAGGACACAAAATGTAATAAGATTATACTTCATAATCATCCCACGAGAGAGGAAAACCGACAATATGACTTATTTAGGTGGAAAACTACATTCGCTTATTGAATTTGTAGCAAGATTTACAATCAGTCGAGCTATTTACAAAATCTTGACCAGAACAACCAAACTTGAGGCTGAATATAAAATGACTCACAACTGGTGATTTTGATCCAGCAGGAACCATTCCCTCCTTTATCCAGGATTTGAATTGTTTGTATCGTAAACCCATATCAGACAGCCATGTAAGTAGAGTGTGAGTACTTGGTAAATCATTTGGATGTAACCTAAACAGCAGAATCGATAAACATTTGAATGACAATGACTGAAATGAAAGTAATGTAAAAAAAATGATCAAAGATTTTCAGTTTTCACAGCTTTTGAACTGTCTAAAATACAAACCTTATAATGTAATAGCAACAATCTAAAATAGATACAGATTTCATTCAAGTTGTGACAAATTGCAGCTAAGATATAGGTCCATAGCCTCTCTGCTGTTTTTTACCAGTTTAGTAGTTACCAGTTAGATATCACAATGCAGTCAATACTCCAAAAATTCAATCCTAATCAGGCATGGGACCGATATGCAGACATCAATATTTCCACCATGTGAAAAATACTTCAAACATTTCAAATGCACACCAACAAAATTCATCAGTGTTATTTAAAAGAATGCCACTTTAGTCAAAATCAATGTTTCTACTATTTAAACAGATCATCAATTGCCAAGTTTAGCAAATAACTCACCATGACTCTGGTACATTTTCTGCAAGCAGAGCTTGAGCAGTTTCTTGTAAAGTTTTAGGCAATTTATAATCAGACATCAGCATGAGTGATCTACGCAGATGATACAATTGTTGATATATGTGACATAACAGTTTATTGAACCAAACACATTCTTTCATTAGCACAAATCTGAAAATTAAAAAATTAAGAGTTGACAATTGCAGAACAGAAGGACAGGCAATAAAATGAAATCAAGGCAGATTAGATTACTAATCCATGTTGGATGGATATGGTATGGTTGATGGACAAAACACAAGTGATTCATATTATTTTGAACAAAACCATCAAATGTCATGGATGCAATAGCTGACTGATTCACAACCTAATATAATACATTAATAAATGTTCCTTTTTTCCATTTAAATAAAGCAATTTTATCCAAAGATATATCATCACTAGCTTTTGCTTCAGTTTAACTTGCTAATTTCAAGATCAGCCCAGGAGTTATTGCTCAATAAGGGTTCAAATGCAAGAAGTACTCTTGCATTCCAAAAAAAAAGAATCTTTTTTCTTCTTTTAGTTTTTGTTTTTGGGTTGGTAGCTACATGCAACTTTAAATGTTTTCAAATCCAGTCAGTTTCGACCACACTCTAAAATACTTCATATTATTGCATTTGGCTTGTGTATTTTTTTGAATCGTGTGATATGGAGTATTTTATATGAACTCTGTCTATCCTATAAGCATTGCTGAAATTACCAGTTGTGATTCCGCTTGTGAAACATTTGAATCATGAATAATATTCCACAATGAACGTTGCTACATCATTCACATACCGTAAATAGTGATCAATAGATTGCGTAAGATTATTATGCTAATTCAAGTACCCACCCGATAGATTCCGGAAGTGGATTTTCATGCGGAATGCCAGTACTAAGCACAGATGGTCTGTGATATGGAAAGTCATAATCAGTGAATAGATCTCGTTGTGTTGATCCAAGTTCTAGTAATGTAGGAAGCTGTTCTGAACACATTTCCAGAGAGGTTTGAAGAGATGATAGTGACAAAGGAATCTTTGATTGTGTTTCTTCAGCAGGTTTTGCGACTGCTACACTTGTTTCATATCCTGGAAACGAATGATAATTGAAAATTTAATTTTGAGATGCAAGAAATGGAAATAAGTTTTTAGAATTTGAATTGTCAGAATATATTTATATAGTATATGATAACCATAAGCTATTATTTACATTGTGAGCATAAGATGAATATTAGGTCGGATATAAACAATGATATCAAAGCAGAATTATCCCTTCATCTATAATCTATATGAATAAAAAAATTGATTAGATATGTAATTCCAATCGGAATATTTCTTTAAATTTTTGTGTTAACTCTTCTCAAAGATAAAGAGCTGAGCAGGAAAAATACACGCATTGAGAATCCCAATGTTAAGAGTTACTGTAGTGTGATAAATACCATACAAAAAAGTCAAAATGCTACCTGGTTGTTGTGATGCTGTGAACAATTCTTGCAACTGCTCAATAAGTTTTTCGCTGGTTTGAGTTGTTTTCCATTGTAATGCTGATGGATGTATAGAGACTAATCTTGCCATATCAATGTCATCTGGCATCTCAGCTTTCAGCCATTCAGAATAATCTATAATCGTAATGTAATGAATACTAAAATTGCCAATTAATGAAAGACAAGGTACATTTCATACCAAATGAAGGGGTTAATACAGCCATGTCCAACTCAAATGCCTTCTGATTTTGCCATGAGACGAACATTAAATAACATGTCATACACCATAAATTACAGTTTAAATTTGAAATATGACGAATGTATATTGGCTTAAGATATAGACACCATAAAAGTTCATTTCTTCAGCTAGTGCAAATCTGTTTCGAAACTTTTCCAACTTTTGAATATCCACTGGCATCTTTGACAATGCACAACGTAATTGATTAGCCATGTTCTCGTTCTTGCACCTGCTCCTATTTGAGATTTTTCACTATTGAGGAGAAAGGTTGTCCCAAATATATCTATTGCTGACTGACATTTATTGTCACTTGCTGTAGATCGAGCAACTTTTCATCAACAGCGTAATTTTTGTAAAACTTTTTCATTACTCAAAAAGAGGTACCTCAAATCAGTGGTTGCCTTTTAACTGAGTTCAAGTATATATTCTGTTGACTCCCACACCGGAGTGTAGAATGGATTCATGAAAATTTTGAATAAAATGTCGAGTACTTGTTCCGAATTATAATTACACTCCAGACACATTCCCGCAGCTCCGGGTCAGCTATATGGTTTGGTCAATTGATTGTGGCGCAATATCACATCACAACACATCACGATGATTATTAAATGAAAGTATGAAATTAATAATTTAATATCTTACCTTTGAAAGACATTGTGGAAGGTGGTGCAGGAATTTCAACATTGTGTACAATGAACTTGGAAGTACTTGGCTGACTAATAGCTTGTGAAATGACATCTTCAAGCAAAAGATTCATGAAATCCTAAAGTTACAAATAATATAGTGATTATGTCAAATGTGATCAACATTATTGCAATATAGATCATAGAGATTTTGTGAGAACGGTACAAAAAAAACAAAATTTGAATGCAAATAAATTCTTCTATATAACTGTACAAACAACATCAATTTTGAAGAAACTTATTTTACAATATTTATTTTAATTTAAAAAAAAAATGAAGAAAATTATGCACAAAATTCAATTTTCGTACAAAGTAATGGTGAAGGATGCAAACTTCAAAAAACATTGGAAACAGAGGGTGGCCCTAGAATCTAAAAATTCTTGTAGTATAAGTTTAAATTAAATCAACTGCACCAGTCATTACATTTCTCCAGAAGATGACTGGTTTACATTTTGACCTTTCTGTATTTCAGAAGGAAATTGACAATGACAGACATTGCTGATTCAGTGAAAACACTATCTATGTGTAGATTAACATAAAAAGCAAAGATATTTTTTATAATGGGGGATGTATAACAAATTAAATTAGAAAAAAATTACCTGATCTTGTTGACATGTAATCACATCATCATAAAGATTTGTAATCAGTTGTATGCAGTGTGCAACTCCAGATTCTGAGTGAAAAAAAAAAAAAAACGTGAATAAATGAAAATAACATTGAATATATTTCGTTTTATTGCCAGTCAAATAAATGTTGGGTACGAGACACCACACACCAAAGTCAAGGCGAAGCACAGGATATCCAAGTCAATGCACTCGCAAGTCAAAAGTAAAGCTATATTCAGTCAAAGCCGTAGTGGATTTTACAAAAGGCAGTGAAATGGATAAATATGCGTTGCAAAAACTTTAAGACTTCAAACTTCCACTTTGCATTAAACCAGTAATAGTTTTAAAAACGAAACTATTATTTAATCATGTAACAAGCTAGTGAATTCCTTATTCATTAAATACAATATTTTGTTATTTCAGTTACTTGGTCAAAATTATCCTAAAATCTTAGGTCTGGTTTCTCTGGTGGTCAGTCGACCGATTTTGACTAAATAAATCTACAATTCCTCGCTGTCTGATGAATATTAAAAGGATGATGGTTACCTGTGACAATATGTGATAATGCTTGGTGAAGTACAGAGTCAGATAGTGCATAACGTCGGGTTAACCCATGCCAACCAAAACACTGTCCGGTCAATGCAACACAGTGACAGACACAAACAGCATAAAACAATGCACTTGATGATGCCTGCGATTCTGTTATCGTCGTCAATAAGGCTTCAGGGATCTAAAATAAAAACAAACAAAAAATGTATTATTTTCGATGTCACACTTTTGGAATATTGAATACATCAGTATGCACATAGGTCTAAATATGGTGACAGAGATTGTTGGTTAAAAATATAGGATTTAGAAGCCCTGGAGGGCTTCGATGTGCTGATGGTAACCCTATGTCCCTCACTTGCTATGGGTGTAATGCAGGATATATATCTTAATATTCTTAAAGATATGCTACACTAAGCATATGTATATATTTGGGATTGGTATATACTAATCTAAATTTGTGTGTTTACTTGCAACAATTCATGATTGAAACAAGAGTATGAAGAATCAAATTGAGCCAATATGATTGGCTACTTTAAATAAAACATCAACTTGATTCAATGTCTTAGATATTTTTTCACTGACATTTGAACATTCTCTTATTTTGCTCTAAGCATTATCTTGTGAGCATTATTCAATCATCTATAAAAATTTAAAGCGTTTACCTTATCCAATGAACTTATGAGAGAAGATTTGAAAATCTGAGTATTTCTAGAAGAAACATCTGGTTCTACCGATGACTGAAAAAGCAAAATAAAAGCATGGGTATCCACAAAAATATCACCAGCAACAATGCAATGAAATAACATACGGTGCAATTTCCTCAATGGCACTTGAATTTATCAATTCATATTAATTCCAATCGACATTGAAGGACTGACATTGAGAAAATCACTAACAAAACTTGATTCAATAGCATTCAATACTGTATAATTACCAATGTAATATCAATCAAAGATTTCCAAGACAATTTATACAAATATTGAGTCATGGTTGGTGGGAGAGTAAGACTTGGTCGTGTTGTCAACCAAACTAAAAAATCTTGGTGCTTTGCTTTTCTTCTCAGCATGTTGTGCCCCATCTGTAAAAAAATTTAAAAGCTACATGCATGGTGATCTTAAAAAATGAAAGGGAAACTCGAATACCAAATGAAATAAAAAACGAAATAGCACTGATGATACAGATGATATTCTCTCTATGATATTCTTCTATTGTGACAAATAATTCAACTCCAGGGTAAAAGTAAGAAAAACTCAAAGTAAAATTAAAGCAATATGAAAATATCTACGGTAACTCAATCATTTTATGAAAAATTTCTCACTTTTGCTTTGACATGACTCTAGGCAACAGTCACGATGAGAAACTGATTTTCAAATGATAGAAATATTTCCAGTTTGATATACAGAATATTTAAACAACAGAGTGATGTGTTTGGCATAAATTTAAACCCAACATATTTAACCAATGCTAACCTAGTTGGGTCCAACATTCCAACGATCACATCCACCATTCAATTTCATACATTTTAAGCTGTAACCTCAAAACTGTACAGAATTTGGTTTTTGGTTGCAATGGTACTTCAAAATGTTTATCAGTTTAAAGTAAAAGTCGGTTCAAAATTCGTGCATATATACAATTTTATTGATGAAACAATGATATCAGTTTGTCTGATACATTTACAAAACTTGTACCTCCATCTTCTTCATTATCTGCAATTCCACCAAGAATACCACTTTGTCTACTAATGTTTCCGATTCTTGCCAAATGAATCTGAAGATCTTCGAAAAATCTGTTAATAACGTGAATATTATAAGCTTGTCAGGTTCAGATCTATGTTTCACCTCAAAGTCTTACACTGAAAAAATCCAAATCTCACATTTTTATTTAACCACATAAGCTTATTTACAGAATTCAGGAAACTTGCCCTGCTGCTTGTTTATATTTTTTAGTCTAAATAGTCAAATGATAAAATACATACTTGCTTGGAGCATAGTGAAGTCCGTCAATAACCAACCAGCTATCTTCTGCATGAGCTTGTTCAATTGCATGAGTAACTTCAGGTTGACAACCATCACCAACGGAAACAACATGAGCATTGACTTTGCAACTAAAACAAAAGATATGTGTTAAATATTTCAATATTGATGGCTCAATTATTAGCACACTGAATCTAATTGTTGATGTTGCATGAGATAGGATTTACATATTTATCCCGGGTGAGAGGTGAGGGATAAGACGGCTTATTCATATCAGGCCTCTCGTCCGGTTACCAGTTCATGTCTGGTATGGGATTACTTAGCCAGTTATTTGTTTTATATCCATGGACTTGATGGTGGAGGAAACCATAACCGACCAGTGGTCACGTGGAACATCCTACAATGTCGAGTAGTCCAGCAATCCTCTTGCATTTAACTTATCCCCACAGGATTTGAACTTAAACCCACGCAGAGTAATCAGAGGTGCGGTGGCGAGCATATTCCTATCACTTAGTACAATGCGCCACATTGCCGAGTGCTAAGCATAGTTAAGATTTCAGATAAGTAGAATCTTAGTAAAGATCCACACATATCACAATATCCAGATTCTAAGTGAGATATTACTACTTCAATTATTTTTTGAGCAAATACCTGAAACATATGATAATGTCCAGCTATATACTAAAAAAACTACTTTACCAAATTATCATTATTTATAATATAACTATACCTTCCGGCCAGGGTGCGAATTGCATCTACTGGATTCATCTGTAAAGTTGCTTGAATTTGGGGATCTTGTCCATCAGGTAAAACTATCATTATTCCTAATGTATTCATCACATCTTTGAAAATTCTGTCATGATCAGGTCCAGTCGATGATAGGAATGTCTGCAAGAAAATCAATTGTAAAAAGATTTACAAGATTAATGATAAAAACTCAAAACAGTCCCAAAGTATCAAAATACTAAGAATGGTACTTTATTATAGCAATTGTGCATATACAATATACTGAACATAGCCACATCCTGTGACCATTTAAAAACTAGTAGTAACTAAGCTAGTAAAAACTAGGATATATAGTAGTTTTTGAAACTCAATTACTCATTTGACCATTGAGTCCTTAATAAAAGTAAAAAAGGTTATTTTCAACCTCTTCGATGCTTGTTCCTTCTGCATTGTCAGTGACATATTTTTCCAATGCTGGTAAAAATCTGTCTGGTCTTAAAGTTCGTATGAGAAGTAATTTATGGAAGTCAGAATATGTTTCTGATCCATCTTCGGCTTTTTGATTTTCAACAGTTCTCATTGGTAAATTCACAGCCTTGCAAAAAAAGAGAATTTTTGAAATACATCCGGATAAACATAGGTTAGGCATAACTTAATTTCTTGCTGATAAGTCGGCCTAGCGGGTAAAATGAGGCAAATTTTGAGTGTTTCCATATCATCACTCAACAAATCAGAAAATTTAAGCACCAATGTGCGCTCATAATTCTATATCTATGTCTGGCAAAGTCTATTAGAACGAGATCATGTTTATTTCAGTAGAAAGGAAATAACTATTGTGCCCGACAAAGCAATAATTCAGTGTAAAAAATGTAGCAGCAGTCAACAGCCCATTAATTGGAACGTTGCAATAACCCATGAATATGATGTGAAAGGTACTGTACCACCATGGGTTAACTACTGTGCTGTCTTGTCTGGTGTCATTTTTTGCTAAATTTGGCAAAACCGAAGGGCCGCTGTTTCTTTTTGAAGAATAAATATACAGACCATTCAGCGTTGAATACTTAAAAAAAAATTTATCAACCCTAAGATAATTGTGCTTGAGAATTATGCGAAAAAAGACTGACGACTGAAAAATCAAAATAGCTTTAGCCACTCAATAAGACGACCCCAAAAAATCAGGTCAAAATATTGGATCCATATTTCGTCTTATTAGCCAGAAAATACAGTATATCCACCATACATATGCTTACCGTAGTTATGAGTTTACAGGAGGTTAGAATTATTATGGTTCCAAAGTTTAAAATGTTGACCAAATACTATGTTCGTTAAAACATCATGTTAACATCACTAACAAACAGATAAGATGAGCTCACCTCAGGTTGAGTACATTCATACCACTCTCTCCAATTGTCAGCACATTCAGCAACCTGAACACATATTCCTTCCAAAGGTCCAGGTAATACTGAGAAAGCAAGTAAGTCTTCCCAATGATCCTCAGACATCCATGTTGGAACAGGAGCCTGAATGTAATATGGAATATCATGTAACAAGAATTATGCCACAAATGAACTTGATGAAAAAGATGAACAAATTCATATATAAAACAAGAGAACGATGCTCGAATTCTGTGGACACGAAGGCCAAAACAGAGTAGTACAGGTATGCAATCTGACACAGTAGACTACAGGTGCCGTAGACTTCTCGACTTCGCCTGACCACCAAAGCGTTAATAAGAACTTGGAACCGCAACAAGGTGTGCAAATTTTAGTTTTGATGACATCATCGTACACAAAAAACTAATCCCTTAGAGCCCACAGTCCATAGAGATTTTTTAATTAGATAAAAGTAATAGCCTTCTGGCAAAGAATACAATCTTCAACCACTGAAAATTTCGAAGCAATTCATAGAGTGGTTGATGAGAAAAGCGATTTCTTCATAACAACAAGAAAATTTTTTTAACAAAAACAAAATAATCCATATATATACACTTTGTGTCAACAATTGACAATTGGATTTCTGCTTCATATACAGATGATTTATAGAGAAATGGAATTTACAGTAGTCTAACAATGACAGTGTTCATGATTATGGAGTTCAATTTTTCAATTCATATCAGTTAATAGTTACACCTAATAGCTGAAAGTTAATGGACACAAAGTGTACATATAGATTATGTTGCTAAATTGATGTTGTTGTTGTTGTTGTTGTTAGGGTGACTGTTTTCATCGCAACAAATGAATGAATCAATTTCAAAAACCCAAAAAGATGACATTTCACCCAAAACTTTGCTGTTCCATTTTAACTCACAAAAAAAACTTTATAGGATGTATTGGAACACTGTCAGGTGTTTCCACCGATCATCCACTTTTCAATTATTACCTGACACTCAAAATCTTGCAAGCTGAGAGAAACTCCTCCTCCAAATCCTGGATTTCCATGAATCAACAGTGTTAATTCCTCTTCAGAAAATGAAGATTTCTTCATAGAATCTTCCTCTTCCTTGTCATCTTTTTCTTCTTGCTCTTGAGATGAAGATTCTTTTTCGTCTTCTTGTCTCATGGATGTATCAAGTTGTATGCTCAAAAGAGTGAGTGCAGCTATGTGTAGTCGATGATCTGGCTGAACACTGAAAATATATTTGGAATACACAATTAGAAAAGCAGAAAAGTAGAAATTACAAAATATGATTGAGAGATCTTAGAGTTTTAGTGACAACGAAGTCAAGTAAAGTAGCAAGATAAAAATAATGACTTCTAGAATAATAACTAAAAATGTACAATATACTGAAACTTTTTCAAAATAATTTAAATAATATACAAACCTATGGTAAATATGTTCGAAAACACGAGCAGTAACAGCATCAACAATTTTTTTCACATCATCAGAAGGATAGTTGCTATATTCAACTCCTTCTGTGGGAAATTGTGAAACTGTTGGAATCACAATTTCCAAATGCGATCTTTTTCTTGCAAGCTCTTCCTCAGAATCCTCTTCTTCTGTACTTGTTTTACCTATATAAAAAAAGTCGTTGAATGTAATGAATTTCTGATGCCACTTTGGTATGCGTTAAAACTCATGAAGACATTTCTCCTAGAATTCAATTCCAAACCCCAATCCTGACTAAAATCACAAAACCGCAGAGAGCGCATACCAAACTAGCACCGAATTTTGTATAGAGAAGCATGGGATATTAACGCCCTACTCAAATGAGATCACATTTTCTAAATAAAGCCTATGTTTTTATGGGTAGCTGCATAATTAAGAAAAAAATAAACTTGACAATGACACCCATTTATGTGTTGACAGTTGACTTATCAGAACTGGTAAATGAATATGAGGTGTAGTTCACCATAAAGCTAATCTGTCCTCATCTTCATTAATCCACATAGATAATAAAAAAAACTAAATTTTATAACTTTTTCTATTTCAAGAAAGTGCTCCACATACCATCAGTTGCTTTATCATGACTTGCATCAGTTTCAGTGGCATCTTCTGACAATCCCTCTCCTGAAATTTAAAAATTCACCAATATAATCATAAAATTTTGATATTTGTGGAAAAAAATTCTCAAAACTATTTCGTTAATATGTGGTTGAATAAGTCAAACGATTAACTTTTTTCCTTTAAAAAATTCAATTTATCTATGAAATTATGATGATAAAAAAATAACTGAGTGTATTCCAAACAAACTTATCATAAGACTCGGCGGTGTGGCGCATCTGCTAAGCGATAAGAATACGCTCGCCATCGCAGCTCTGTTTACCCTAGATGGGTTCGTAGATTCAAATCCTGTGGAGGATAAATATGTACGAGAGGATTGCTGGGCTCCTCGCTGCTGAAGGATGGTTCACATGACCGCTAGTTGGTTATGGCTTCTTTCACCATCAAGTCCATACATCTAAAACAAAAACTGGCTAACTAATCATATACACGAAATGGACTGGTAACCAGAACTGAGGTATATGATTAATTCGTCTTATCTGCTTCCCTATCCCTCGAAATAAATAAAATCCTACGTACACAATAATGTAAGTATTAGCAGGAAAAATAAACAAGAGTACAAACAAAGCTTGTTCGACTGACACACTTACATATGAAGTAGAATCACTGTTAGAATAAAAATACACAAGTTTTATCATGGAAGAGAAGGTGCAGGGTAGGCTGCCTATAACTAATTGTACCACAAATCGACATGGACAATAACATTGGCCTAGATCTAGAGGGAATGATATGTGACAATTGCTAGAGCTGTAATAATCATATGAACTCTTACTAAACCACTGGTTATTCTTCTCAATCACCACATGCATACCGAATATACATGGGCCAGATATCAGTGCGTCTCAGTAAATAAATCAAAATAAAAGACACGATCCCTATCTGGCAATGATTGACCTTCCTCTACTCTACACAAATGTAAAGAATAGAAATTTCCACCTCAGGACCTTTCTGCAAAATGTTCCCTTCATACCAGACTGTTTAAAATAAAGCACCAACCTTCCTTCTTTCCTCGTTTCATAACCTTAGACGCGCTTCCCAATCTTAATTTTGATCTTCTTCTTTCTTGTAATGCTGATTTATCAGGTGTAGGACTCGTTCCATCATCACTCAGATCTTTTGCTGCTTCTTCTTCAGCGTAAGGATTGATGACTTTAACATCATCAAGAACAAAATCACTGTCGGTATCTTCTTCTGAATCTTCACCCACAGACATATCAAACAAATGACGGAAAAAGGGCAATGGGATCTAAAATTTAGATAGAAAATGAATAAATTGTTGTAAAGTAAAAAATATTGCCAACGAAGAGAGTATCAGAGTTGCAAGCTATCCCCCCTTGTTTAGTTTTACTTGGGATCCATATGAGGCGGTTACACTCAGGATGCTTGAAAGAGATAAAGTTATATTTTATTTACTGGCTCAGCGGTAGCTGAATTTCATTGTACATGCTCATAATATAACAAATTTACATCCAATCAAAACTGATACACTGAGCATAAAAATAAATTTTGTACTGTTGTGGCTATAATACTTGATGATATATTATACCTGATAATGAGGATCAAGTGCAGGCATTGCTCTACATATTGTATACAACAGAGCAGCTCTCTGTGCCACAGGAAATAATTCTTCTGATAGTTCATTCAAATTTGCAAGCAGGTTTTCAACTGCTTTCAACTCTTCAAATACCTGAAAAGTTATAAATTAAACAAATTAACCATTAGGAATATACCGGATTGGACACTGATTACATTATGTTGGTATTCAGAATCAACGAAAAAGTAAAATATTGCTGACCTCATCAAAATATGTTGTATGTAACAGCTGGTTGGCAAGCATGTAATTTGAGCCATTATTTCCGTAATTTTAGAACATTTCAAATGTAAGCATTGTCCATCATAATAACATTACATTCGATGTACCTGAGTTTTCATTTCAACAACAGAAGAGATAAACTTCGTTGAATTTTCAATTTGTCGAGATTCAACTTCTGAGATAAGTTTGCCATTTAAAATATCATCAAGTTGAGACAAGGTACGTCGATGCTGTCGAATCGCATGCATGATCAGTTTTCGCTCACGGAATAATTCTGGTCGCACTCGACATAAGGCACGGTTTAGCAAATCCTCCTGAATAAGATAATGATTCCTTCAAAATCATTCTTATGAGTTTATTCAAGGCTATATACATATCATATCACTTTGAAATTAGGAGCTATTTGGTATAAATGATCAATCCCAAAGTATTTAAAGGCAATACAAGGATATTTAGAATACTTTTGATAAAATTGTATTGCAAAAATCATATAGTAAAATTAACAATGAATTGCAGAGTAAATACAAGCATATATATAAATAAAGGCATGAAATGACAAACCTGGAGAGTTTCAGTGCTTGGTATATAGCTTATTAGTTGAGATGCAGCAATAATATTTGGGTGCAACATAGACGCAGGCTGTGCAGTGCTCATGCATAAACTAGAAAAGTGCAAACACACAAAAAGAAATGGAAGAGTAGTGAGTGCAAAACTGTTTGTGCAGCTGTTTAGATAAATGATAGATGATGAATAACATAATATAATAATAACATAACAACAACAGCATGACATAATATTAACATACAGAGTAAGCTCAATACTGCAGGTATGTCTCATTCTGCTATTTGGAGAAATCTCATAGCTGAAATCTACGTAAGTAGTTATTAAATAGTAGATAATTAATTTTGAAACCCTGCCATGGTGAAAAAATGACAATACATAAGACAAACACACAGGGGACGGAAATTCAGCGAAAAGTTGTCACAATTTCAGAAGAGGATTAAAACATAGAGAGGGAGAGAGATTTTATTATTTCGTCAACCAAAGAACGATGAATTCGTTAAATAAAACAATCTAAAGCGGCCAGAATAATGTGATGGAAATTTAAAGACATGAAAGTGGGCAATCTCTCCTTGTGACTTAGAATAAAAGTGGAAAGCATGAGTTGATATCTATATTATTGCTTTAAGCATATGAGGACTGTGATGTCACTTATGAATACAAGTGAGTAATATACCCAGCAATATTTGAGTATCATAGTTACAATTGTGACACAGATAAATCTTATTCAACAATGATCAATATAATAGTTTTACCTTTTTTATTTTAGAAAACAGTTTCCAAATACTGAAGTGTGCAATTACAAATACTACATGACCCCAGCAATATAAACTTTTTGTGTGAATAAACAATAAATATATACATTGTAAATCCTAATATTTGTTATTTGAAACACGGATTTATGAATCTTGATTCCTAAAAATCGCCAACTGAAGTGCAATTCTGAGAACCTAATAATTTTGTACATGATATGATAAAATAGATAAGATTTGAAATTGAAATATACTTTTGAAAAAAAAAAAGATAATAAAGTATTAAAGTTAGACAATATAATAATTTGTTTATTCACTTGAAATATCACAAACAATAAGCTTTGTAATATTATGCATACCGGAATGAATCAGGACATACAAGTCTTCTTCCAACCCATCTTATTGTTCTTGTTTCATCAATAGAATTTTCACCAACAACCCGTGTTGTGTTTGCATGATAAATTAAAGGTCTTAATAAATTTCCAGACTGTTGTTCACAATCCATCAACATCAATGTATGACCTGGATATTGTGTTAGGTGTATTAAAGAGACAATAGAGATAACATCTCTTTCCATCAAATACTAAGTTTATTAGTAAGCTTTTCAAAGACAGATTCAGTCTAATACATGATACCCAAGATAAATTTACTGCATTAGACTGGTCAATAACTTCTTATGCTTATACCTAGTACACACTACATATTGAAATGATGTATCATTCATTAATTGAGTCAAGTTGGCTCAGAATTATTTTTTGCACTTGCATATAATTTTAAGACGATATGATGATGATGAGAATTATGATACTTGAACACTTGAACTTCTGTTTGTGTATGATTACACCCAAAAGATTCAGTAATCTATAATGCTTCTCACAAAGGTTATGTTTGGTTTAGAATATGTTCTAAATGACTGGGTTCTGTTTTTTGGATCACTGTGTAGATTGTATAGACCATGGGTGTCAAACTCACGGCCCTCGAGCGGCATGCGGCCCCAGGGAACTTCCAATGCGGCCCTCGAACGCCTAACAACAATTGTAATATTTGGTAAGTTCTATTTTTATCCGACTGTAATACATTTTTCAAACCTTTCAAAGTGAAATCGATTATTCAAACAGAAAGCGACATTTTACAGAAAATAGTTTTGAAGAATTACCGTACATATTTTTTTCTCTCATTTTGACCCAATTATAAATGTTTGGAAACACCTATAGATGTGAATAGCTGTTTTCATTTCTGAAATTGATCAAACATTCTCAACGATCCAAATTAAACGATGATAATGTGACCACGTTAATTAGAGTTGGTACTGTAAAATCATTTCAGCCTGATATTCGTATCGCAATATATATCACAAACTACAGCTATCTAAAAATATGCTTCAAGTAGACATTATCAAAATACATCAAAAACTGTTCGCGGCCCTCCGCACAAGTCCAAAAATGCAATGTGGCTCTCGAAAACCCACGAGTTTGATACCCCTGGTATAGACTACCCTCAAACAAACTTAAAGAGAAATGCAGAACATTCAAGATTGTAAATTATAAGCAAACCTGCTAGAATAGCTTTCTCCATCACCACGATCTGAGCCTGACCCATTCTTGATGATAAATTAACAGGAACAATTCTTTTGTCTTGACAGAAGACTGAGGCATACCAATCCACACCAGCTAAATATGGATCTAACAGCAAAGGTGGCCGTTGCCATGTTGTGTGCAAGATTGCAGCATTTTGTAGCTGTCAAAGGCAAAAGTTGGAAACACGTTATTGCAGATTAAGCTTCAGAGTGAGTACAAACAGTCACTCAAAATTATATAGCTAGTTGATCAAAATAGATATTTATTTGCTGCTTGACAAAACCTTCTGAGCTTATTGCTAGGGTTGAGCATATTCGAATACTTGATGGTTTCAAAATTGAATCGAATATTTTTTTCCAATCAAATCTCGAATACCTGGAGGATATGTATTTATTTATAACTTACAAAACAAATGAATTACTCAAACAGTTGTCTGAAATTGAGAAATTCATCTTGATCTTTGGCGGCCTAAAAAAACAAGCTGGCGGTGATTCGAAATTTTGTCTGAACCAATTCGAATAATGTACTATATAATGGCCAGTCTTACTTATACTTCTACCAGGGCAGTTTCTCGCATTCACAACAATATTACTAAGAAAACAAAAGTTCACTAGAGTTCTAATTCAATGTATACATACCCAAGCACACATACAAATAAAATGCATCGAAAAATAAATAAACCAGAGCAATATTTTTCTATAAATAAGTGTGTATTTATTTACCTGATGATGAGAATAGTCTTTTGTCAGCCATTCCTGCATTTTTTCTTCACCAACTAATATTTTTACAATACATCCAACAAATATCTGTACGTGTTTGAAATATAAATATTATATTAGCCAAATAATAATATGAAATATTTCCATATGACTACCGTATATTAATTATATTGTGATCTTGTGAAAAATGTATCGAAAGCTCAAATTATTGTAAATGTATTTTTCAAGAATAGAACTTATTAATTTAGAACTCATATGCTTCTTTAAGTCATAATACCGCATAATTTTAATGTAATATGCAAATACACAACTTGTGATACTCCTGAAGTATGCGCACCAAGATGTCGCATAACCTTAACCCTAACCTGGTACACAACCTAAGTTCAGGTTGTGCGACATCTTGATGCGCATACTTCAGGAGGTCCCAACTTGTTATACCTGGTATTCTTCAGTGCTAATGTAGGGCAAGGTTGCGTAGGAATATGCTGGAACAACCATAGCAGTAGAAGGTCTACTGTCGATGTCTTGCTCAGTTCCCTGATTACCGACATTAACTGACTGAGTTCTACCAGTACTTTTCCTTCCATCTTTGTTACTTTTTGCATCTAAACACAAAGAATTATTTTTGCTATTGAGTCCATGTAATAATTATTTTGAATTTACATATGAAAACGGTTTATGGTTTCTTCAGCCTTGCAATAAGGAGATAAAACATACACCAGTAAAATACAAGCAGCAGAGAAATATTTTGATTAAATTAAACATGAATGTATTATCAAAACATTAAGTTTGTTCAAAACTCTCTTTAAATAAGTCAAGAACCTGAGGTATATAGATAGGACTATATAACTTCACTGAAGTATGCTATAGGCAAGGAAGAGCAAGTTACAACTTGTTACTAGGGATGGGACGAGTCCGGCATTACAGAGATTCGGCGAATCCGAGTAATAGGTCATGGACTCGAGTCGAATCCGCCGAGTCCGTGACGTCACAAAGAAAAAACACGGTTTCAATTGTGACGCAACAATGCGCGATCGGTGACGTACTGTTTTCTTGCCATGCTTCGCGTACAGCTCAGTTATCGACTAATTGCGTGAATCTTTTGGATGATTGTATAATAAGCTACTCAAGGTTGATTGTTTTTGATAAGATTTACGGGTGGAATTAGACTGCTTTTGGCAACTTTACTTCAGAAGGTTTCCGCTTCTGCTGGTTGTCTGTGCGATGTCATCACCGAAAGCAAAGTCACTTGCGTGGCAGTATTTTAAAATTTGTGAAAATGACTGTTCGAAGGCCGAATGTGTTATTTGCGCAACTAAAATTAGTCGTGGGAAATGCAAATCTTCTTATACAACGAGTTCAATGCTTAAGCACTTGTCAACTTGCCATCAGGTTTTCGAAAAACCAGATGGATCTAAGAGAGTCAACGTCGAAAGTACTGCTGCTGCAGAATGCAGCAGTCGCCAACCCACCATTGTCGAAGCCTTGTCAAAACGTAAATTGTATGACAATTCACACCCCGTTTCTCGATGCTTAACATCCAAAATTGGCGAGATGATTGCTCTAGATTTTATGCCGTATTCGATGGTGGAAAATGTGGGGTTTTTGCGGCTTGTGAAAGAACTGAATGCTAGATACACTATTCCGTCTCGAAAATATTTTTCCAACACCGTTGTTCCAGGAATATATGATAAAGTGACAAATAAGATCAAGGAATTGTTGAAAAGTGCCGTTGGACCCATATGTGCTACAACAGATGAATGGACAAGTCTTCAAAATGATTCGTTCATGAGTATAACCTCCAATTTTCTTATCTGGAACAAGGGTGATTTACACCGTGTTACGCCCGTTCTTTCCTGTTCTGAGCTCGTGGGCTCGCAAACCGCAGAATTGCTGCTGTCAGAAATACGAAGACAAGAAAGTGAGTGCGGCGTATCGTTTGCTACAATAACATCCGACAATGCCTCGAATGTGATAAAGGCATTAAAGGACGGGGAGATTTTTAATATCCGATGTATGGCACACACTTTGAACTTGATCGTTCACGACGCTATCAGATCAAACATTGATGTGAAAGATATCGTGGCTGATGCCCGTTCTATAATTGCCCACTATAACCGCTCATCTCGCGACGCTCGTGCTCTCAGGGAATGTCAGAAAAGGCTGAATGCACCAGAACATAAATTGCAACAAGACGTGAGTACCAGATGGAACTCTACATACTACGCGCTGGAGCGAATGGTGGAACAGAGAGAAGTTATTAATGATATGTCCTTCAGGGGAATTGGTAATACTCTGTCACCTAACCAGTGGAGAATGGCTTCATCTTTAATTCGAGTTTTGAAGTTATTTGACATAGCGACCAAGGAAGTTTGTACTGAGGAGGCGACAATAGCAAGCATTCTACCAGTAAAAGAGAATTTGTTGAAAAGATTGGAAGCATTCATTGGTGACAGCGATATTTATGGACTCGACAATTTTCTGAATAGCCTCAAAAGTGGTATAGAACGGAGATTTAGCGTTCCTGGAAATGGACCTCAGCCCCGAGACGCATACTTTCAGAACCAGGCCTCATATAACCGTTGTTTATTGGCTACAATACTTGATCCAAGATTAAAGTTGTCATGGTGCTCAACTATCAATCGGCAAGAAATCGAACGGCTGCTTGTTACTGAAGTGAAGAAGTTTGCCACGGATAGTGTTGAACTCTACGAAGGGACTGAATTATATCAATCATCATCATCATCAGAAGAGGCCGAAGATAGTGTGGTCTTCGGTGCACCTGAGAACGCGGGTCTTGTCAGGGAACAGGTGGATATGGATGCTGATATTGTAACTGCTGTCAGGCAATATCTTGCTGCACCTACTCTTAAAAGGCACAAGTCTCCACTTGTTTTTTGGCCACAATACAGAAATGAATGCCAGGCGATGTTCGCTCTAGCCGTAAGCTTGCTTTCATGCCCGCCTACTTCCGTCAATTCTGAGCGTCTTTTTAGCACAGCTGGCGTTGTAACGTCGCCGTTACGTAACCGTCTGAAACCAAAAAACGTCGAAATTTTAACATTCTTGCATGTCAATCTAAAGAAACTCAATTTTGACTACAATACGCTTGCATGATTTCAGATGTTATTAGCTATAAAACTGTCATTTCGCAAGTAGCACACATAATTTCGTTGCTTTTAGCAAATTTTTCTTGCTTTCTTATTTTTCAAGAAGCAAATAGCATGCAATAAACTGTAATTAAAACGTGTTAATAAATTTTTCCTTGGGGATGCTCTCCTATCTGTTTTGTTTACGAAGAGTAATTTATTGGTTCGCGCACCAAAAGTAGCCTTGATGTTTTTATTGGGATATGGTCACTAGCGACGAAATGACTGAAATGTCTGATAAGCCCCTGTGATACAATATGTGCGTATGTTTTTAGAGATCTCTCACGTGACGAATCACATTATTTTGTAAAAATATTGCTTATACTGACTTTTATAACGTTAAAATCGCATAATAGAGGCGTCAATTATGTAAAACAAAATTGAATAGGGACTCGGTAAAAATGGCGTGGACTCGAAATCGAATCCGAGTCGCAAAAATGCATGGATTCGACTCGAATCCGAGTCCGGATCCGAATCTTGTCCCATCCCTACTTGTTACTTGGTATGGTAACTCATTTGCAGGCAATTAACAATGGACAATAATAATGGGTTGAAATGTGGTTTTTAAAGACAATCTACCTGCATCAATCTCTTGATTGTCAACAGCTTCATCATCAGCATCAGTTTCTTCTGCAACTGGTGGTAAGTTTTGTTGTTGGTTACTTTCAGATGCTGAATATTTAACAACAATAATAAATTTATCTTCTGAACACGGGGCAATGATAGCTTTTGATGTAACAGAATATAAAAAAACTTTAGTGTGATATACATGCAAAAAACAATGTTTTATATACTTATTGTACAAAAATCATGGAACAATACTGTTTTTAAAAATACCAATGATTTTTTATAATATGATGCTTTCTGATTTCAATAGGAAAACATAAGATTTTATATTAACATAGAGAGAGATACGTAGAATTATTTTTAAGTCCAATTTCCTATACCATTTGTCACTATCATAAGTTTAGAATTAGAATGATAGTATTAGACCATAATTCTGTATAATATTGATAACTATAATTCTTCAAGGTACAAGTAGCTTCTGGCACTTTGATGATTGTCCATAACTTCGCTCAGAGATAAATCCCTTTTATTTCTGAGTGAGTGCGCATCACCTTGCTTTAAGTCAATTTCATTAAAAACACACAAGCTAAACCATCTATGCAAGAAGTAGTTGAATAAAGAATATATAACCAGCTGAAACAAAATAACTTTACATTTTGAGACAACTTTCCTATTACTATAATATTCAGGCAATGATCAGCACCAAACAGGATTCAATATCTATACAAAATCTTGTTGATGTCATCTGGAACTAGTTTTCCTTCTATTAGTTAGCATATGAAATATAAAATCAATTTGTGTTTCTAACAACTACAAAATATATTTATAAGAAAAGAATCAAACCTATTCAATCTCCAATCTTTTTGTTATTTAAAAATTTGAAGAAACGTAAAATTCAAAATAAAAAAAAATTATTAAAAAAAAAGTATATACAAAATGGTGCCTACCTGTCAAATCATCAGTGCTTGTATTCTGCAGATTAGAATCACTTTCATCAGTTGTTCCTCCTGCTTCTTCATCTTCTTCACTTAGTTTAGCCAACATCTTATTAGATTCATCACCACCTTCCTCTTGCTCTTCATCTTCTTGTCCTCCTGATATGTCAGGAATTCCATCTAATTGAATTATAAAAAAATGGAAAAGGGCAAAAATTAATTTCCTATATTTGAAAAGTATGTAAAAAATGTAGAATTTCATATTTATCCCAAAAAAGTACTACCGGTAAGTCAATAACTGATCCTAATCACAATTGTAAAAAAACGTTTTCTTCTTGCTTAGTAAACACTCTGGGTAAAGTATGAGAATATCCTCTATCAGTTCAATGTTTCAGCGACTACGGGAAGTAAAAGATAACCCACCAGCAGCTTCATAAACTTCCATGAGACACTGTCACACATAATCAACTTGAACACAATTTAAATCTGCATTATTAGTACAGAATTCAATGATGTAATTGCCAACATTTCTGTCTGCGCGGCTGGTGTATTGTGCTAAGCATTTGCAACATGCTCATAATCACACTTCTTGATTGAACTGCATGGATTCACAGGTTTGAATCCAATGCCTGATAATTATGTGCAAGTGGATGGCTGGACTCTTTTTAGTTGACTCTTTGATTTGCAGTAATTGCTGCCAATTGCCACTTCCATGGTGGAATATATGTATATGAAACAAATCCCCACCATGTATCTGAAACAAATAACTAATTAACTATACCTGATGGTGGTGGTGGACGTTGCCACATGATGGTGGAAGTCGCAACCGGCAGCAATTAATGGATAAATACCTGGATGAGAGGTCGTGGTTCTCATAAAATGAAGCCATCTTATACATTTTCCACTCCCCCGAAAATAAATATAAAAATCCTCTTTCCTCTATGTGTTGTAAAAAATTCATAAAAAGTAAAAAAACTAGTTGCCATACCATGGACATCAAGCATGAATTCAATTCTGTGTCCTCGTACAGCATCAATTGTATCAAATACAAGAGGAATTCCACGTTCTACAAGACATTGTGCCCAGTCTACTGTCAACAACATGCGACGAAACATATATGGATAAGGACCCATGTAAGTTGAGAAACCTGCTGCAATGGCAGCAACTCCTGTTACCCACTCAAGTTGATCCTAAAATTAAAGTAAATGCGTAATTCTAAATAACAAAGTATATTCCTCCATATATCATTATATATATAATATATCATTCCATATGAATTTATAAGGGTAGGTGCAAGAGAATTTTACAGAATGGTTTTGAAGTACATAGAAGAAAAATTTATATGCTACTAAAATTGTGACAAGTTAGAAATCTGATCAAGTCCAGGCAAATACAGTTTTTCACCCATACCCTATACCTTTCATAACTCCTCATATAAAGGGTAATGAATTAAACATGCTAAGCCTGCTTGTCTGCCTTATTTGAGGCAAAAATACCATTTAAATATACAAAAATGCAATGATTTACCATACATGCCAATACAAAAGTTTAAAATGAGGTCATGGAAATAATATGAAAATTTCAATTTTGGACTGCCCAGTTTAATAAATAAATAGGGCTCCATAAAATTTTTGTGTAAAGTGAATAAAGTATTAGACATAACTGTGTCAATTGTCAACATCACAGGTAAAGTGGAATTGAGAAGGTTCCGGTCAATCAAAACAATGTCTTTCTTACCCAGCATTAGAGACACGTACAGAGCCATGTTTGGAGTAAAGGACATATAAATTCGTTGTATAAAAACTATATGCAGAATTCAACACACATTACCTCACAGGCACTCAGTACTGCTGTCCTCCTTCTATGTTCATCCATAAGAACTTGTTGAAAATGAGCAGCTTCACGCAAATGATCTTGCATTTCCAATCTTTTATTTTCTTGTTCATTCTTATCAACAGTCGCTTGTTCAAATCCTTCGCCTAGGTCTCGTAATCTCGATTCTAAAGCTTCTTTCTTACTTTCCAACTGTCTTAACCTGTGTTGAGCTCCGACTGTTTGAATTATAAAAAAAGTTCAAATATTCAAATTCTAAAAATTGATGATCTCTTTTTGTCAGAATTGAGACAAATGTAAATAAAAAAACAACGAGTAATCTGCAACGGTGAAAAAGTTCCTATCACTGTTCGTTTTATTTCACTGCTCGTGTTATTCCATGCTATAATATAAAAAGGATAAATCGTGGCGCAATATAAATATTTATCAGGTAAACTCACCTATGGCTGAAGATGTTTCTTCCAATTTATCATGAAGTGGTTTCACTTTTGTAATCATCAAACTATGGTAACGTACAACACCTTGTACCCATCTCAAAAGAGCACCTATGATAAAGACGAAATTTAATAATGAAAAATACCTTGTCATATGATATTTGCTCAAAAGCAAGCTCATTAGAATTCACAATGAAATTAATGAGACTATTTCATGATTGGAGTAGCATCCAACATTGGCCATTTCCTTAAAAAGGTTCAAAACAGTTGAAAATAATCTACATCATTATAAAAATCATACCTGCTGCAGCATTACCGCCAGCTTTTGCAGTTAAATTATCAACAGTAAATGTTTCTTTCTCCAAAGTTGGTTCAAGCGCATCAAGGGTGCTCTAAAGTCGGTAAGAAAATGATTTTTCTCACTCTTTGTATTTTTTGCTATAGTAAGCTATTCATGTATTCTTTTAACAAATTTATGTTTTTTTAATAATGGTAAATGCCACACAAATGGAGTGAAGTAATTTAAATCCCCCTTCAAATGCTTCAACAATAAACAGCAATCAAACATTGAAGGCAATAAAATTCTTATAGTCATTTTAGGTCTAATGAAACTATGTTCAACAATAGGTAACAAAACTCTTTCTAAGTAAAAATAAATATAAAAAAAAACTTGTAAGAATTCACTTTTTCGGCCTGATGTAATAAACATAAGTCAATCGAATAGAACTTGAAATTATCAGATAAGATTAAAGCAATGCAATAATTACACTTAGGCCAAATGTACCACCCTACCTGTGGCAAGGGACTGTCATCAAAATTCATCAGCTCGTCAATGAAACGATCTAAGTTAGCCATCTGTCTCTTTGCTCCTTTACTCCATGTTAGATCTGAGTTTGGTGATTTAACAATCATAATAATACAAGCCATCAAGTCCTCAACATCATTGTCTGGTTTCTGCAATGCCCTCAACTCTTGTAGACCCTGAAACAAATAAAAATAGATTTTCATAGTAATAGGAGTATTTAGTTTCTTACAAATATAGTTTACATCTGAATCTATTGACCCTTTGTGTATTTAAGATATATTAAAGTATTGACAATTTCAGTTTGTTCTATATAGTATGGGCTAAGTGTAATGTAAAGAGTTTAGGCATGAATCAAAATCAATTTAATTATTAGATGGATTTGTATGTAGTTGTAGGCAAAAATATGCAGTTTCCGCTTGTATCACATGATCATTTGTTCTCAAATAAATAAAGAATTTCATATTAAATATAGTAAGTTGAGTTCAATTCCATCAGGTTAATGGTTTTAAAGCATCATCATGTTAAGTGTCACACAAGTGGTGAAATCATATCTCAAAATAGTCCATGATTTAGTTAAGAAAAAATGCATTAATAAAGCATTTTGTAAGAGCAATTACATGATGACTTGTGGCAGAATAAAAGTAGGTATCACAGATTTTTAAATAGCAGACTCAAACCTCATATTAATTGGGTATTTTATGCTATGTTGAACAGATAATTACATTTCATATGAAACATATTTGCTTGATAAAAATCTGTGTCTATATGTTTTAGAATAGTAAAATATTGAAATCTAAAACTATACTTGCAAATAATCTATCAAATTGATTTATGTAAACTTGATTAAATTTGCATACAAGACAAACCTGACTGTCAATTTCTTTCACAACTTTTTTAGTATCAGCAATGATTGCAGCAGCTTTAAAAACTGCTTTCTCATGGGCGTGTTTATATTCTGGTTGAGACTTTTTCAAATGTCGAATCTTACGAATTTGTTGCTTCACAGCTAAAACCTGCAAGAAATAAGTTTCATAGTGGTAATATAAGGTATTCAGAGATGGCTAAAACCAAATTATCTACTATTCTGAATATATTCTCAATATTTTCAGACATGGAATATTGAATATATTGGTGAATGGGTTATGTTTACCACAGAATACGTAGAAATAAAGGCAAATTCAGTCAGTTTGAATGCGGAAATGCATAAAAGTTAGGAAAAACCGAGTTTGACTGGTTCCTTATTTTTTATAGTTTTCAGGAGTTAAATGAATACCATACACAAGACGACTTCAATAGCCTAAACCTCAAAGTGATATTTTCCTCAAATTGATATATCCCTAATTATACTTAATATTAAGAGGTTAAAATATTGAATATATTTAACTTTGAATCTATTCAAAGTTTTGATTCGTTTTGGACATTCCTTCATGTAATATAGTTGTAACAACTGAAACAAAATATCAAATGTATAGGTAATAGGTAAGTTTGTGTTGTAGCCTGAATAAAAACGTACCTGTTGTTCAGTGATAACCATATCTTGTCCAATCTGAGCCAGAAGTTGTGTTGTGCCAATTTTATGTTCTTCTAACACCTGAGATTTGAAAAAGTAAAGGCAATAAGAATGTAAAAAAATTTGAACAAAAAAAAAACAAGGATATGAGGGCCGATACACAATGGTTCATGATTAAAGTCAGGAATATCGAATACATTAACAGCAAGCACCCCACAATGACTAGAAATCTTGTGTGCAATCATTATGCTCAGGGTGCCAAACATTACGGTGTAGTTAATTTTCAAATGGGTAGTGATTTGGGTAACCATTAACAAACAGTGATTTTGAATCTGAGAATAGTTTCATTCAACTCCCAATTCATCCGATCATCTACTACATAAAAACTTCAGCGACCTATTTTTGCTTTTGATGAAAACAGCGACACCCAGCTCTTATTATTGAACTGCTCTGAATTCTGATATCGATTGTTGACCCAATTCTAAAATTTCTACTGCCAGAGAAAATTGAAAGTGCTAAGTCTATTAGACTAATATGAGAGCGATGGTTCATGCTAAAAATGACAAAATCTTTTCTAACATTGATCTTGTTTTTTACAAATTCCAAGATACTAAATAAGATGAGGCAATTTTGGAAGCTGATTAAATTGAATGAATATGAAATCTAACTAAAATTCACTAAAAATACCATAACCTGTTTTTCTCTGTCAAGTTCTCTTTGCAGAGATTCAGCGATGGCATTTTCTTTGTCAATATTTAATAATGCTTCCGCAGTTGCATTTTGATCAGAATGTATAGAAAGACGTCGGGCACGAAAAACACTGACAAATCTCAATACAAGTTTCTCGAAAGCATAATTACTGACATGTCCAGGAAGTCTGCGATGAAAAATGGAAAGAGTAGTATACAAAAAAAAAGAAATTATTACCAATTGAAATTCTTCCGAAAATATCAAATATTTTTAAAGGTGCTCCAGAAGTAGGCGCACCAAGATGTCGCATAACCTGAATCCTAACCAGTACACACATACTATGTTCAGGTTGTGCGCCATCTTGGTGCGCATACTTCTGGAGGTCCTTTTTAAATTTATACAACCATGCTATGTGAGTACTGAAAATTTCAGAAAATTATTTTAAACTGGTATTTATATATACAATCAGTCATTCTTAACCTACCAATTTGACAATAAATTGAAATTAGTTCATAAAAAATATATCAAAATCTGCACAAAAAACATAGTACAATTTATTTAGGAAAAAGTTATTAGCATAACTGATAAATAGTTAAAAATTGAAGTCAGAAAAATCAAGTGTGCACCCTACAATGACAAGCAGTCTTAAACATAATCATCTTCCACGGGATGCAAAACATTATGTAGTAGATAATTTTCTAATCTTAGTTGGTTGGGCTAACCAATTCTCAACATGTACATTATAAATTTCAATTGTGTAGTTCAAGAAAATTCACATTAGTGTTAAACAACAACCTATCAGCATTAGTAACTTTGACTATTTCAATAAACTTACTTGTAAAATTTATTTTCAGCTTTCTGTCTGACAGCAATATGCATGTTTGCAAGAAGATGAGCCACATTTTCCATCCATTTTTTATCCATCGGCCTACGATTTCTTCTTTTATATTGTTGAAATCTTCTGTCTTCATCTTCTTCACTCAGTAACAAACATTTATTACTTTTACCTTGTACATGGTACAAAGTGATTTCAACAAGTTGTTCATGTGACCATGGTCTCATTGCAATAATATTGAAATGGTTGAACAATGCAGGAAATTCCAGACTCTTTCCCATAAATGATTTGCCTGTTTTATGAAAAAAAAATAAAGTGTCTTTTCCGTATTTACAAAATGAACCCAAAACATCTTGTTAATCTGTATTCCCATAAAGTATGGTAAAATTTAGTGACTTTTGACTAATATGAGTCTTACAACTATTGATTCATTTCAAATTACAAAAAAATATCAGTACATTGACATTAGTTCGATGTCAGAAGTTTTTCATAATGGAATATACTGGTAGTAAGAAGGCCCTGGATGAAGGAAAACGACTTGAAGATATCTGAAACTGTACCAAAATACTTTATGAAAAAAATATTCAATAACGGGATAGTTAATCAAGCAGCAATATACGGTTGTCAAATTGGATTAGCCAAATTGATGACCGAGAAATGACACTCAATTTTCAAATTGTTGCTTGAACATAAATGCATTACTGAAAATCCAGAGCTTGATTGGGCTTTCAATTTGTACTTATTTGTACAAATATATTATAGGAGTATCAATGTTCATAATATGAGAGAGAAGATGCTGATAAGACAGTTTAATCATATCATAAACTAGGGCCAGATGCCTAGATACCGGTCCAAATGTTGAGTAAGAGATTGGACAATTTAAAAACGAGAATATCGGTTGGAAACCGAAGACCCATCGATCGATAGTTAGGGGATCCCCCAAAACAGAAACTGCAGTTTCGATTCATCCGCTCTCGTAACTTGCGCACTGCGCATCGCACACACACACTCGGCGGGTCTCAAAATTCTCTTGCTTTACAAAAATCTAGATCACTTCATCAATAATTGATTGATAACTCGCTAATTATACGACATAATTCGCCCAAAATCAATAGGCTTCTGATCCGAGATAAGATGAATGCACATGCAAAGTCTGGAGCAGATTCAATCTCGCTTTCGTGAGATATCGCGTGCATCTAACAGACAAACAGACATACAGACAGACAAATACCTATCAACATACTTACCGATTAAAATCGATGAGTAATTATTATTCTAGATACATAAACTGCATGAGGCTTTTGCATAGTCATCCAAAAGGAAAACATAAATTCTCATAAAATTCATACTGAATTATTTACCTGTATCTGAGCAAACCAGTACAATCCTCAAATTTTTCATTACTGTACTTTGGAAGAAATTCCAAGCAGCATCTCGAGAATATGTGAGTCCTGCTGCCGTTACTTCACTTCTTACTGAATTAGCAATTGTTGTTTGTTCATCAGTTGTGAACAAACGTGAAATAGCACCATGACGTACAAGTTCTTCCAATACTGCCAAGCATTCATCAGTCAAAACTCTAAATAATCAGGCATAGAATAAATTGATGATAATATTTTCAACCAATGCAAATTTTAAAACTAAAATAAACAAACTTCACTTAGCATGCTGAAAAAGTATTGAATTGAATACAACACTAGCAAAAGTGGATCTTCTAACTGCTCTTCTTAACTAAATATTTATTTCCAGAATAAATATGTACCGTAAATCCTATCGTAGCCTAGGATTCCCTACCTGTCATCACTCAAAAACAAAACAATTTTCTCTCCTTTGACACCAGTATCATTGTACATGTTGACCATGAATTGTTTGAAATGTGCAAGTCTTGCCTCATCAGTATCTATTGCATCATTGTCTGATGTTGCTAATGATGGTCTCAAACTTCGTACAGAAAATCCACTAAGATGTCCAGCTGAAATGTAATATTTATCAGTGATAAATCTTTCATATTTGAGTGATATTAATAAATTAGAAACAAATGTTGAAAAAACATAGTTTCAGGCCTCGCACCAATCGACATTTACTGGTGTGTAATGTACTGCAACACTCTTTGTTTCAGTATATTTTGGCATTTCATTGTTACCCCATAACTTTGTTCAGAAATGAATCTCTGTTACTTTTGAGTGAATATGAGTGACCTTGCTTTGATTCATCTTAAGAAATTTTTTTATGCAATCTTGTTAAATAAGGTCACAGGCACCAACAAGACTCACTAAAACACAAATATGAACGTACATACTGTATTTTATGAACCAGAAGGTGTTAGTGTTATTGGAAGGTGTCGTGTTATTAGGGATTCAAAGTGCGCCTCATGGTCTGACTGTAAAATATGGTAATTGTTGAGATGGATGTTGGATGGATAGGGCCAAGATAAAAACTAAAAAATACTTTTATGCAGAATGGTTCCATCTCAATTTAGTCATATACATAGTGTTTAACAGAATTGCAAGTTCACAGAAATACATGCATGTATAACATATAAAATAGATATTTGGATGTAGTGAATGTTCGAATTCAAAATTTGAATAGCACATTCCAAAGAAGTCATTGTGCCATCTGTCTATTTCTCCAACAAAAAACTCTGTCCTGACACCCATCACTTGTGCATTTGTGTTTCCAAGTACGTATTTTAGCTTTTAAGGAATTTTTTACCAACTGTACATATATAAAATAGATATGTGGATGTAGTGAATGTTCGAATTCAAAATTTGAATAGCACATTCCAAAGAAGTCATTGTGCCATCTGTCTATTTCTCCAACAAAAAACTCTGTCCTGACACCCATCACTTGTGCATTTGTGTTTCCAAGTACGTATTTTAGCTTTTAAGGAATTTTTTACCAACTGTACATACCAAGGTTCACAGCAAGTCTTGCAAGCATTGGACAACCTTCTCCAAACAACAATGTATGTCCAGTCTTATGTGGACACTGCAATATCCTTGCAAGTCTGCAGACTGTTGAGATTGTTTCTTTGTATAAACTCAAATTCATTCCAACATTTACTTTATTGTATTCCTAAAGAGTAATAGTAATTAAAAAGAGATAAATTACCCAGTAAACTATTATCAACTAAGGTACTACGATATGAAGGCCAAAGAAACATGCCATTGTTTATTTTACTTTACCATTTAAATAAGCTTGAAGCTGTCTTGCACATAATCAATATAACTACCTTGACTGCTTCCATTAGCAATCTATGAACTTCATCTTCATCATTAACAGCTTTATAATAATCTCCAGTATCTTGTGTTGTTCCAGATTTTAAATGCCGACTAGCTTGAGATGATCGTCCTTCATATCTAAATAGTCTTTTAACTTAGAAACACAAAATATCATTTTGCACTATTTTTAAATCGATCATAATCAGTTTCTAAGAGAAACAAACTCAGTGATAAAACATATTTTGCACATACAGACATTAAAATCACACATTAAAGGTTACCATGTTTTCAAATAACAAACCAAAAAATATTAATTTATTCATTTGAAAACCTTGAATTGTTTTTCTGAAAGAAAGAAAGCAATTCAGATTATCGGAACAATGAGGTTCATAAATATTAATTAAAGATTAATCAATGCTTCATGATTGATTTAATCACCCTGTGATTTTAAGTCGATTTTTCGATAACAAAAAAAAGGAATAACTCACAAACTAAATTTTGCTAATAGTAGTAGTAGATTACCTATTCTTATAAAAATATATTTGACCTTCTTGACAGCAAACTATATCAAAAGTTAGTAACGATCTTTAACAATAAAATGTTTTGTTGCAAATTTTCAAAAAATATTAAATTTTGAAAAAAAAAAATTTACCTTCCAGCAGTAACAAATCCACTATCAAGTTCTCGGACACTGCTAAACAAAGGTTGTTTTGATGGGAGAACACAAGGTAGATATTTGTTTTCTGTCAAATATTTTCGAACTGCGGTATCAAAGGCTTGTTGATATCTTTCCAAATCAACATCAGAAACCTGAAATATAAAGAGTAAATGTACAAGTGCTTTGCTGACACATTGAAATCCACTGTAGAAAAGAGAAATCCTTTCCAAGGATTAATCCAATAATAGGTCCTTGAGGCTAATAAAAATTTCATGTTTATCTTAAAGAAAAAGAGAGACAAAAAGAAATAGACGCTATGGCAAGTAGCAATATCTAATAATCAAATACCAATTCTAGCTTATCAATTTCCAACTTTTCCGATGAATTGACTATGTGAGTGGTTCAGAAAGTTATAACCAACTAGTGGTAAAGTAAATGTAAATCACAACAATTAAAACTATGATGCATGATTGTTCTCCACAGGATTTGAACCCGTGTCTCCACACAAGATTATCAACTCTGCCCTAGTGGGCATCATTAAAACACTTATGCCCACATATGCATATAATACAGGGATTCTGTAGCAATAGATGTGCTGATATTTATTGCATTGATAGAAAAAAATAGCCATATTCATTTACTAACCATTCTACGACCATATGTCCAATCACATTCGTGTCTCCATCTCAGCAATAAATCTTTGTGATGACAATCCTTGCGTAACGACAGAATCAAGTTTCTGAATATTCTGTCCAGATCATTTAGTGTGAACAAATAATGGGCTCGATCAGGTACAGATAAATACATGCTTCGAAGTCGTTCTTGTAATTCGATAGTTACCATGGTTATGTTGTGTAACATATGCTGCAGAAATGATATAGGATTTTTAATTTCTCATAATCTTTTCAAAAAATAAAAACTTAAAAAAAAATTCTCAAAATTGAAATTAAAAACTCTATATGAAATTTTAATAAAGTTAGAATTCACTATCACCAATTTGCGCACAATTCAATTTTAGAGAATTTCATCATCAATATTATCACAATACTATCGAAATTATCAAGTAAAAAGTCCCAATAATTTTATTGTTAAAAATAAAATATATACCGGTACCGGTAAGGTAATATAATCTGACTTCAAGTAATACCTGCATTGGTTTTTCTGCCCATAACTCTGCAAGATTACTTGATGATAGAGACCCTGATCCAAAGGTTGTCAAAAAATGGCTTCCCAGCATCGCACTGAAACAATAAAATAATTAGAACAGTTGTTACATTGTGTAGATAACCTACATAAAAATATTCATTCAATAACCAATGGAATCAAATAAAAGTTTTTTCAGTTGCAAAGATAAATTTGAGACGAGAAAATTGGGTGATGACAGCATTTTTGCCTACTTATATTGTGATACCATTAAACCTGAATCCCATTTTAGTATTTCATATACAGTTGATTAATTTAGTAGTTCTAGAAGTATTTTGTAGTCATAATAATGTAACAAGATCTTGCATATGTGATGCATATATTAATACAATTTCAGTTATAATCATATGCCGAATATCACTTTGCACTTCCAACCTGAATATGATAGCATGCTATATATATAAAGCCCCGTGTTTCAGAATGGCAGGTATTTTTCTAGTTGGCTACAGGATAGTAAATTTCTTACACCCTTCTGGATTTGCTATGAGTACAGTTTGGCTTATACCAGGGCACATTATTGAGCCGGTTTTCTGGTTTGAAAAAGTTAAGTTCAGTATATGTGCACTTATAAAAAAATTCACAGATGGAAATAAATAGGTATAGACAAAATATAAGTTACAAACCTGAATATAGAATTTTGTGCTTCAAGAGATGGGAAAGGACAAGTAAATACTGAGAAATGTCTGGTTAATCTTTGACTTTGAGTATATGATGAACATGAAGGACTTGGATTTGTAGTTGTTATATAAGCAACATTGCTGACCTGTACAGATATACAATACTATATAATAAAACACTAAAATCCAAAAGAAATCAGAATAACTGCATTGAGAAGTGTTTATCGAAAGCCTAATCTGAAACATGAAAAGACTCTTTTCTAACCTGTTGCCATTTGAAAGTAGAAATATTTCTGATACCACCAGTATCAAGATGTTGTCTGATTATTTCACATGCGGATTGAAGTCTCAGTCCATTTCCAACTAGAATAGAAAAGGTTTTCATTACAATCTATGTGGTTAGGAACTAAAATTATGAATTAGTATTTTTATTTCACAAGACCAATGAAAGCAACATATTTTTTTTTAAATGAAACATGTTTAGAAAATTATAATTCGTCTATAATAGGAAAATTTAGAGAATAATTAGAATTGTACTCACAGTCCATATCTAATGGTTTTGATAAGTTCAAGTCATCAACAACACAAAGAAGTTTTTTATTTCCTCTTGGTGTGTATGTGATTCCATGTTTCCACTCAAGGTAATTTGAAACTCTCTCCCACAATCCTCCGGCCTGAGTCAGTCTATTACAATGAATAAAAAGACTTAGAACTTCAGCGACTTCTCCTGAACTGACTGTATTAACTCTTTCTCGTACAAGAGCTGTTTTTCCGCATCCAGCGGGACCAGCGATCATAACAGGGTGCCCAGCATCAGTAAGCATTCCGAGTAAATGATTCATTTGACCTGAGTCAGGTGTGTGAACAAAAACTTCGTCTTGTTGTTGTTGTCTTTGTTGTTCATCTTGACTTGATTGGTTTAATGAACCAGTTGATGACAAATGGCTTCCACTGTGAGCAAACCCAGAAAACTGTGGAATAAAATCAGACCAGTGTGCAAAATCTCTCGTATCAGAATCTACAAAAACACACCATGGATCGTGTTGCTTTGGAAAAAGATTAGGCCATTGCTCTGTCCACCATAAAGCGAAATTTCCACGACTGTCGGATTCAAGAGTGCCACCAAAAGCCCAGAAAACAGCATAACCAACGTAACGTTCGCACTCGTCTTGTGACATATCAAACGATGATGATGAAGTTAGAAGGCAATTCAGCAGACGACAAAATGTGATTGTCATGGATTCAACTCCCACTTTCACCATTTGTCGTAAACGAAGATGAGAATGGCCTGGTTGAGTGCTAGTCAGATGATCAGGCATTGTGCCTTTGGAAAAATATCCAACAACCTTTGGCAAATACAATTCCAAAAGATCTCGTAAAACCTCTCGAATCATTTCTGGTAATTGATCCAACCAGTGATATAAATGAACCTTCCATGTAATTTCTAAAATAAAAAACATATTTGAAAAATTGAAAATTTGAGACATCCTTTAAACTGCAAAACCCATAATCAATGCTACAACAGAAGACATAGATTTGGCAAATATATTATCAAAGTACATTGTATTTATCCTATGTCAAGTAACAATGCTACATAATTGTCTCTCAAAACTATCCTTTTTCCCTCCAGACCAATGCAATTATACCTGTGTTTCCAAAAGCCAACACTCCTAATTCTGCAGCTGTACTTGGAGCCAGATGAGCAAGTGAATCCATTTCCCAAACTACCCTCAGATCGGATGATAATCTAAGGCGTTCATTGTTGGGAAGAAATATTCTGCTAGGACTTGCTTCTCCTCCGCTACCAACTGGTCCAGAACTTCTCAACAATTGTAAAAACATGTCTGTGTCACCAGAATTCAAAATTCCGTCAACATGAAGAATAAAAACCTGCTGCTGAGTGGATGAATTCTGAAAGAAAGAACAGTGATTAATTTGAGGAATGATTGATCATTCAGGTGCCTGTACAAATCCGTTATTGAAATGAATGGTCAGGATTACGCATCCAAATTTAAATTCTAGTTACTCAAATTCATCCTAAAAATCATTTCGGATAATATTATGTTTATTGGGTCAGATTGGTTAAGGTTAGCCCACATCTTTATTAATAGGCGTTGTAACATTACCTATAGTAGAAGGGTAAGAGAAAGAGTTAAAACATCAAGTTTAAATCTATTTTTTTAACCTGTTCAAATTTCTTGTTTAAACTGAGCTTACCTCAATGCTGGTCTTCTCAAAGCAACCTGGTCTGACCAAATGCTGAACCAATCCATCTTTCCATTCTTTATTTTCTTGATCATAATATCCAAATAATTGTTTTGGTGAATCCATTGCATTCAAGAATATCTGAGCAGTAATAAGTAATGAATATATTGTCAAAAATGAAAAAAAAAATGGCAAATTTACAGAAAATGTTATTTTTCATGAAAAATAATTCTTGTACGGTTAGAACCCACCCTTTTGCAATTGACGTTAGCACCGAGTTGTTTCTGTGTTTCAGCATAAACATCCACACATGTTGATTTACCAGATCCGGGTCTTCCAGTAACAATCACACCTCGCATTGAATCAGCAAGCTAAATATAGAACATAGACAACATTAGAACTGAACTTAAGAAAATGAATGCAAGGATGCCTATTGGTTGGTGTGATAGCTAATCTACGTCGACAAATTAATGAAGATATCGAGCTCTTATCCTTTTCAGATCTAGATGATAATAAATGAGGAAATTGCCAAACAAACCAGGACTGTTAGCTGACGATGAGATGTCAGTTTGCCTATAATAAAGATGACAGATTTTCACAGAAAAACATGAGGTCACATCTTGGCCTAAGACTTCCCAAAGGGTCTAAAAAATTGGATTCACTATACCAAACCAGAGTGTAGTTTGAAATAGAGGTGTGAATAGTGAATCATCTCAAAAAACAACAGAAAATAAAATAAAAATTGAATTTGAATCTGCAAAAATAAAGATCTATCTGGAATAAGTGGAAAATCCATATACGGTAATATGTGACTGATTTTTATTAAAAATTCATACCTCAATCATTTGATTGACTTTTGAGAGAAATGGAGCAGACGAATAAAGCTTCTTTTCAATAATTGCTGCTGATATAGCTGTATCCATATTACTTGTTGGTCCTGTTGGCGTTTTGGATTGAAATGGTTGAGATTCAAATTCTGTTGGATGGACTGGTATAGACACCTGAGGAAGAACGAAAAATAGTAATTTATACCAAAAATGGCTTTGTGCTAATGGTGTTCATATCTAAATATTTTGGTATTCTAGAATTCTATAATGCATTTACTTTGCATGAAATTCATGTTGAACGACAAATTTGCATACTGCGAAAAAAAGCAAAAATTGTGATATCAAATTCTTTCAATTGGATTTCTGTGAGACAAGCATTTCATCTTTCTTTTATGCATTTGCTCTGCTCTTATGTAACTAGATAAAAAAGGATTCTCACGATTTTACAGTAAAAAAAGCAAACTAAGAATATTCAAAAATACTGATATTTCTAGAATACTTCATTTTTGAACATCTTAAAATTATAATCTCACTTGAGCCACAGTAATTTTTTGAATTATTTTTTTTGTTATTGAATTACTTAAATACAAATTATACATTTCTTGTCTCAGCTAATTAATCTGGAAACAATTTCTATTTGACGTGAACAATTAGTTTTCTACATCAATATCATTTCATGTCATATTTTAAAAAAAACAATGAGTTCTGTGAATTATCTTTATGAATAAGAAATCATATATACATAACTGAGATGGTATCGCAGGTCATACATCTCAGGGTAAAATCCCCTGCACACTCATATCAGGGTGTAATTAATTGGGTAAGCAATGTCGAAATCGGGAAAAAACTGGTGAGCTTCAAAATAGTACCTCTTTGCATAGCGATAGTTATCAGTAGATGCTGCAAAAAGCCTTGCTCAATGCAAAATATATGTATGACTAAGCATAGGATAAAACCATCGTGATATTCCCAATAGCATCAGATACAGATTACAATACTCAAAGTCAATTTTCTACCCAACATTATAATTACATTACTTTCCTGGGGGTTAGTTACAGATAGTAGACTTGGTTACTAGCCTGGGCGCTCAATACTCAACATGAAACTAGGAATAAAAAACAGTTTAATTACAAATAACTAGCGAAGGTTAATGTGCAACAAACAGCTAGTGTACCGCGTGGCACAATTAAATATACCAAGTGGCACATTATATTCAGGTGCAGATAATTTGTGGGGAATTTACGATCTATATTTTAGTCGATGATTCGTTATATTCATCACAATTTTCAACGCAAATTTATATCCATAAAAACTATAGTCGTAATATCTACAGGCACGCATCGATTGGTCGTATCCGGCCCGCGGGCCGTAATTTGCCCAACCCTGTTATAGCTCATTTTATAGCTTTTATACCAATGAGTAAATGCAGCATCCAAAAAATGACAAATTAAACATTCAGGTATTCCAATGGATTTCTCATTACCTCAGTATCCATGTCCGGTCCCCATTCATTTCCTACTTTTTCATTTTCCACTTCATTTTCTGCCGATAAATCAATATCAACTTCAGGATATAAGTCTTGTATAAGAGTAGCAAGTAAGTTACGGTCTGTCATGTGAGTGATTCTTGGAACGATATAATTTTTAATTGCAGTAACAATTGCTTCTTCTTCCATTCTTCTCATTGCTTCAATGTCTTCCTCGATCTCTTCTCTCCTATGATTTTGAACAAATTTTTTTTACAGCAAAAATTATCCATTTATCTATCTGTCAAAATAACTTTATGTGAATATATGTAAATAAAAATATGGCAATATCAAGTTACTTTTCAGGCTTATTGTGATATCTGTAAGACTTTTGGCACAAGATGACATTGTTCAATTGAATAAGATGTGTGATTTCACTCAAAATGGCAAAACCTAAAACGCTGTTACAAAAAAAATGGGAGAGTATTGAAATAATAGATACCAGTTAAACAGCACCTATTTTTTTGTAATATTTCCAAATAAATTTATTCCCAAAATTTTGAAATTTGCCCATCTGTCTTGGAACCCTCGAAATATCAAATTCAGGAAAGAGAGGTGTTTAAAAGACAAAACTATATAGCAAAGCAAGTTCCACTTCTTTAGTTGAAAATTCCAAATTATCTGTTCAAATTATCGACCACTTAATGAAAATAAAACTATTTGAAATGCAGTAAATTATTTTAATGAATATTTAAAAAAATTATTACATCTAAGAAATGACAAATTTTATTTAACCAATATTGTCATACTCTTTAAATACACATGTAGTCATTTCTGATGAAAATTAACTTACTGAACGCTACTATCAGACTTTTGTTGATTTGAAGAACTAGTATTTCCTCCTTCATCAGTTTCTCCTGAACTATCAAGTTGTATTGATTCAGTAGTTGTACTTGCCTTATGTCTCCATAATTCAGCAAATTTCCTCGTCTAAAAAGTTTCCATATTACAATATATAGGATACAATAAAATAGGATTTTAGATACATAGACTTGAATGGTTGAAGAACCCAAACATCAAGGACTCTGGGGTAATCATCTCGCTCATAATAATTCAAGACAGATAAAAACTTACAAACCAAGTGAAAGATAATCACTTATGCAATGACAATCTTGTTCCAAACACTTGTCGCAACGATTGTTGATTTAATACAACAGTTTATCTTTCTTGTGAGCGCAATGGCAATGATATTAGCAATTTAGTTTGTAATTACTTTGATACTGCGTGTTAAATATCTGAGAATAAAGTCCATGCTTATCCCGAATTCACCACATAACTCGGGGTGTAAAAATTTAGTAAGATATGTCATTCATGAAAAAAGATCAAGGTCTTTTCAAATTTCTCTACTTCCAAGTTTGTTAAAAGCCTCATCACAGCATATGTGGAACAAACTTGACAAAAGGTGTCTCAAAAATGTTGTGTCTCACTTTTTCCAATTGTCTAAATCTCACTCCATATGAATACTCCATATGAATAACCTTGAACCAAAAGTATTTAATATATCCTAACCCAGAAGTTGAAGAAGTGGGGCAAGTGTGGGACGATTAGGGCAAGTGTGGGATAAGTGGGACAATCGTGCTAAGCCTAAAAAAGGAAATAAATGTGGAATAAGTGGGACATTTCATTTTCGGGGATGCTTTACAATAAAGAAATACCTTATTTGAAATCATTTCTTTATATTCCTTGTTCTTTTCCATATGATCATGTATAAGTGAATCAAGAGAAATACCAGCAGATGCAATGATCAACTCCATGCTATGTAGAGACAATACATTATTTCCAGTAGTTTCATGAGGCATGCCAGATTTTCCTAACTGACCAGGCAAAGTAGAGAAGAAGCTCTCAGAAAGTTGAAGGAAAATGCATAATTTGTGCGATATTTCAGATGCTTGTGTGAATCCTTGAGCCAAAAGTCGTATCTCAAGAACTGTTCTTCTGTCTGGGGTACAAGCACTTATAATCCTGCAACAAGAAGAATGAAAGAAAATTATAAATTGGACGGTTGAATTTATCTATATTTGTACTATCTATCTGTATTTCTTCAAGAAAATTTGCTTGAATATTGGGTTACAGAAGATGCTCCAGAAACAAAAATCGAATAAAAAGAAAAGCGGAATTCGTACCGGGCAAAGATAGTTCGTACTAGCTCAATACAGACCTGAAGTTTTTCAGGAAGTTTGGAGGCAACTGAGCAGTAGCTGTAGGATAAGGCGAAAACATTCTGGGAGCCTTGAAATGCATTTCAGAATAATCAACAGTGGCAAAAAATGCTGCATGAGGAGAAACGGCCACTTCTTCACTTTGCAAAACAAGAGACTGTTGTCCAGATCTTAATGCCTGTAATACATCACTTGCTAGTTGACAAGCAACAGACAATATTCCACCTGCAAGTTTACTCATTCCTTCTAGACATAACCAACAACCAGTCTCTGCTAATCCTTTGAATAAATCACCTGGTAATATAAAATACAAAATTCATTAAACATCGGAAAGATGATAGATTTTTTTCAAACAATGCTTATTCATGCTTCAGGCTCCAAACAAGGCACTGTACAACCAGTCAGTGATTTTTTTTAAACAAAATCTTGATTGGATCAAATCTGAATTTTTCTGAGCATGTTCATCCAAAAAATAGGAATTATATAATTATATTTAGGCATCCAACAGTGGAACAATAAAAAATATTGAGTGCCATGCAACAGAGATGAATTTTTCATTGAGTTTTGATAAGTGAATTGTAAAGTTCATTAGGGTTTAAATAAGAAACACTTTACAAATATGCTGTATCGATGAATGGCTTCATTATGAAATTCGACACAAAAATAAATAAAATATTCAACCATATATCAATTTAAATTTAGAATTCCAATGAAAATTATCACTTGTTTTATGAGATGGTACATCATTTACAGTGCTATTAAATTTCAAGTTTATCGAATTTACAAATAAAAATAACAGCCTCAAATAAAAAGGTGTAGTCCGTACCTAGCATGTAATGATCGACAGAAGCCGAGCAGCATACTGTGTACAATGCTCTTCCCATCTGAATGGATAATTCTTGAAGTGTTTCAGATCTTGAAGTACTTGAATTTGCATTTGTTTGTCGAGATATAACAATCCCAGATTGTGTGTGCAATGCATGACAGAGAGATAAAATAACACGATCACAACTTGGGCTGATGATGTACCTGAAATGATGAAGATGAGAAATTGAAAAAATTACTCATTAAATTTACAACTATCAAAACTATGATGTGATATCTTTTTATATAAACAATGTATATAAACTTGTGTTACGGAATGGGTTTCTACAGGACTAACTACCGTACATGCAAGGATACTGTAGCAAGATTGAAGATAACTATTCTAAGTGATTCAAGAGTCTTGCTGCACACTGACACAAATATATTTCTGTAATGTTCCATCTAATCGAGGTCAGACTTCTTCAGAAAAAAATATTCAACCACTATTGAATCACTTTGATTAAACAGTTTGATATTCAAGTGTTTTCACTGTTTGAATTTATAATTAAATCAAAAATAAAAATACCTCATTGAAGATCCTTGATATTCATATCCATATTCAAACTCCCAGTTGAGCAAATGAACAGAAACTTCCATATTCTCGTCATTATAAACATGATGAAGCCTTGATTGGTATTCGAACGACTAAAATGAAGAAGTCAAGAAAAAAACATACAATTCGGATAGCAGTCTAAGTTTCATGGAGATGTATTAAAAACTATGATTCTCATTTGCTTGAGAAAGCTGATAAAAGGCAGCTGAATTCTGCATAATAATTATAAAAACAATATGCAAACTTCATATCTTATTATATAGTTTAATATTTTGGTAAATCACAAGCTATCATATTGTTAGTTACCAGCGCATGCTGGGCATGGAAATATCCAACATGGCCATCTAACAAGTTAGCCACCAAGCACTGAATTATCAAAGCATCAGATATTCCTAATACTCTCTGTCTCTACATTTTCAATTCAATATCAAATATTTAATTATATTACATTAAACTACCAAAAAAATTTGGTTTTTTATTAAAATAAATCCAACCTGTTCAATATCCCCTGGTTTTTTCATCAAATCCAAACAAATATCCCGATATTGAGCAAGTAAAGTTATCATTCCAGCAATTTTGTGAATTTGTGATGGAAACAATTGAAGTTTTGTATCTACTGTTTTAACTTGCGGTTCAGTTGTTTCCTGAAAATTGATTTAGTTGAAAAAGTCATTTTAATGCTTTCGAGTATTGAAAGCCTTGAGACTATGGCTTTAAGTATAATTTCACTATACAGTGATTCAGCTTTACCTTTGGTAGAATATCAGCCAATTCTAATTCCAATGTATCCCGCCTCATTCCTTTTGCCGTATTTGATTGTATTTGTTCCATGAATAATAAACTTTGCATTGTGTTGATTGGAGCTATAGAAAAACCAAAATGATAATATTGTTTACAATTTATCTGTTTCTTTTCTAAAATTAATCATAGGTTATCATCTATTTGCTATGTCTCCTAGCAAATGTTAACAACAATTTAAAGTTTTCAAAATGCACTTATATCATGAATTTGGAGACAAAAACAAAAAAAATTAAGATACACTTGAACATAGTTATGGTAGACAATACCCTTCATATATTAGGACCACCCAACCAAGTTTCAAGCAAGTGAATCAATCAAAGCAACACAAAATCAATTTTAACACTGCAGAATCAGTTAAACAAAAGTTAAAAGTATAATTCTGAAAAATTTTGAAAATGTGTAATTCAAAACACTAAGTAAACTTCCTAAATATGATATTGATTCGAGCTGTTTCAAGTCATTGAATGCTCAAAAAAAACTTTTCTTTGTCATCTTATAAATTCCTAATTTGAGAATTACTGCCAAATAAAATGCATATAAATCTATACTTTATTAAATTATACGTAACATACCTGCATCACCCCCTCCCATTCCATCATCAATTGAAACATCATCTCCTGCCATATCAACGTCATCTTCTAATGTTAATCTGTATATTTAACGATGAAACCAATTAGTCAGAGCAGAAGTGTTGGAAACGATGAAAAAACGTAATCCATATTTTCATACCCAAGTTTGAAAAATCGATTAAAAAATGTCAAATAGCATGCAAAACCACGAAACGAATATTTAGCACGCAGACTATAAATCTGTCTGAGTGAGAAAAGACCGCATGCTAATTACAACTTAGTTACAATGTTTCCCACAGTGGGTAAATTGTAACTAATAGCATAACATGTTTTCTTTGCTGTTTTTTCTATTACAGGCAAAGCCTTGGAGTATCTCATTTTATCTAACCTGGTTGATGGTGCACCAAGGGATTCACTGTTTTCAAATCCATCTTTTTTTCCACCAGTACCATCTATTGTTTTATCTTTTCCCTTCTGTGACTTGAATCTAGCACTTCTCATTCGTGAAGTTCGCTCATCTTCCATTCCCTAAAAAGATTTGTAATGAAGATCTTTCAGGGTTTGATTTGGTGAGTTTTGGGATTCAATCACATGATCTTCAAGTTTGAAGAACTAACAGACTCACATGACATTGAGCTAAGTTTCAATAACACACTTGCAATTACACACCCTAAATTACCCTGTGATGGCAATCCCATATAATGAATCCTATGAAAAATAACATGAGGATTGCTCGATGGTAGATGTAACCACAGACCAATAGAGCATACATCATTCATGTCTATGCAACTGTAAAGCAAACTTTTTAGCTATTATAATACCTAAACTAAACCAGTAACCCAGACAACTTAGGATACTTCACGTACCCACTGGTCGGTTACGGATTCTTTCACCATCAAGTCCCATAGTTAGCGAATAACTTGCTAACTATACCCAAACCCGACATGGACTGATAACTGAACGAGATGCTGAGTTTGCCATCTGATTAGGTCATTTTATTATTATCTTTTCTCTACCCTGTGACAAATATGAGCATCCTTTCCTAATAGGGGGTGATATCAGATTAGCCTCCAAAATAAATTTTATTATCTACCCTATTTTTACCTTCAGCATAATGACAGCACCATCCAGTTTCGCCTGCAGTTTATCATGAACCACTTTAATAGATTCCTGTGTTCTTTCGTCAGTTTTTACAGCTGCTGAAATGTCTTTAGATGCCTGAATGCAACCACATAGAATATTAGTATATAAATGTTCACTGGTAAGTTATATTTTTAACAGGTGTTAACAGGTGTTTTAACAGCAGGTGTACAAATTAGGTTTTCAGGCAGAATGAAAATAGTCCATTTTTTTTCAATTTCCATAGATCATAATAATACGGGTGGTTCTGCATTGTCAAGAGCGAAAATTTGAAACAATTTATAAAGAGTAAAATACAAGCAATATTTGAATGAAAAGCCCACCTGAACTGATGTAGCAAGTAAAGTAACTTGAGTTGTATTGTCCAGAGTCCATGAAACTTCATCAAGAGTAACAGATACTCCTAGGCTGTGACTCAGCTGAGCTGCCATATCAGATGGCTGTGAAAATAAAAAACTTCTTTTAATGAATGAGAAAATTAGCATGATCATAAGGTCTCTTATATCTTAGCCAGGTTTGTTTCATTTTAACCAGTGTTCATGCAATTTTTTTTTTTGACATTGAACATTGATTATTTTTTTTTCTGCATCCACACTTCTTTATTGAAATTATGTTCACTAGATTAATCTTAACTTCATCAACACCAAAATAGAAATTGTACCCCTTCTTTTAATGGTTCCAATGCTTTTGCAACATCTGAAGCTATGACACTTTTGTTTGATCCACCCGATCTTTGTGATGCTGCACTAGATGGACGGCTAACACGAACTTTGGATGCACCAGCACTTCTTAGTTCCCGCTCAATTTGAGCTGGCCTGGGTTCGAACCCTAGGGCAACATGGAGTTGTTCCTATTGGAATGATACACAATTATAAGAAGTTTGAAAATAACAAAAAAGTATTTTAGGTAATCAATGCAAATTTCTAAAAAAAAATTAAACAGGGTGAGTCCCATTTTTCTGAACAGAAGATATACATGAAATGGGAATTGCAAAAAAAAAATTAATTTGGATGGGAATTTCCTTCCTTCAAACAACTAAAAAAAAGGATGCAAAGTATCCCCCATGAAATATTTCGAGAAAAAAATAAATGAAATATTTTAAACAAATAATGTCCAAAGCTCAGCAATAGATGGAATGGTCATTAACAAAAATTTGAAACATTCTAAAATTTTTGAAAAGGAACTTTGGAAACTTCAGCATCAAATAAACCATTGTATACAGGATGATATTGATGAGAATAACGAGTTTTATTTAAAGTAATTAATCAAATGAAAAATATGTTCCTGAAAACAGCAAATAAATTGGGAAACATAACCTGCAACCTATTATTATTATACATTATATTATAAACATGAACAACGCCATATGGACGAAGGTGCAAAACTAAATTGGATGCTTGGAGTGATGATGCTTATTACACGAACATAAAATCGAAATCAGTCAAATATATAAAAAGATAATTGACGACAAGAACGTCCAGCATAGTGTAAAAATAGTTAATCCGATAAAGAAAGATTTCCCTGTATTTCTTGCTAGTATCTGATTTAGTATTAAGAGGGCACAAATCGATTCGGTAAAAATCTAAATTCAAGTTTCATATATAAAATGAATGTCTTGTCGTCCTTACCTGTATAGTAAATTTCAATCCCTCGATGAGGCGAGGTAGCCATTGTGACATTGGTCCTTCATAGGGTAGTGGTTTTGACAACATAGTTTGTTCACCAGCAATACTGTTCACCCCGTTTACCAAGAATTTTTTGTTTCCACCAGGTGGTTTAGGAACAGATGGACTCGGTGGTTTCAATTTATTGCTAACTGCAGTTGCTGGTACTTCTCGTTCTTCAAATATTAGATTCTTCAAGTTGGGTAAGACTTTGCATAAAAATCTGAGATTGAAATATTAAAATACCAGTTTGATTAATCGGTTTGCCATTTAATTTAGATATTGCTGATTGGTTATTACACATGAAAAATGCAGTTTTATGTGCAAATAAATTATCTATGAGATATTAGTTGGATAACTTGTCATAGTGTTATATATGTAATCACTTCTAAGGAGTTTCATTCATCAGGTAAATTGATAAATTCTGAGCATTTAAATGAGTATTCAACTTTATACCAAATCTTAACTACTACCAAATCAGGATTCTGCAACTTTTTTTGCTAATTTTTTCTCATGAAACTCGTTAAAAAAAACTTATTCAGCTTGCTAATCTACCCCAACTCTATAACAGCAGCAAATTCAAATGTTGAATGTTAAATGATGATAAATTTTCTTCGTTGCTGTTGAATGTTGTTTATATTTTTTCATGTAAACTTGCAATATTCGATCAAAGAATATTAAAAATCAAAGAATCAAATCGCTTTTTCATATAACATTCAACAGAAATTAGGTTTGGTATTACATAAATGTTTCAGAGCAAGTATACAGTCCAATAACGTGATGATAGTTCAATGGTTTTCCAAGAATCTTATGTTTCTGTTCACAGTAATCATTACAGTCATTATTATGGGATTATTTCATTGCATGAATGAATGCATGAATGAATATTTCATTAAAGATATGTTGAGCATGTGTTTGTTTGTGTTATTTGCTTCAATAATAAACATTTTTTTGATTTATCACATGGATCACCACCAAAACCGGGACTGTATATTAGCGCATCAAAGATTTATGGTAATTATTAAATCAGTACTTTTTCCAATATAAGTTTGAATATTTGTGCATTACATACTCTCAATACTGAAAAACTACAAATATTTACAACATCATGAACTTACTTGTTGACAGCATTCAAGTCATAACCATAGCAGACAATATTCATGACATCTTCAGGTGACAGAAAATAAAATCTAGGAAATCTTTGTCGACGTCGTTCTAAATTTCCCAATAAAGCATGTTTGCATTGATCCATCTTAGCATCCATTTTCTCAAGCATTGGTAAAAGACCTAAAAACAAATTTGGTGGTAAAAATTATAACAAAATCAGTGTAACAGAAATCTAATAAAGATGTAAATGCAAATATCCATTAGATCACAATGAAATTATAAGATGGTCATTCTACAGATAAGATTGAGATTTTCACATATTCACGGTAGACTGACCGTCAAAAGTTTAAAAAATTTACCGTAAATAAAACTTCCTTATCATCTTCACATTCTAAACTAAATTATAGTTTTATCACAAACAGTATAACAAACCTAAGAATAATTTTCTTCCACCCTATATATATATGTTCATTTTGTAACTAAGACAAAGTATTCAAAAATTTGTGACAGATAAAAAACAAGATCAATCAAGCAGAATGAAAAATTTAAACAGAACAAGTACCAAGTAAATATTGTAATTGTATACTCAAAAAACATTTTATATATCTGATTACAAATCATAGTTCCTATAAACGATATTGCACCTTTTCTAGAGCAACTCTGTAGAACATTTGTATTCTTCTCAGTTGCTCTCATTAACAATCGAAAATCTTTACTGATGACAGCAAACATATTTGCTTCATGAGCAAGTGCAGTTCGAACGTCAGCTCCTGTATATAAATCAGTAACTATTAGTTAACACAAGCATGTTTCTTGATATTAGAATGTTAAGTAATACCTTCTGAAAGTATCTCGAAAAAAAAATGAACTTTGACACCTTGACAGAATCGTAATTAAGAATAGTGAACTAGTAGTAAAAATATAGAATATCGTTTAATATGAAATAGCAATCCATTGGAGACTATTCATCCAATACAAATATAGGCGACCAATGTCTAGTTCTTACAATTTAAGCTACAATTCCAACAGTAGATTATATATATTAGCGAAGCCAATGTTTGCGGACGTTCTAAATTTCTATACAGAGAAATCTCATCATGGTATGATATTGCAGAAACACTAGTGTATGTATGTAGATATATATATATAGTAAGTGTAACATTCAATCAAAAAAACAATAACATCGCAGTAGACAACATTTGATTGGTCATGTCCTGATGCGATTTTTCTGTATAGACATTCGAAAGATGGACAAATAATTTATGCTAACACTCTATATATCATCAATATGAATATACCTGGTGGCAATCATATGCTATTTAGCTTTCGATGATAACTGATAACCTCACCGAACAATATCATAGCGGCGTAGAGAAAAAAGAATAACATAAAAATATATTGATACAAACTAATTTTATTGCAGGGTCTCTAATACCTGAGTAAATATCGTCAAGTTGAATCCATTTCTCTTGAACACTGACCCATGCTTCAAGCACTGCTTCAACCAATTGTAATTTCTTCTGCCATTTTGTAACTTCATCAAGAAATGAACCAATAGCACTGTTGCTTTGCATTCGATTTAGATCCACCTACAAGTATGTACATATTACAGTAAAATTTGTACAAACAAGCAAAACTATCATTCTACTATATAAATGTAAAATTTAAAAAAATCAGCTACCTATATGTTTTATATAGCATAGAACGCAATGTAGCAAATTGTCTTAATAAATGAGTTTTTATTTAGCTATTCTTCTTTATTAAACTTATAGCAAGAACAAAACTCTGATACTAATCATTATTTTTACAATAACGAAACCCAACAGCCTCGCCCATTTTCAAAATTTTAGTATACAAAACGAACGAAAGAAAATTTTATTTCACTTGATACAAATTTTAAATGACACTCAAACGTTCAATATCTGACACTAACCCATAAAAAGACAATTACGGTAAATATCACCTGATGATGTTCTAGCTCAGCAAATATTTTTTCCACATTTCTCAGCAAACATATAGGACTTGGATCATCGACAAGATTGACTAAACTTATCGGCAAAGACAATACTGATGTTCTTCCACCACCTCGACCTCTTGATACTGATCCTGGTCCTGTTTTATCAGAAGATCTACTGTGTGGTCCACTCTTCATACTTTTTGTCCTTGTTCCACCGGTTGTTCTGGAAATCACATGCATTTAAGAATGATTGATTTAGAAAGTAATAATCAGCATTATTATTTTTAATAGTAGGAAGGTAGACAATAGTAGGATCAAGCATCAAGCCTGTGTTCACCTTGGTAGTGATGAGATAAAGATTCAAATCTGTAATGTGTGAGTAAATTATTGAAAAATGCAATATAGTTCAAATAACTGACTAAATATTGATAGCTTAATTAGTAAAACTTTCTCTGTCAACAAAGATGTACATCCAGAACGTTCAACTAGTTTCCTAGTTTACCATTTGATAAAGTTTTTTTATTGCCTTCCATAACCCCTAGAATAAATAAAACTCAATCCCATTGCTTGAAAATTTGAAAGGTCATTAAGTTACCATAAGATAAAACCAGGGCTGGTAAGTTAGTTTTTGTGTCAGAGCTGAGCTGGAGGATTTTGGGTGTGACCACTACTTTGAAACATCAGCTCAAATGCAGTATAGCAGAAGCAGGACTCAAAACTGTGATATATAAGGGTTCAAATTTTAAAGTAAACTTTTGAAAATATATAAATTCAACTTGAAACTTTCAAATCAATATTATGAATTGTAATTTATAAATAAAATGGTTTGGAGCTGGAGTCACTAAAATTTCTGGTAGCTCTGACACTGAGTCCATCTAATGTGGCACCAGCTCCACCAAATTGTCATAGTTTTTGACTCCAGAATCAGGCTCCAGCTATGGCACTCCAGTTAGAATTTTCCATATGCTGGGAATATTGATTAATGATTTAAAGTAGTTATTATGCTACCTGCTTCCTTCATATGTTTGTAGAACAGCATGAGGCATCATTTCACTGCCTGTTATTTCACTCCCAGCTTCAATCTCAGCACTTTGTGCTCTTGATAAACCTCGAGAATGTGGATGAACTTCAAATACTTTGCCGAGCCAAACCTCTTCACAAGTCTTCAATGAACTTTCAATAGTTAAATCTGGATTAAATATTTGAAATAATTGATAATTAATTAATAATTATCAAACATGTAATTTCCAACAAAATATTTTGATTTTGATAACTAAAATGATCAACCAACCATGATCAATTCAAGAAACATCACAAAAATCAAATAACAAGTCATATTTATCATATCTTCATCACCTTAAAGACTAATTCGATTCAGACCCCTTATCTTTCAAATTGATCAATCTCATTAGCATTGCACAAATATTAATTTATTTATTCATTTTCAAAACACGTCCCTACCTTTCACAGCTCGTTGTACAATAGATTTCACTTCTTCAGCATGTTTTTGTAACCCGAGTTCAAGCAAATCTCCCAGAATCATCTTCCTTAAGCTGTCAGTGTCCGTTTGCAGCAAACCACCTATGGCATTAAAAATTAAAAAAGGCTGTACTACACATTATAACATATACTGCTAACACCAATTTTAAAAAATATCCATGTATGAAATATCCATTCAAATTCCTATACTATATATATAATGGAGTATTTTTGTATTGCAGTTCTGATTTTTTGTATACATATTCTTACATCAAACACGTTATATTATGATATATAGCGATATATATAAAGAACTATGATGTAACACATATTGGTGATATCTTATATCAGATACATAAATTATTACCGTAATTACATTATCTCTTGAAATTAAAAACCAAACATTGGTAAACCTTCAAAATATCATGACATCCACGAAATTTGAATTCGTCTAAATCAGTTTTGAGACTGTGATTCAGGTAATATTTTATTTTTTAATCATTCTATCATACAAGAGGTGGATATCAGTATTACATCTGCTATTTTCAATATCAATGCACAAGAAACCTCCTCCGTGGCTATCATGATCAGTAAGACAAAATTGGTTATTTATATTGTAAATCAGGTAAAATTAAGTAACATAATATTTTCACCGACCTGTGACTCTTACAAGCTGTTTCCAATGCCTTGTTCTCATTGCTGGATGATTTAAATCTTTAACAAGAGGAAGACATTGTTCAATAACAATTGTTGATTCAATCATTCCTTGATAAACATCCCAAGCTGCAACCTAAAATTTATAAAATTCAGTCAGGAAAAAAAGTATTTGACTTGCTTAACACTTTTTTACAGGTACAAACACAAAGAAATAATTATACAATAATATATTAAAATGTATTTCAATTTCCCTGTGCATCGAATTACCGTATTAATGCCTTCTATCTAACAATGAAAAGCAACTAATCGTACATACAGCAAGGTATATTGAGTGGTATTTTTTCCTTAGGCATAGCCTATCAAATTTATTGCATTCCATGTAATGGTAGGATTGAAAAAACAATCAACCAAGGCTAACCAGTAAGATACTGTGTCCAAAAATTCATTGGATAGAAATCTGGAAAAGGGGTAGATTATTTAATTTTAATACGGTATCAACATACTTCACTCGGTAACAATTCAATTTGTTCTTTTTGTCTTCCAGTAGCTTGTTGTAACTGTTTGACATCAATTTTTTGCCAATGTTTCAGTTTCCAGTCTCTCTGTTCTGCTTCACATAATCTCTTCTGTTCCCAAGTCATCTTCAAATTTTTCAAATCTCTCTGATATTGAGGCAAAGCTGAAAAGTTGACAACCGCTGTTTCGAGTAGTTCCTGTATAAAAGTGATATGAGTTTAAAAAAAACTCCGTGCATTTGGTAATAAGTAAAAAGTAAGATATGAAATAATAAAATTATTCATGTGTTCTCTGTGGAAACAATAAAATTGAAGCAAAAATATGTAATGAAACTAGAAAAAAAAAACGATATAGTATGTGCAATGTATGAAATTAATAGAAAATAAAAATCAAACTTATATGATTACTCGCATACTGAATAAAACTTACCATTTTTCCATTATCTCATTGTTAGAAAAATAGCTTTTATTTCACATAGTATTATAACAAAAAGAATCAATGTTTTTCATTGGCAACATTTCTACTATTCTATATTTATTTAGAGGAATATATACAATGAATTTACCAAATTTTTCAGTCCCTTATGTGCATAAAATATAAAAAAAATAAATGAATTGACAATCACCTGTAACTCAATTAAATCTTGAGCCTCTGTTTGCAGAAGACGTAATCTTCTTGAAAATCCATCAATGGCTTCAGTTGCAGAATGTATCGGACAATCTCTTGAAAATACTTCTGATGATCTTAACTCAGAAGCAAGTGCTGCAACACGATCTCCAAATCTGAGCAAATCTCTAGTAATACGAGCTGATTCCTCCTGAAAAGTACAATTGGTAAATAAGTTTTCTATTTCTAAATGAGTATTCTACTTTCACTATATTTTGACATTCTTTTCAGTTTTATTGTGTTTGTACCAAAATTGCATTGAACAAGACTCCGGGAAAGCAGCCACTGATAGGACTCCAAATTTTAAGAACAGGTTCTATTTGTATCGGACACACTAACAACGGGTTCCCTCATTTCAGTAAAAGAAATATGTCTCACTACCTAAGCTGTATTAACATGACAAGCCTTACATAAATCTAATACATAACTTCTGAAATGCCAAATATAATGTGGTGCACGTAACCCATTTGCCTTGGTTATCTCACGTCCAAAACATAAAAAAAAAAAAAGGTAGAGATCGCTGATTACCACGATATTCCAGGGACAGGTTTTTGTGAACCTGTGCAAACTTCCTACATCCCAACACTGTACATAACCATATATATTTCGAAAATAGCTGAACATTCTATGTCTTCGGACTTTACCCATTTATACTGACTGCAAATGAGATGCTGGGTTTGAATCAATAATCTCTATCATGAGACACCAACATAATCAGGCCCCACAAACAAACTATTGTGCATCAATGCCAACAATTTAACTAAATTGAGACTGACTAAATATGGGTGGATACTTCAATAGAATATGAAACCTCGCCTGAATTCTTGGCCCCAATCTTTGTTTTGCAAGTGATACTTTTGTTTTGAGATGATTCCAGCGATCAGGAGCTGAATCAAACATTTGTTGTGTTTCACCAGATAATTTCATGTCATATTTTTCAAGAAGATGAACAGTTCGATGCATGACAGAAAATCTGTATATAATAAATATATTGCATAAAATGAAAAACTGCTAATCACTAATTAGCTAATCACTAATGACAACATAGTGCACAAACATCACACTAACAGATCAAAATTTGCTTTTCAATCCATTTTCAAACATGGAAAGTTTATTCAATTCCCCATTGACACTATGGCTTCTTATGCAGAGCCTTGATAGGAGCAAAATGTGTGGGTATAAATACATTGTGTAATAAAAAATTAGTGCTTTGGTTTAGATATGCTAGTATCACAGTATGAAGTTTTCAAATTTTAAATCAAGTCAAGACAAGATGGTAAATTGTTAATCATTCCCTGGCAAATGGTGACCTTTTCCCCTGGATGTAACATTATGAGTAGAAAATTTACGATTGTTATGATTCCATAGTCTTGTCACAAAATCTCACTCCTAAGCTCCTACTTACCTTTCCTCCATATCTTGTTGTTGAGCAGATACTTCATTAAACAATCTCATCATCTTCATGAATGAAGCAGTATCTCTCTCTTCACCTGTTATACTTTCTATCTCAGGTTCTGTTCGAGCCAAGAAGTCAGCAAGAGTATCAAGAGAGTCAGTGACCTATGAAAATAAAATTAGCAATAATATTAATTTAAACATTTTATAAAAAATCAAAGCTGTTATTTATCAATATTGAATGGACAAAAATGTTATAAATAAAGGATGAAAAAATAACATTGTACTAGAAAGCACAATTCAACTTGAATGTATGGTAGATCTAAAGTTTTGATAGTCTATTGACAAGTAATTTTAACTTTCCTATTTGGCTTCGATACTACTGATGCAATAAAAAAAAAACATTATCAACCATCAGAATGATCAAACCTGATCACAGAGATATTTTGTAAAAGTCCACATCCATTTACTTGCATACGTTGTTAGAACCTGAAAGTGAAAAGTTAAAGTATTTAAACACATGATATTCAAATATTTGACAACTTGGAAATACTTCCACTACTGAAGCATTAAACCATTTTTTTTATATTTTAATTTTTACAGGTTCGGCAGTTGGCACATCATGCAAAGGGTCAAGAACATGCCATTGATTCCTCTGGAAAAAATACCATGTTAACTATTCCCATACCCGACATGGACTGGTAACTAAACAAGAGGCTGTGGTTCACCATATGATACAGCCAGCTTTCTTCTCTCTGGGAAAAAGGTAGGTTAGTCCTATCTTATCCTCACCTAAATACTTATCAATACATAATAGGCATTTTGAAAAATGAATATGCTTCAATAAAGAACCTGTTTGATAGGCTGAAAATTGATGTTCAGCCATCCCACGATACGAAAATCAGGTAAAGACGAGATATTATCTCTTGCTGATTTATAAATGCCAATCTCTTCATCAAATTCCGCAAGGCCAGGTATTGTCGATTCCATTCCAGCATCTGAAGTACTTGCAAAAGCCATTTGTTTTCCTCCTGTACTTTGTTGACCCAATGCCATAGATCCTGTTCTTGTACCAGCATTAGTTCGATGCGGAGTAAGGAACGCTCTCTCTGCTTCAGTAACTGCGTCCGGACTGTTGACAGAATATCTGGATCTGTAATATAAAGAGAGTAAATGGAGACATGTTGATCTGTATAAATTGAAGACAGTAAATTAAATCTTTTATATCATATATCCAAAATCGTTACAAATGATCACTAAATAAATTTTTAATTTTGTTAATTGCTTCATCAATACTTTATCCAAGTATTGCTGAATGAAGAAGTTATATGGATAACTGGTACTTCATACAGCAGTTAGGACCTGAAAAAGTGGACTGAAATGATAACTTTTTAGTGGATGCCATAATTCCAATTTAGGCAATTAAATAGTACTTTTGTATTTATAATGATATGGAGAATAGGAAAACAACCAATATCTACAAAGAGGTACATATTTCTCCTATCCAAGTCATAGACAATTTACTATGCCCTAAATATGGGATGGAATTTGCATGAGTTGGAATCACAAGACTATCGGAATCTGTAACATTGAGATGCAATTTGTGAACTTCACAGGCAAATGAGAAAGCCACGAATCATGATGTGAGATGATATAATGATCGAATTCATAATCGTGACATATAATTAAGGATTGTGTCATGTAGTAAAGTATTTAGTATTTATTAATTACCTCTGACCAGTTCCACTGGTTATTTGACTGATTGTTTTGTGAGTTTTCAGATGGGATTGTTTTGATGCTCGTAGAGGATTAGGTGATGGTCGCCCATTCAAAAAGTCTTGAAATGAAAGCTGTACATCTTGAACCCATAAAAATCTGAAAGTTAGAATAATGCAATTAAAAATAAATGTTGTAAATGTGAATGCCTGCACAAAAATATTAGCACAGATTTCAAATATAATGACTATTGCGATACTAAAAAAAATAAAATGAGCTTGTATACCAAAACTCATAATCTGAGCACGAATTTCACCAATTTAATTTCAACAAAGATTCTTGAAAACACAAACCAAATGCACAATACTTGTATACCTGTAGTTGTCAAATATGGAAAGTAATTCTTTGCATTCAGCTGCATTCTCCATTACAACAGTCTGTATTTCATTTAATATTTCCCAAACATCTTCATCATTGCTCAAAAAATCTGAATATGTACTGAATGGATCCTGAAAATAGATTTATTTGAAACGATATCTTCATACATGTAGGGTCGTATGTTGATAATTTATATATGTAACAATCGCAAAAGTAAACTGCTTTTTTTTTAAAAACTCTTGTATATAATTGACAGTGGAAGGTACTTATAGTCCAGTTCATGGTCATTTTTGAAGTTTCTTATTTTTAGCTAGTACAAAAAAATTCCAACAAAATAAAGAGAACAAGATGAACATACAGTTTTACTAGGAAGAAAAGCCACTGGATACAATCAAGTTATAAAACAACGACTCTTAAAATTACTAGTAAACTAATAGTATTAACCATTTCAAGTTCTCATGCCCACTTTAGTTAGCACTTACAGTTAATCTGTTGACTAGACTTGCTCGTTTCAGATAATTATTCAACCAAGTTCCAATTGCATCTTCAACATTATCAACAGATGCTGATCTATCCATAGGTGGTGAAAAAGAAACTGTTTGTTCAACCAATTCAAGTCGAATAGTCAGAATTGGTTCCTGAAGAAATATAAAGATGAATTATAAAAAGATGTTTTGAAAATGTAACAAAGTCAGCTATATTTTGACTTTTCAATTCCTCAAATAACAAATTTTCAAAAATATTACATTTATATTTACATTATTGTTTCATGTCATGATTTAACAGCCGACAGCCATCTCAAAATTCAAAAGCGTTTATGAATTTGACAAATTTGAGTCTTCATTCATAAAATACTCTCATTATACTTAACATACATGAGGGGAAATGGATACAAAAAGACGAAAGATAAAGAAATACAACTAATTAATATAAGTGTTTAATTGTGAATAATTATTTTAGGAAATATGACATATATTAGATTACCTAAACAGAAATTCATTGAAAAAATTTTCCAAATCTAAAACATCGACTATATGTCATATGACAGACAATTATATTTCCTACCAGAGGTTGAATCATCAAACTCTCATCTGTAGCTGCCGCAGTGATTGTATACATTGCATCCAGACTCGTCAAGATACTATTCTTTAATGCAATCAACACAACTGCATCCATCTGTGCTGTATATAGCTGCCAGGCAGGGGATGCAGCACTCATTTCAATTGCCTGAGGTATGAAAAAACATATCATGAACAAAACTTTATGATGTAGTATGAAGATGGTAGATAAAAAATATAAAATCACCTCGAAAGAATCTTGAAGCAATGAATGAATATCAGAACCAGCTGGAACCAGTTTATTCTTGTATTGTTGATCCATTTCTTCTTGTAATGTCAATAATTCTTTTAAACTATGAGAAAGATTTCTTGTCTTGTGACTTGTAAAAATTCCCAGTTCACCTAGAAAAAATTATTGCAGATACCAGTAATAATATTCAACAATGATGAAATAAATGATATACTTTGAAGAGGTGTTATATCATTGAAAATAGATGACATCTACATAACATGATAAACATATAAATATTGATTAAGATTAATAAATAAGTTTATTCTCCTTGATGCAAATAGCTTATAAATACTTAAAAGAAATTTAAACAACCATCCTTGGCCTATCAACTATCTGAAACTTGAATTCAAACATTCAATTTTGGAGTGTTGCTTATGTTCATGGAATGCCAGATTCTATTATAGGAGAAGCCTATATATCAATATTCACATGAGTTTTCTGCTGTACACACCTTCTGACCAAGATTGAGCAAGTTCTTCAACTCTTGCCCAGTTATTATGAACTCTTGTCAAACTACGATGAACGTCTTCACTTATCACTGCAGTTACTTTTTCCAAATAATCTTCTAAATCTGATGAACACCACGTAACTACTTCTTTTCCTTCCAAAATAAGTTCGTCAACCTATATAGAACCAATTTTATCATTCGAAAGTGCAGCAATCATTTATATAAAAAAACCCTTATTAAATATTACAAAGGTAAAAAAAGCTACAAACATCTAACACCTTTTCCTGAAAACTGACATATAAAAATGATTACCAGTATATCCGATTATGTGTTCTTTAATAAAAAAAAAATAAAGAGAGATCAAAAAGTGAATGAAGCAGATTTTTTTTTGAGGTTAAGTAAGGTGGAGCAATAAAATACAATGCAAAACACTAAAAATGGAACATAAATACACAAATTTTCACATGTCGTAGTGTAAAGATAGAATCTGTAGCAATATATAATTTATCAGTAGGTGCGCCAAAACCATTGAACAAATTATTGATCAGCAAAAAAGCAGTCTGAAACATATATACTGACTGAGAGTATGAGAAAGTTTGAAAAAGCACCATAACTACATACCCTTCTCATTTTTCCTTCAAACAAAAGTAATTCATGTTGTTTAAGACTCTTGATAATGTGATTATACTTGGATACAACAGTATGAAGTCTTGTTGCTTGCCTGTGTAATATACTGCTGTCAACTGTTCTCAACAGTGCCCGAACTGAAGCTGGAATTGGAACCTGAAAAAAATCATACAAATTCATAGAATATTTTTAATTTAGACAACCATGGGTAAGAAACAGTGAGAATATGATATTGCATGTGAAATTAAATCAAAATAAATTTATACAATTTGAGCAAGAAGACGATGTCAATTACATCGCACTAGATATGGGAACATATAACATAAATCAACGTGGTTACTTGTCTTTCAGGGTGTAAAAACCCCTTAAACAATCTCAACATTTGACTTTGCTGACATATTTGGCTGTTTGACAACATAGCATTTTGATTTGAAGTTATTCTTTGAGGGAACTGATTTGAAATTCTTGGTTAAAGACTTGATATGGATTTTTTGTTTCAGTTATAGGTTCATAACACCCGAATTCTGATCTCTTAATGAATCATTTCTTTCAATTTTTAGGTTGGAGCTAATTTGAAACTCAAGTTTCCTAATTTTACATTCAGAAATTTTATTGATATCATTTTTTAATTGTGATTAGCTTCAAAATTTATAATCTAGAGTGCAATATAACCCTAAAATCACTAAAACTGCAAAGCATTGCAAACAAGAACATTGTTGAAGTAAGCCCCTTTTTTCAAATCAAAATTCAAGGGACTACCAACCTCATATGGTGGTTGTTTCAGGTATTTGATATCCCTCAACATAACAAGCAATTTCTGATCAAGATTGACTTTGATTGCAGTTGCTCGTTCCCTTGGACTCGATGGATCCGTAGATTCATTGTTGTTGTCGATATTTTCACCGTCATTCAAGTTGTCAGACTTTCCTGTTTCCAATATCCTTTCTTCTTCAGGGGCAAGAACGAAGTTTTTCAATTTATCCCTAATAACAAAAATTATATTTTTTGTTGAAAACCTGTGAAGTTGAGTTCAAGGGCATTTTACATAAATAGGCTTTATAAAAACAATGGAAATATAGTGGGGACATTTTCTTGGCCTCCTTGGTTTAAAAATTTTATACTTCACTAGAAAGGGTCCAACTGACAGAAAGTGAGATAGGCCTACAATTTTTAAGATAGCAAAAGATGATGAACTCAAGAGCATGAAAGAGTAAAAAGGTTCGAAACTCTAAGTCTAAACACTTTTTCGAACAATCTCTTATTATTATTAGTTTAAGTAAATCATCAAAATCTATCAACTGCTTTCAGAATACTCTTTGTCATATATTTTTATTGTATCAGAAATATCTCACTAGCAATCACAAACAACATTTAAGCAATGAACTTTTGCACTCAATGATCAAATTTAATAAGCTTTTATCAATCTGCCAATTACTTACTATTCATTAAAATAGATCGTCGATTTTTCCCAGCAAATATGCACTGATAATTACAAACTTCATTAAAATATTACGTTGAATGAATGCACAGTTGAACAAATGAAATAATTGCCAAATTCTCTTTTTCATGTGGTAGGATAGGCTACATAGATAATTTTTTTAATAAAAAATTTTCAAAGCAGGGTCACTCAAAAGTAAAGTAAGTTCATCTCTTTACCTTATTTCTGTGTCAATACTTCGACTCCAAGATGCAAGTAATTTGGTTTCATATTTTTCTAATTCATTCATTGCTTCTGTGAATGCATCTCGTAACAACCATCCTTTATCACTTTCTATTGCATGTGGACAAACGGCCCTCAATTTTCCCATTGGTATGCCAATACGCTCTTTCAAGGCTCTTATCTATAAACACATAAAATATGAGCGAAAAATTTCAATTCTAGTGAATTTCGCTCAAGGCAAGGTTACAGAGACTCATTCAGAAATAAAGGAGACTGATTCCTGAATAAAATTAAAAGTGAAAAGAAAGTGCCCAGAAAGAATTATTTCACCATAATATTTTTGCTAGCATTTTATTTTTATCCTTTGATAGGATCCGGATTTACGGAAAAAAATTATGAACATTTTGACCATTATTCATTCCAGTCATGATTTTGGCATAAAAAACCCTCTTAATTAATGATATATCATTTTGTCATTTTGAAAACAGGATAAGTAAATAAGTACATCTCAAAAACGTTATGCTATTAACCCTCAAAAATTGCTTAAACTCTTACCCAGTACAATTTGCTGACAGTAGGTGGCATATTTGCATGTTTCGGAACATCTTTAACATTTGTTTGAAATAATTTTTTGACAGATTTAAATTCATCAATCAACTCTGTCACCAACTGTGCATTTTCTGGTGCCAGATCTTTCTGCAGAAGCTCTCTCGCACTGATTCCTTCAAAAACTTCAAGAACCCTATAATGAAGATATAATGACCTTGAAAAAATATCTTAGATTATTATCTTTGGTAAAATTTACATTGGTAAATGGGGCATTTACTGGTAGTGAGTTATGTTACTGTAAATGGCTCAAACACTGACCTAGAAAATAGTTTTGAATTTGTATTTAGCATTGAATAGGTTGGTAATCAAATCAAGAGCTTGTTAGAGCTTAAATTCTGTTTATTTCCGTGATAAATGGCAATACAGCAATTGGTTAATTTATGAGATGCTTGAAACACATCTTCACATAAGATACGTAGACATATGACTGCTTCTCACAATAATTAAAAATGAAAGTTATGTAAAATCCTGAAAAATGAGTATTCTCTGCATTGATGGTCTGTCAAACTTTACCAATAGCTATACATGTTCTTGAATAATGTAGCAAATGTGTGCGGTGCAATGGCCTAGCGGGGAAAGCGTTACACTCAACAGAGTTGTCATTGCAGATTACACATCTCGAGTTTAAGGGTAGGTACTGCTGGAACGAAACTTTCAGATCCTTTCAAATAATAGTAGCCACCGTAATTACATATTGTGAGATATCAGTGGCTGTACAGGGGTGTACAATACATGTGTATGTTATTAAAATAAAAGTATATTTATCTTCATGAAAATTAGGTCGAACCTTTCATTTACAATTAAATGCCCAAAGATTACCTCAAATGTGACATAGGATTAGGGCATATGCTTAGGGATTTTCTCAAAACTCCTGCTAATCTACGTTCCAAAGTCTTGATAACAGATCTGTAGTGGAAAAATGCTTTCTCAAAATGTTGTTTGTCATCGATGGTCAAAACATCTTGATTTTTCTTTGTGAATTCTCTGATTGTTTTCATGAACACCTGGAAATAAAACATCAAAAGAAAATAAGATTGTATTGAATATATTACTACTATTCCACAGACATAATTTGGACTTGATCGGGCGCAATTACAAATGAAATATTGCAACCATCTGAAGTTACTTATTAATAATTATTGCCAATATCAGTACAGGATTAAGAATGTTAACAATGTTGCATGCTATTAAGTGGAATAAATCACAATATATGGAACATAAGGTATAAAAATATTTCATAGAGCTCAACAGACAGTCAATTCAGACTCAATCTGCTTCAATATTTTAATAGTTTGTGGTACTTTTTCAAATTGAATAAATCTAATGCACTTAGAATAAAAAAGTAAACTAATTCTTCGATTTTAAAAACCTCAAATATAACAAAATCTACCTCATGAATATCATTCACAAGAGCATCCAATGCTCGAGATCCTGCTCCTCCAACTCTCGCTGCCTCTTCTAAAGTGTTGAAATGTCGAGTCGTTTCAACTAAATCCAAAAGATCATTACATCGTTCCACAAATCTGCTTAAACCACCGAAACATGCAGTGTTTCTTGGAGGCCATGCAGAATCTTCCCAATGTTCTTCTGAACCTAAAATATTAAATTTGATCAAGATAGGCTCTAGGTATATTAATAGAAATTGCACATTATAGACAAACCATTAGTATCAATCGCATGCCATTCAATATCAGTTATGAATTAGAATGCATTTAGTATTATTTCTATTTTATGAGAATAACAACAATGTACCTTCTTCCAATCGTTAAATCATAGGTTTGTTCTAACTAACAATATAATTCAGGAATTTTAAAACCAATGAATGTTGAGAATAATTAGCATGACCAATTTCAGATTATTGCAAGTTCTCTATCCCAAATTATTGTGACGAGTCTATCGGGGCACTCCTTGGTCTTTGAATTTTTGTACATAATATACATAAATAAAGTATTTTTATGCCTTTATACGAAAAATGAACATGGTGATGGCTAATTACCACAGAACTTCTTCAGTATCAGAGTTGTTGAAGACATTATCCCTCAAGACATTTACAAGAAAGTATCATAATATATCCAATATTCATAATATTTATTACTAACAACTTACCATCAACCTGTGGATCTCCTGGTAACTGCTGAAATCCAGTCGGTCCATACATTTTAGCACGAAACAATACATTATGATCCTTAGGTCTCAACCTTGTCATACTTGTAACATTAGATTCAAGTTTCTTCTGATTGATCTCATTTGCAGTTTCCTTATAAACACAATGATTATTGATGTTTGTGGAGTTCAAGTATTAGGTTTTTCTCCAATATTAATTCTATCTTACCTTAAAATCTAAATAAGTTCCTCTGAATGCAGCACACAATCTCAGTGCATCCTTCAATGCAGTGTATGAGCGTGATGTATCTTCGAATGGGTTATCACCAACTAAAGATCTTGCTCTGGCAACAACCTACACATCAAAGAAGTTAATAGATGATGAATCAACTAAATTATGACGAATTAGTTTAATTGCCTTTAATGCTGAGAAAGTTGATATCAAACTTGCGGTGTACATCCTTTTTCAGAACTATCTGCTTTTTCTTAGTTTAGTATATATCTAACTACTACATTTTAACTGAGAACTGATTCCGGAACTTTCATTTATTTTTGATATTGTGAATGCTGAAATCTTCCAATAGTATTATAATCTACTTTTCTGACTTTTTTTAGTCCATGGTGAATAAAATTTTTAAGTTTGAGAAGTTTTATACTAAGCATAGTATCAATACAAAACTGTTCATAATTAGAGAACCAATAAAAATAAATTAGAAAATTGAAAAAAAATAATTCATATCAATAATTAATCAATTTAGTTTTGAGCCATTAGAATTGGATATAAATTGGAACATATATAAACCTTTTGTGTTGTATTACATGAACAAAAATTTGTACCTCATTTGACAACATTTGCAGCATATGAGCAAACACACTGACATTGTGATAATAATCTGAATTTTTCCAAATCAGAAGAACAGTGTGCAAAAGAGGAGGAAAAACTAAAAACAAAGCATAGTCATTAATAAAAAGTAAATATGTACGGTATACTAATACACACAACATTTTGAATTCAGACGCAAAAAGTATACTAAGAACAATTTACCAGTCACAAAAATGTGAAACTTGCTAATTCACAAATAGCTGTCCATTCCAGCAAAATATATTTTCTACATTCTTTTATTACTTGACTTCCTAATTTTACCAACACGATTTTTCACAACCAAAATTAAAAAAGTAAATGAAAAGCTTTGTAACTTCATAAATGAATGAAAAAACAATCTTCAATTCTCCGCACATCAGCACAGATTTAGTACTAATTATACAGAATAAAACTTGAAACTTCATTCTTGCATAGTGGGCAATAACAAACCTTTGAGCATGCGATCAAGTGAAGATGTCCTATACATATCTTGAATCCAAGGCAATACAGTTGTGAAACATCTCAGTCGGGATCTTGCTGTTTCTAATGCCATTTCCACTTCAACACGAACTGCACCAAATGACTGAGCATAGGAACTATTAGCATGAGTCAAATTCATAAGAATATCCATGGCAACAGGAGCTGTGAGACAATTAAATACACTGGAGAGAGAGTTTTACAATCACTATATTTGAAGCGATTAATATTTTTTTTCATAAATGCTTACTCAGAGAAGTTTATCAACGCATTTGGTGAAAAGATTAGCCAACTATTAGACTAGTTATTGCTTAACATTTGAGAAACATTTTAGTTTACCTTCTAATTGTTCCAATATTGAAGTCATGTGTTGGATATGCTTTTCCCACATTGCAACCTCATGATGGGGTCGAACTGGCTTTTTTGCTTCTCTGCTTAGTGCTCTACAATATTTATTAATGAGATTTAACTTTTTATTTTATCTTTTACCAACACCTTAAAATAACAGCACATGGTATTCCAGAAAGCAATAGCTAATCATGTTTACTTTAAACTAGAGTTTACCACCTGGCCACAGTAAAAATTTCGATATCCGAATGAAATGTCATTTTTTCAAACTACTTTCTGTATAATAGTGTCAGCGGTCTGCACCAAAGTCATATTTGCATTCCTTTAGTTCGTGTGAATTGTAAAAAACTGATTGTTCCTATTCTCAATATGACTAAAGTATTTTGTAACTAACAAACAATTCATTCAAAGTGATAAATATACCTTGTTGAAGAAAGTGGATCGTGCCTCAGTACATTTCTTATTTGCTTTATCCAACCGATAACTGCTGATTCAAGTACATGAACAACAGCAGGTTGTCTGTGTTGAAATGCAGCTGCTTCTGCTAAAACCTCGATTGATGGGAGGGGCAAACAAACCTAGTTGAAGGGAAAACCATATGTTTATATACTTATCCCCTTATCAGCACAAAATAAAAAGCGTTTTTATTGAATTTCAACCAATATACAAAACACTCAATACTCATAATAGCAATATTTCAGTATGTAAAATAGTAAGCTTAGAATGATGGCAATATTATTAGAAAGCATGGAAGAGCATTCATCCAAACATTCATATTTCAAATTTTTGCAAAAATTTTTTCCTTTTTTATAACAGTGATTTTATTTTTAGTTCAAAATACCTGAAAGCTGACACAACATCATTAATTAAATTCCCTTATTCAAACTCAACTCGTATTTGTAATGAAATGGTACGTTTTTATAAAATAGGTAAGCAATAAGTCAACTAAGTTTTCCAGCTATAAATAAGTCATGTGAGCCAGAGGCTTCAAATGACAATCATGATAAAATTTTAGGGAAACATTGTAATAAGGATATTATAATTCTCACCATTCCTTCTGATATTCCCCTTGTTATTTCGATATTTCCCAAAAGTCTATGTAAAACATCCATCATTTTATCGGGAGTTATTACTGAACCATCATCGTTTGGTTGAGAAGCCAAATCAGAGTCTGTGCACAGCAGAGGAAGATAAACTTCTCTAAATGATGCAAATAAAAAATAGTATTCAAGATTTAGGTATCAATAATAATAATGATAAAATAATGTGGTTTATATATTAAGTCTAATTAAATTCTCTAAAAAATAGTATCAACTGCATAAAATGCCCTGAAAGTATTAATTAAAAAATTGAAAACAATTTGCAAAATTATTTTACCTCAACAGCATTTCTCCATGTGTCAATGGATCAGACCAATCCATACATGTTATACTGTCATCTAAATTTCCTGAATGGAGTTGAGACGCAAGACCAGTTTTCAGAAAACAGATGCATTTCTCTTTCACCTTAAAAAAATTTAATAATCAACCAGAAGAGTATTATTTCCCACTGACCACTGTACTTCAACACATTGATCCCATTCAACCTAATTTTTTTATTAGCCAAGCTTACCTCAACAGGAGCTGAGAGTGAAACCTTTAAAGAACCTCCAACACTCCCTTCTTCACTTACAGTGTGGACAAAAAGTCTGGAAAAGGTTTCAACTGTTAATTGACACAACTATTTCTAAAATATATTTGAAGTGTAACCAGTTCCGTCTGCCGCCGGGTGCAGATGTGGCTACTTTGAGCTAAAGATATGTGTTCAAAAAGTGAATCACAGACTTAGTGACATCAAAAAACAAACAGCAGATAACAGAAATAGTCAATTTTTAACTGGGGGACCAGAAATGTACAACTGGGATGCAAGAATGGAAGATTTTTGAGAGAATTACTGCAAGCAAGCATGAAGTAAGTTCAAATAAAATTGAGCTTGGACTGCTCTCTTTATAGATAAGACTGGATATACAAAACTTGATTTTTACATTTTTGTGTGTACGTTTTAGTCGATATTATGATAATATTAATGTCGTTCTAAGCACTTCAAGTATGTTTTATTTTCTCCGTTCATAATTTGCTTTTCATGTTTATAGATAAAATAAAATATGCTTATTATGTGGAAAAATTTAATAAAACTACCAAAATTATAACAATTAACCTGTGTGCATCATTGTTTGAAAAAAATTCAAGCAACGCGGCTCGAGATTCATCACGAGAAAACAATTTTCTTAGATCATCTGCTCTTGGTTTCAGCGAAGATGTGATTCTTGTCTCTAACCAACGCAACCGCTCATCAGGATCCATTATTTAAAACTGATAAAAACCAAAAAAATTCAGATTATCAATAATAAAAAAAGAAAAAACATGCAATTATTATGTAAAACCCTACAGATTGTGGTATTAGTAACTGCTTATCTACAGTACACTATATATCTTGTATGGAGTGAGAAGATGAAACACAGTACTGCAGTACAAAATACCCCAGCTAAAAATATCCCACAATATACAGATACTATGTCTATGTAGGCAAAGTTATGTTGCAATTTGACCCAGCATTCCACATCGTGAGTATTGTATAATTGTATAAATATAACAGGGATAACGATTCGCACCAAAAATACTTAAGTTGATTGATTGATTGATTGATTGATTGATTAAAATGGTGTCATCCCACATTTTTTCAATTTTTCTCGTTTGCATTTACAGTAAAAGACAAAAAGTAGGTAGGTAAATGGGTATCTTTGCCTCCTAGCTATGTTTACCTTGAAACAAAATGTTATTAACAAAAATACTTACAGTTTTCTCCTTTATAACTTAATCCATACGTGCGGAATTCAAGCGCAATTAGAGCAGTAGGCGTCTGGTTGCTACTGACATCTGAATTCAGGCATGTCGACCTCTGACTTCCAAATACATATCCTTGAAATTTTGAAAATATAAAAGACAGCTGAACAATGATTCAAAGTGGGCCAACATGAATTTTATATATCAAATAATTTATATGAAATGGAATAACCTTTTAACATTTATCACGAACGGGGTTGCAAACACTGCATTCGATCATTCGATGGCAAAATTCCAATACCATCAATAAGTTGTTAGATGTTGTCAGAGCATATACCACATAAGGATAATTTATTGTGATGGTTTACCGTGTAATGGTTTTGATTCATACTGAGTTAGAATGCTTTATTAAAGCTTTATAAGGCGAATATAACACGAGGAATTAATTGATCATTTGTAGTTTCGGAAACCGGTGTCACCCTTCTTCTTAGCTCTTTACGGAGATTTAACTTGCTTACCGTACCCCATTGCTTACCCTGAAAGTGAACATTTATTTTTTCCGGAATCATGTGATTCGAACTTGCTAAATCTCTTTTTTTTTTCGGTAATGCCAAACGCATTGAGTTGTTCATCGGTTGCAAATCTCAGTGCGCTGAATGAATCTCGCAATTGTGTTTCACTCGGAACAGTTAGTTAACCGTCGTCTCGATTTGATGTCAAGTGTAACCGTCAACTGATAGACAGACTTCCCGTTTTAAGTTCGTTCGGGGAAATAGACCTTTTTTCAGCCGACAAGCGCATTTGATATTAATTGCAATATACTGATATGAGTTAACTGTATTACAGTATTACGCCCGAATTACCGGCATCTAGCTAGTCCTACTTGGAGATGCTTTAAGTTTCGAGTAAATCAGCATATGGCTGGGTATTGCCATACGTTTATTAATATTTAGAGATGGGTTTATCTTCACTTCTGAGTGAATTTGATAATATTTTAGTGGAAGATAGATTATTATTAACTTTTCGGAAAACATGTTTCAGAGAATACTGGGATATCTGGTCAATACTGAATTAAATCTGCAGCCCAATAGGCCTATAGAAGTTTGCAGACAACAGATGAACCGATATACAGATATAGGCCTAGTTAAAGCTAATACTGGCATTGCACAGTAGCACTAGCATCTACTCTGCTAAGCAACAACTGCAGGTCTGACCATGGGTTCCCTTTTTCGAAGTGAGAAAATGTGCCTTGCACAGCTTTATCTTCAAACAGAATCAGCCTACGCTTGTGTCAGTGAACTCGGAGAATTAGGACTTGTGCAGTTTCGTGATGTAAGTTATAATTACAGAATTATATATGGTCATATAGTCTTTATTATCGATCAACTTCTATTTTCTTTGTCAATCAGTTGAATCCTGATATAAATGCATTTCAACGGAAATTTGTTAATGAAGTACGAAGGTGTGATGAAATGGAAAGAAAACTGAGTAAGTATGCAGTAGTAACTAACCTATAAAATTTCAATATCATTTATGATTTGTACTTACATAGCACTCATCTAAATCAGCAGATAACCCTTTCAAAGGCCGCCCATTTTGAAATTGAAAGCTCTTGCCTTCCTATCAGGGTGTCACTTCAATGCAGTCTATTGGGAAAGCATTTAGTATTAAAATAAATTGACTTATAAGTTATAACAGGTATATTTCACAAGAAATTTTTGCCATAAACCACTGAACATGTCTTAGTACTGAATGTCTTTCAATTCAAATTTCCTTATATGTCAACAGTATCTTATCAGTTCTTATATTAGACTAGTTGGTACCTAAGTCATTGTTTTATTTATTTTAAGGATTCTTGGAACGAGAATTAATAAAAGATGAAATGGCGATTGTAGACAATGGAGAGAATCCAGATGCCCCACTGCCTCGTGATATGATTGATCTGGAGGTTTATTTGTGTTTTTTATTTTATTAAAATATTCCTAATTAAACATCACAGTGAATGTGATATACTTATCTCATTATTATAAGTCAATCTTCATAATATACTATTTACCATATATCTTTAATAATTGTCAATCCAGGAACCATGTCCTCTTCCCACCTACAAAGAATGTTAGGACAGGCTACTACAATTTTGCATTATGGGTATTGTGATATGTGATTTCAATAATATGACATCATTTTGTTATATATCTCTACTTTATTGAACCCCTCTATCATGATTTTGTTTTTAAAAATTATTCAAATTGAAATTTTGGCTGTAAAGGCTTTGCTTTTATATGTAGCCTATTTATGAGTCTATGCCCTGGTCATGTCATGCCCTAGAAACAAATTTTGTTGTTATTAAGGATTTACAATGTTTTGAATTTCAGGCAAAGTTTGAAAAACTTGAGACTGAAATAAGAGAAGTCAATACTAACCAGGAGGCAATCAAACGAAATTATCTAGAACTCACCGAGTTGAAGCATATTTTACAACGAGCTCAAATCTTTTTTCAAGAGGTCAGTTTGCTACTTTCCAAGCTTTTTTCATTTTGTGATCAAATCAATATTATCTTGTATAGAGATATAAATAGTATATCTATAATATTACGCTAAAATAAAACTACTTTTTCAGGTAGAAAATCCTTTACGAGAAGAGGATATTCAACCAGATTCAGAACATCCGACTTTAAAATTGGGGTAAATAGTTTTGGCAAAATAAAAAAATAAAGTTTTTGTTTCACATATGCTGCCCGTTTTCAATTTATATAATTGTGGGGATAAATTCTTTTCTGTAACATTTCCGTTACTATTTCAGATTTGTTACTGGTGTCATCGCAAGACAAAAAGTTTTTGGATTTGAGCGAATTCTGTGGAGAGCATGTCATGGAAATGTCTTCATGCGTTATGCTGATATTGATGAACTTTTAGAAGACCCTTACACAGTATGTGTGTTAGTATAAGAAATGTCTCCATATTGGAACTTAAAATTTGAATCTGTGCATTCATTAGTTAGTTGCCCTGTTTGTTGGGCACGACCATCTGGCAGAAAGTTTAGCATGTTTGGAGTCAAAAAGTAAGGTTATCTGGTTCAAACGAATCAACTCACCCAGGCCAATATAAAAAAAATTACAGTTCACTCAAATACACTTACAGCGACTGCTTATCTAAATCTTAGTATGACATTAATAGAAAATACCTAATAGCAAATTTTCAATGAGTGCTTTTGTTTCTATGATTATGTTTGATTTTACCCAAAAAAAATCACAAAACATTTGTGGAAGTATGAAGAGAAATTTTTCAACTCAAGTTATATGTATTTTGACATTTCATTTGTTTTCAGGGTGAAAAAATTGAGAAGTGCGTTTTTGTTATTTTCTTTCGTGGAGATCAGCTTAAAAGTAGAGTAAAAAGGATTTGTGAAGGGTTAGTATTTAAAATAATATGAAATGAAAAATTAACAAAAACTAACTGAATTTATTGATACAAATATTTTACAGGCTACGAGCAGATATCTATCCATGTCCAGAGAAAGCATCGGAAAGATTATCAACTCTTGTAACAGTGACGGAAAGAACGGATGATATGCGAAGAGTAAGTGTTTCATTGGTTTCATTCACTTCCTGTTGACTAACGTTTCTTTATGATGACTACATTCAGTGTTACTACTTACTATGGATAAATAGCAAGGCATATGCATTGTTATGGAGCTACAATAAATCATGGATTTTTTTTTGATTCAAAATGTCTCAGATATATTATCATGCATGCTTAACTATGTATTGTCTGGAAATTTGTTGAAATTTTAATTTTTTTTAAATGTGTTTGGACCATAAAACCCCCATTGGATTTCAAACATCCAGTCAGGAAATATGGTGTCGTAGCACTCATCTGTCATGTCATATTCATTCTGTAAATTTGTAATGATTTGCTGGAATCGAAGCAAAGTCAGGAATTCTGATTGATAAGAGATTTCAATGCAACCCCAGTTAAATGTCGACCAATAAATAAGTTTATATAGGTTCCACAAACTAGTAAAATACTGAAAATTATTAAAAATGCATTTCTGATCTGCTGTTATGGCAATGGTTTGTTAAACTTTTTAGAATAATGGATTAGGTAATGTAATCAACATGACATTTTGCTTGAATTCTTACAATTCTTCTTTGTTCTGTGTGATATTAGTTTGTAAGTGCATTGTTCAAATACGATATATAAAGAGTCACAAACTAAATATTTGTCCTTATTATCAATTGTTGTGCTGACAGATGCATTACCGCACATTATATTTGCTGTGGCTGAACTCGTGACATACATTATTGACTCAAGGCACATGACCTGGCCGATAAGCTAAATTATGTGCTGCAGGACATATTGTGTAATGCTGAGCTAATTTCACTTAAATTTAGTATCACATTATTGCTTGATTAAAACAACTGGATGATATGTATGAATACTTGAAATTACCTAAATATGGTAGCATTCATAATCGTTTAAGAATATGATAAGTCTGATAGGAATATTGATTTTTTTTTAATTTGTTATAATATGTTTTTGTTTTTTTTCAAATTTCCATAATTTGTATTTTTCGAAATAAATAATACAGTGGTTCTCAACCTTTTTGGGAAATTTTTGATCCTCTCTCATTATGCACAAAAACTAATTTATTTAATCAGTCTTTAATGGATCTTAATCTAGTGTTATGCGAAAGTGGTGTTCCAGCTTTTGTACAGTTCAAGTTGTTTATACTGTGTTCATAAATAAGTATTATAGTAGTAAAAAAGAACTAAAGAATATTATTAATACTACAGAAAAAACAAAGCAAAATTACCTCCCAAGAGCTGTTGTGAAACATTGAAATAATGCAAGTCACTATTGTGGAAAATTCAAATCGAATAAATGTCAATTTTTGATTTATCATTCAAACTGCTTGGAATCATATAATATTTTGCCTAATTTTTTCAAAGGTCTTGAAACAAACTGCTGATCATCACAAAAGTGTTTTATCTGAAGTTGCATTGAGTATCAGAGTCTGGTTCATTATGGTATGTTCTACTTAGAAAGGAAATGAAATTTATTTTTATTGAACAAAAACATAATTGCATTAATATATATTGTAATTAAAATGAACACCTCAGTGTCAAAGTGTTTGTGTGTGATTGGTATTGTTAGCAACCCTTTGTTTAATTTTCATGTGATTTTGACAATCGTAGATTTGTTGCTGTGACACATCACACACTAACGCTTTCACTGAAATTGAGTTTGAAATTCAAAAATTCAGCTACTGGATATCTATAAGATTTTATTGTTATTTCATTGTCCATAGATCAAAAATACGAGTAATTATCGCCCAGTGTTCAATAGTTGCAGGAGTCAAATATTTTGTCATTCAAAAAAAATCAATCTATTTCCCTAAAAACTAAATTCAGCGATTGTCTACGGATACGGGAAATTCAAAATACTTATTTATCTGATTTTGATTTTCAGGTTCGCAAAATCAAAGCAATTTATCACACACTCGATTTATTCAATGTCAACATTGCTCAAAAATGTCTGATAGCAGAATGTTGGTGTCCTGTTGATGACATGGCCAAAATACAGCTGGCATTGCAAAAAGGAACTGTATGTTGTTCAAATTTTCAACTTAACTTCATAAGAGTCAGCATAGATGAAGCATTATTTAATATTCCCAATTTTAAATCATATAATGATAAATATTTGTGGCAGCACTCTATATTATAGTAGGAAATTTTCAGTCACTCTCGTTTGTCTTACCTCTGTGTGGGTACATGGTCTCACTCATGTAGGCTATATGTTGGCTTTCATGATGACATACTAGTAAAATTCACTAATTTTATTTTGTCATCTATTTGTCGTTCTGACATATGTAAGTTGTTAGTGAAATGGAACTGAATCTGCACTCTAAGTACAGCCCGTACCAATATGAGTATCACGGGAAGTTTCATTGAAAATTTCAAATCCTGTTTCATTTGACATTATATTTTGAAAGATTATTTCCGCTGCTGTCTTGATGTCTGCTGTCTTTCAATGAGTGCAAACAGGAAGATAGTTACTGTTTTTAAATTATTGATTGCATTTCCTGTCACGATATATTTCCTATGGAGATGTGTGATGCTGAAATGCAATTTGATTGAGTCTCTGCCAAAAAATCTTTGCTGTACCTGCGATAATACCTGTACCTGTATTAATATGTATCTATTTAATGATGCTGATCAACCAGCTCTTTGAATTATAAGATAGTTTAATGCTCTTTATAAAGATCCAAATACATATCCAAAAATCTATAGTCTAAAATGTTCTTTTCATTTTAAATAACATTGAAAATTTTAATTTTTTAAAGCAAAATGTGTTGGATAAACATCTAAAATCCTATCTGAAGATAAATCTTACAGCTCACTGGTTCTCGTCATTATTGAAAACTGAGGATAATTCAATTTATTAAAAGAAATCATATATTATATCATAGGATTGTTTACATTCTGATATGCACAGATTGTAATAAGATTGACACAAACTGAGCAATTATAAGGTTGGCTCTGCATCCAGTTATGAAATTTACACAATGATAGTGATTAGTGACCAGGAATGGTGAAAACCAGATTACCAAATATGCCATACGAATTTCAACAGTTTAATGGAACACTCAATTCCAATAATTTGCTTTTGTAGGAAGTGAGTGGGTCATCTGTGCCTTCTATCATCCATAAGATGAATACGAAACGTGATCCACCAACTTATAATCAGACAACGAGTCTATCCAGTGCATTTCAAGGAATGGTAGATGCTTATGGAGTGGCAAATTATCGAGAAGTCAATCCAGGTATTAATTCCTACAATTTTAGTGTTTCATCTCTTCGATTGAACTACATTTCTTCGCATTTTTTGAGAATTTAAGATCTGTAAGGTCTCACAGACTCACTTAGAAGCAAAGTAAACTCATCACAGTGCAGAGGCATGAGTAACCAAATTTGGAAGTGTATTACACATAACATAAATTCTAGTGGAGATGTATTCAAACTGGTGGAATATGGCATACTATATGTAATTTCAGACCTGGTTTAAAAAAAAAGAATTTCAATTATAAACTATTTTTTGATAATCTAAAATGACACAACTTTTTTCTTTTTTTCCAGCACCGTTTACTATCATCACTTTTCCTTTCTTGTTTGCTGTGATGTTTGGTGATATGGGACATGGATTAATAATGTTTTTATTTGGTCTGTGGATGGTGGCGTATGAAAAGAGATTGGCAACCTTCAGTGATAGTGAGGTATTTGACATGTTATGATTCCCACATAATGCATATATTCTTTAAGCCTTAGATAATTGTCTTTGATCCACGTATCTTTAATATTTCTTCAGTTTTGGGAGATGATATTTGGTGGACGGTACATCATATTTTTCATGGGAGCATTTTCCATGTACACTGGATTTTTATATAATGAATGCTTTTCTATCTCTCTCAATGTCTTTGGAAGTGCTTGGAATGTATCAGCTATGAATTATGGGTAAGAATAATGTTGAATAATACAAATCACAAAGATCTGAAACAATCGAAGTAAATATTAACTTGATAGTGCAGGCCTTTATAGGAGTTTCTGATAAATTCTTCATTGTGCTATGTGCACCATTGTTCTGTTTGATCGAAATGGTTATATTGAGTTTGTTGTACCAGCCTGCAAAGATTGTAACAGTCATGAATCCTAATGACTACAAAAATGGAGTTGAATATATGCCTATATGAAAAATGGGAGCAGTATTTTTGTGTGAACTTGACTTGAAAACTAATATTTGATGGTTCATAACTGGTTAACATAAGATAAAATTTTAGGCAATCGGTTGAATTAAGCCTATGAGATTGAGATGTATTGTAAAACTGCTGTTTCTTTGTAAAGGTACCAATCTCTTCTAGATATCATATTTATATTTACTTCACTAGATTTTTATTTTGTCATTTACACAGATTAGGCTAGATAAAATAAATGATTCATCCACTTATTAACAAATGTGGGATTGCTTGTTGACCTTTTTTGCAAAATCTCTCATTTGCAGTCCGATTCTTGATGATACAACTCTCAAGACTTTGACACTCGATCCAGCAGTTCCAGGAGTGATGAGGAGTTCAAGTGAAACATTAGGATATCCTAATGCAACAAGTTATCCATATCTTTATGGAATGGACCCTGTAAGTTTGTTTTGATCATTTGTGCAACAATTTTAAATATCTAAACTTAAATCCATAATATCTTCAAGACTCCGTTCCTTCCAAAATATACCTTGGCTTGCGGTGACTGCTTACTTTGTATGACCAAAGAAATTTTATGTGTTGAAATTCAGTTTTTGGTAATTATTTTGCTGCTTCCCATGTCATTTTAGAATTGTCATGATCAGTTTAAAAGAATTATTAAATCCTGCAAATTCTCATTACCATTTCATTGGAATTCATCCTTTTTGTCTGTACTGAGTTCTGGCATTTTTATAAAAATTTAGCAAAAACTCTTCTTTGGGCATTCAAAGCTGCGGAGCAGGCAGATGCCTCGTTTATTTTTTGCTCATTGTTAAATCTATATTCTTAAATTTAAACAGATCTGGCAACTTGCTGAAAACAAAATCACTTTTCTAAATAGTTACAAGATGAAAGGATCTGTTATTATTGGAATAACGCATATGATATTCGGTCTATTTCTAAGTCTGTTAAATTATATGTAAGTCGATAGTTTTATATGTCAATTAAATCTTTTTACTCAAAGCTTTATGAAATGGAATAAAGTCTTAATTCATGTCTTAAACAGCTTTAGGGTCTTTGCGCTCATGGATGTTTGTTCATTTTCATTACACTCAAATCAGCTTCATAAATTTTGCAATAGTAGAGTACAAGGAGAATTATGCTGGGGTCAAAGGTCGAGGAAACATCCATTAGATATGAATAACATAGTTTTTATTAGCAGTAAATAACTCAACATATATAAAATATTTGAAATCAATTTTACTAGTAAGGTATTAAAGAATATTTAGATTACCCAGGAAATATTTATATTCAAACTTAGATTTAATGTAAATTTGGCATTTGCTGCGTTATTAATGCACAAGCTGAAAACGAATATTAGTACAAAATCTGTCAATTTTTAACAATTTTTTATCACTTTCATTTCAGTTACTTCAGAAATTACCTGAATGTGTTCTGCGTTTTCATTCCACAACTTCTCTTTATATTGTCAATATTTGGATATTTGGTTGTTGCAATCGTATATAAATGGGCTGCATGGACTGCTGCTGATTCTAAGGTATCTCAATCCAAATATATTTTTTCTAGGATATGTTCATGCGAACATTGGTTGAGAAAGCTAAATTATATTGGACATATAAATCATAAATCTTTTGTTCAGTTTTTGTAATACTGTGGTTGAATATGTATCTGAACTATCAGTGATGGCTGAAATAGAGAGAGAGAGAGAATTTTTATTGTTTCGTCAAACCAGAAAACACATACAATATATATATGATAGCAAAATGAGAAAAATTATATTTCGGTAGATGACAGGGTGGTAACGATACGACCATTAACAGTCATCTGAGTCGGTTACCACCCAAAGCAAGCACATGAATAAGTAAATTAATAACACAGGTTCTGTAATATTACACTCTCAGGATATACATATGGAAAAAAAACTATATACACTATGTAAAAAAAATGATATCTAATTAGAGATGAGAAAAATTTCTAATCGGAATTAGGAAGTTATTAAATAAATTTTAAATAGAGAGGAGCAAAAAAATAAGAATTCCATACCGAATTTATTATTATTTATTATATTAATTTACACTTTCAATCTGTTCTGAATCTTCTTTTGTGCTTACACATGATAAAATATGAGTAATCTGCTATTCCGAATGAAGTCGATGTATATCCAATGAGTTTGAAGTCGCAGATTTGTAATGTGTGAAATGTTAGATGATTGATGTTTTAAATGGTGTACTCTATTTTTAAATTTTTAAGCATTTAAATAAGCCATTTTTTGGTCATATTTGGAGACTCCAATTGCTGAGAATGCCAATTTTTCAGAATAAAAATACTTCTGAAATATTCAAGAATAAAAAAATCATTTTCTGACCTCCATGAATTTATCGATATAAGCCAATTAGCACAATGTCAATATCAAATTGCGTAATAGGTAACCAATCAAAATTGGTGTGGTGTAAACTCTAAATTATGTCGTTATAGTTTATTCCTCATTCCAAAATTTGTCTTCAATTTGTTTTGCATTCTCATTTACTTACATATTAATTTATATCTGTAATATTTTTCAGTATGCTCCAAGTTTGTTGATTGGACTCATCAACATGTTTATGTTTAAAAAACCATCTCGAGATGACCACACTCTACTCTATGAGAATCAGAATATAGTTCAAACTGTATTGGTGTTTGTTGCTGTTATTTGTATACCATGGATGCTTTGTATTAAACCATACATTATATACAAGAGACACAAAAGGCAGCTTGCTCATGTAAGTGAATTACAATTACGGGGTTGGCCAAATCTTGGGGAACAGTTTTAATTATTTTTCATTGCTGGCGGTTGGGCCATCCTACATGCTATATTACTAAAAACTATCTTTTTTTGAACACATGATATATTATAAATGATAAAAATATATATCAAGAATAAATATATTTATGGTATACAAACATTTTAAAAATAATTTAAATTAAGATTTTGAATATTTTAAGGTATTTAATGAACAAAAAGGATATAGTGATAATTCCACTGCAATAATGGCTTATTTTGTCCAGGAAAAGTTAAATTTTGATTATGTGTATTGTCACATCATTGTGAATACACTTCATTCTAATAGCGATAATTTTAAATTATGTTTAATCAACCATTACTGAGCATTCATACTTACGAGTGAAAACCAAATGAAAAATGTGCTTTATAACTCTTTGTTAATAATTTTTATATTTTGTGTCTAGCTTGATTATAGCAATTTATCTCTGTATTTTTCAGGAAAATGCTATGCTGCGTCATGATCCAAACACTGACAGTGAATCTGCTCCTATCGTTTCACATGAGCATATAAGTTATGGTTCTACAGCTGAGGGAACTGTGGAGGAATCCACCGAATCTGAAAGTGATGAAGAACCGGTATGTTATGAAGATATTGATTCAAGTTCGTCAAAATCAATCGGTGTAGAATCCATGCATCAATTTTTTGAAATCAATAAATTCTATGATAAAAAATATAGGATGGTTTCAGCCGAAAAATATAGAATACAAAAGCAATAACCTCCTAGCAAACATTTCCTTATTGAACAACTCAAAATAAAATAAGTAACTCAGTAACTCCATCACAACAAGCCTTCAGGAAGCCGATCGAAATTATCTATGGATTCGTAGTTTGTTGAGATTCATTGTGGATGTGGCAAGTGGCTTTGTTGTTGTTTATATATTCAACCTAATTCTGCTTTTCTTTTTAGTTTGACATGACGGAGGTTGTCATCCATTCAATGATTGAAACAATAGAGTATTGTTTAAGTTGTATCTCTCACACTGCATCGTATCTACGACTCTGGGCTCTGAGTCTTGCTCATTCAGGTAATTTTCATCAGAAGATATTTTCTATTTAGCACTTTGGCTTAATGATTAAAATCCTTTGGAATTTTTTAATTTTGTTTGTATGGTTTTTTTGTGTACATCAAATCTCAGAAACATCCTTTAAAATAGGCAGCTAAAAATTATGAATTGCAAAGTGTATTTAACTTCTTTCTGGAAACTACAAATAGTTTTGGTGGAATAGAGTTGATTATTATTAATGCAAACAGACATTTGAAACATTGCTCGAATAAAAATACAGCAGTTTATCTTGTAGCAACATATTATATTATTTTCAGAATTGTCAGAGGTGTTGTGGACAATGGTTATGCATATCGGTTTATCTTTTTCGGGATATATTGGTATTGTAGCTAACTTCATTATATTCTGGTGAGTACTACTACAAAATATATTTTTATTTTTTGGGAAACTTTCATTACAAACAATATCATGGTGGGAACTATCAAAGATCAAATTTCAGTTATGTGACACAATATCAAGTTCATTTCAATTTTTCCCTTCATGTTACTGCCTTTTGGTATTTGTTATTTGTGTTTGTTGTTGCATTACAGGGCATTTTCTGTGCTAACTGTGGGCATTCTGCTTGGCATGGAGGGATTGTCAGCTTTCCTACATGCATTGCGTCTTCACTGGGTTGAATTTCAAGACAAATTCTATCACGGAGAAGGACATGCTTTCGAGCCATTTTCTTTTGATCTCATTGTCGAGGGAAAAGTAGATGACGATTAAAATGTGTTTTGTTTGAAGGTTACAATTTTGAACTTTGAAGTTTTCTTAAGTTTATGCAAAGTGATTACTTTTCGTTTGGATTTGGTTCCTGACAATTTACTCAAAGCATTGAAAAAATATTTAGTAGCATTTATATTTTTATGAGAACAAATAACCTGTTTGGTATTACAGACATTTCAGTGCATATTGTTGATTTTATCTTCTTTGGATTGTGTTCATTGTATATTTAGTCTAATATTACTGAATGATAAGATTATTTGTATATTTTTCCTAAATCAGGTGGTTAATGTTATAAATAAATATAGAAATTGATTTTTGCATCATTCTGCCATTTTATCCTTGCTATACCATGAAACCTTTTATCCATATATTAAATATTAATATGTCCTGTTTCAAAGTCACCAGCCAGCATCGCAATTGATGTTATAGTTTGAGTTTTGTTGCCAGAAATCAAGAGATAATTTTGTTAGCGCTGCATTATTATTGTAAATGATGTGCAGAGAACTCTGATTGTAATTTAGATAAAAACTTTTTCAGTATGTTGTAATGAATATGGATACTAGTTTATTTTTTGTTTTCAGATTATACAGCTTTATTATATGTTATCTATTTTCATGTTCATACTTTTATTTACCTGGTATATATAGGTTTGATTGGATAAATATTTGTTTATCAGTTTTAATTAAAAATGAATGTGCCATTTTTTTCATGATTAACTATTCAGTTTTAGTGAGCCCTGAGTTAACAGAAGGGGCAGGAATATTTTATTTGTTGAATATTGAGCTTTCGGTGCATGTCACATTGTCATAGTTCTCGTTAAGTCCTAATACAACTGTCTTACTACACTAGTTTAAAGTGCCTCTAAAATTATCAATATTTTTTTTTATCACCATGCCTTTTTGATTCCTTATTTTTGTAAGTAGAATATGTAGCTGATTCTCTTTATATTTTGAAAATAGTGCAATTATAATTTTGGATGTATATTAGATGTCAATTTATACAGTAGTACTTTTTAACATGATGTCACATTAAAACGTAATTGGCACCACCTTAACTGTCACATTTCATATTGGCGCAAAGATCAGGTTTTCGTCCTATCCTTGTCACATATTGTGTTTCATGTTTATCAAGAAATGTGCTATTTCATGTACAAAAAGCTCTAGTGCCGATTAGAATCTGTTGTCTGTGGTGTTTTGGACCTGTTCCTGATTTCTTGTTATTGCTTTTTGTATGAAGCAAAATATAAGATTTATTTGACAACTACAGCGTTTAATTGAGAAATAATGTTACTGAACCTAGGTTTTGAATTTTTCTTGTTAATGGCAGCTGGTAAAATACTTCTGTTCGGGCTTAGTATGATTATTATTGCAGCGTCGCCGGAAGTTTGTTCAATTTAGCGTTCAGTTTTGTGTTATTTGAGATGTCAGGCGCCTGACATCAAGGCCAGTAACACTTCAATCGAAATTCATCCACATGAAAGCCAACTGCTTGATACCCTGAGTGCAGCTTCTGGATGATATCTAGATAATTGTTCGGAAATTTTGAATTCATATTCGGTGAAATGCTCGAACTGCCAGGCGCCATCAATGTGAGGATATAATAAGTATTGTCAAGTCCGCGATCTGTTTCACGCAAAAAAGAGCTTCGCGGAGAGAAATGTCTGACTAATTGTGATTTTCAGATAGATTTATGAAAGAAAATGCGGTAGCGATTTTGCGATGTAAATTAGTTTGAATTTGAGAATGACGATTCGTGAAAACCCTGATATGTGCAAGGAATTCCAGAGGCGCAGTTCCCACCACTTCATGGCAGCTCCTGCCACGAACGAACCGCGGCAGCTCTTGCCCATAGCGCTATTCAGTATTAACGGTATATTCACAAATGAATGTACCAGATTTTAATTGATCATGTGGAATTATATCTACTTAAACCCTAACCATAACCCCAAATCCATCAAAACTGTATCCATAAGAAAAACGTTCCAACTTAACCAATATTTGTCACCAGGGACAGCCCTATCTTTCGGCAGCAGAATTTTACCTGCCATTGGTTTTCAATTTGCTGCCGCGGTAACGGCAGCTCGACAGTCCACATTGGTTTGTGGCAGCTAAAAAGTCAGTCGCCATAGGTTTGGCCGTAACAGCCATGGTATGGAAATACCGCCATGGTTTTGCGGCAGCTGCAGACGCCACAGAATACTTAAAACTGCACTTGGAATTCCATTGGGTCAAAGGTCGGCTACTCTTTGCTTTGCGGTTTGCAAAGTTTCGAATCCTCATGTCAATCGCAGTAATGATGTACCGCAGTCGCGCGACGAGTAGTGTACCGGTACGGGTATGGTGTCGTACCTACCTTCTGGTCTTTGTATTTTATAGTAATCTAATGAAGGAAAAATTCTTATTATGCGACAGCACTCCTAATCTTTACCGGTAACAAATAGAATAGACCAATATCCGTACGGCGTACCGGCATCGTACGGTACTTTTTTTTTGGAGGCGGACAACTCACCAGAGATTGTTGTAGAATAGGGTACAAAAGTCTGATAATACCGCTGTACTGTTCCTATAAGTTCAAACTACATACCAAACTTGCGCGTATTTTAGAATTTATAAACGGCGGTATGGGCCAGTCTGGATTTCATGGCCTTTTTGAACGAGAAATCGGGCGTGCAATCAGAAATTCCCGCGTGCAAATAAAAATTTCTGGCGTGCAATTATAGCTCACGGCGTGCAAAACAACTGCGCCCGCGTGAAACTGACTTCGACCTAAGATACCTCTCAATACATCCGCGTAAAATTACCGGTATTGGATAAAAAATATGTTAAATCATAGCAAATATGGACGTTTGACCTTTGACCCCCAAACATTATTTCTACAGTTTGTTGCTAATTTTGAGAGTGGTTGTGCGACTTTGGTTACCGGTACTGTTCAGTACATCCGTGTAAAATTATTGTATGAAAAATACGCTGAATCAAAACCATAACTGGCCAGCGTCGGTGAGGAGGCGATCTTTCTCACGGGATTCCTATCATTCAACACGATATGGTTTTTTTTTGCTTTGCATTTTTCGATCAGGCCAAACTTGCAATCTAGTATTAGTCGACAATTGTGAAGTTATAATTTTTTGGCATCTTTATATTACTAGATAATTGATTTACAAACTATTTAAACCGATTTACATTAAGGAGCAATTGCAAATTTTCGGCGTGCAAAAATGAATTCGCTCGCGTACATTTTTGTGGAGCGCTAGCGCCCTCGGGCGTGCATCTGCCATGGAATCCAGTCTGGGGTATGGGTACCGGCGACACTTTCTTTCCATGTTTGACTCATCGACCCTATTTCTGTATTTTGACATGCATCTATACTGTCTATAGCATTCCGCCCAATACGACCTTTTTTACCAACCCCTCTCAATTGCAGCCCACAACAGCACAAAGAAAATTGTGTGGGCCTGAAAAAGTGCCAATTTTGAATGGTGTGCGGCCCTCGAAACTAGTTTTCAATTTGGGTTAATCTGGTAGGCTAGGCCTATGTCTGTATGGCACTGGCTCAATTCCAATTCCTTTGCGTTTCGAAGCCAATATCGTACCGGTATCTGGGTCCAATTTAATATCCATGCCTGTGAAGTTACAATGCCCTAACAGCTATCATGTGCAAGATCAATCTACAGGGGTGGGGACTCCTCTACGACCCATGGGCCGGGGCCGTGGCCCATCTAATTGGGCCACATGGGCCGTGGCCCATCAAGCTATGGGCCGCGGCCCCGTCAGGAAAAATTCAATTATCTTATCAAAATTTTCAATTCTTACAAAATTGTCAATATTCGAACCAAAAAATAAACTCCTGTAGTATGTGTACCAGGTTAGGGCAAAATTTTGTTCAGATTTTTTACATTATAGTTCTATTATGAGTTTGGGGACTGTCTGTGTTAGCCAAGTGAATAGTTTCTTTACACAACTTGATGGGCCGCGGCCCATAGCCTGATGGGCCGAGGCCCCGGCCCATGGGCCGAAGAGGAGTCACCACTTCCACTCAGATCAATAACCAAAATTTCTTTGCTAGAAACTAGGCCTGCTAGAAATCTTATGTCAAATAAAGGTGCATCCTTTGGTTTAACCCAGTCATTTGTATCTGGCCCTTTTGTATACAGGTATATCTGCAAGGATTGCACACCCCTGATTTAGGTGATGCTTATTTCAGTATATTTGTTCAATGTTAGGTAACATTAAAGAATATAGGCATATAGCTTCTATTACATAATCATGCTCCAGAAGTGGATGAAATGCCAAGGAAGATTGATAAAACTTTGCGAAGGAAATGAGTGGACTTCCTCTCTTTTGGGTGTAAAGAATTTTTCCAAATTGTCATTTCGCTTCAATATGAAACCTAAGTCAGTTTGGAAGTCACATTTCGCACAAATTAATAGAAACAATAGTACATCTGGTCAAAAAGGCATTTTATTATATGAAGAAGGAAGCGCAAACAAAAAGCTCTTATTTAGAGGAAGACTATTTGTTGGAATTCAATTGTTTGGTTTCCTTCTGGCAGCTGAGACTACACACATGGTGAGAACAACAGATAAGATAGAACAAGAAGTCAATCGAAATGTTGAAGTAAATATGTACACTGGAGAATATGGATTTATGTTCTTACCTGTGTTTGTTGGATGTTCATTAGTAATTACAGCTATCGCTTTTTTTGGTTGTAGTCGCCTAGTAAAAAAAGTCTACTACATACCATCAACTAAACATGTCAGGCTTATTACACATAGTCTGTTTGGTGGTGAAACTGCAATAGCCTCTGAACTAGGTAACATAACTATGACACAATCGCATGCCAAAGTACATGGCCGTAGATGGGTTTATATAATAAACGGAAGCGGCAATGTTGTGAATAAAAGGATGTTCAATTTTGTAATGGGTTCAGCAGGATTGTAATGCAATTGTTTAACTTTTTTAATAAATATTCTTCAGTAATATTTGTTGCTTAATGCTGAAGTGGTTTAATGATTCAGGGAGTGAGTAAGTGCCCACAGAATGGCCTGCTAATCATTTGAGTTCCATTTACTATCACCATTTTAAAAGCATCATCTCGTAGTTACTACAGGCGTTAGGCCGATTCATAGTTAATGAAATATAATAGGTCCAAACACTGTATATTTATTCTCATACATGTATGTGGTTAAGGTTTACCGTACTCCTCATTCCGAAGATATTTTCTCCAACGAACCCCAGCTTTCAGGAATTCAATTCCTCCTGGATATTTTCTTTGAAATCTCATATCAACTTTTCGTAGAGATAAATGTATATACAGCTTTTAGCATGTCAGTGTTTTTTTTCTATTTGTACTTCTACTTAGATGGGGCTCTGTACCTTGCTTCGGGTGAACTAGTTTAATCAGTAGCATCTTCAAATTGCTTCTCGTTTGCTCAACAGTATTGGCTGATTTTTCAGTTGATACTAAACAGTTTACGGGACTAAGCATTTTTATAAAGTGCCACACCCTAAAATAAAATGAAATATTACTTTCTCAATAATTTTTTTTTCAAATTCATCATTAAATATAAACTAAAGCAAAAGAAATGGATAACTCCTTTAATAAAGGATTAGCAGCACATTGTGTTATTTGCTTTCCACCAACTCGGCCTGCAGCAGGATTGATCTTCGAAGCAGAACTTTAGTCCCGCCAGTCTTCAACGAGACCTGACAATATATGTTTTTCGACGATAAATGGGTTTGATCACGAATCCCATCGACTCTTCTTTTTCCTTTTCTGTCCTGAAGAACTACTTGTTTCGAGAGGTGCTTTAAAACCACCTGCTTTCCATGAAGTTTCTGGCTCAGAACTTTTTATGAAGTTGCTTTTGTATTGGTTCTGAAAATAGTCCTTCATAGAAGCTGCCCTTCCACCCATAACTCCTCCTCTTCCTCTGCTTGCCTGGCGGAAAGCTGCAGTTGTCATTGTAGGAGCACTTGAATTAGAGCTATGCCTGTTGTAAAATTTAAAAAAAACTGTATGTTTCGGATCTTTGACAGTACAGAAAGTGCCACAGCATGCCTATAAAATTTAACAAGGCAAAATAGTGCTAAAATACAAAATTGTGTGTAATGAGATTGACCTAAATATACTTCTTGGTTTAGTATGTGGTCATGCAGATGATCTTTCTCGAAAGAAAAATTAATTTGAAGTAACTATCAATAGGACTTACGCGAGACTTAACTACCTTTTCTTGCTCTATGCCTTTGCGCAAGATGCATATTAGCAAAGTGTCTTGAATCAAATAGAATGGTTATTCTATTTCTTGCTAGCATAGATAAGAGCCATCAATGGATATCATCCCATATTACACAAATGCATAGCCTTAGAAATATTGCAAGCATTTGATAATATAGAAACACTGTGATATCAATAAACAGGTGTTTTTACTGTACTCAATCACATTACCAAAACACAAATGTTCCTCAAGATGGCAGCTCAAATTTTTACATAAACAATTAGGTGCAGATAACCAAAGAATTTACATGGAAAACAGACAGACCTCTTTATTGGTGCTGTTGATCCTAACCCTGGTCTCTCCTTTGCAACGAATCCTTTTCCTTTCCCATGTTTGTATCTCGACTTCCTGAACCTTGCATTTTGTACAGCAAGGTTCATTAATGCTTCAGGTACACGCTGGTTTGCACCTTCAAGATTTCTAACAAGATCACCAGCGAAATATACATCCGTGGATGTAATTAACGTATATGCCGTTCCCTTCTCTCCTGCCCGACCAGTTCTGTTAAATAATGAAAGGAGTTTATCCTTGCTGTTAAGTCTCAAGGGTATAGGGGGGTAGCTTTGTTTAGATTGAAGGATTTTTAGCATGTACTCTCTATGAGAACAAGAGAGCACGAATATTTAGGTACAAAAGTAAAACTGACCGTCCTATGTGGTGAAAGCTAGTAAAAGACACTAACAACTTCGTTTTAAATAATCAACTCATTCAAATTTCTGTAGAGATAAAATATCTAATACATGATATAAATGAACATGAATAAATATATAATTATTGACAATTGTATATATCGTAAATACCGTATATGCTCGTTTCACCACCAGATCTTGATTAAGGGCCCGTTTGAATAGCCGCCCGTGTGAACAGAACATAAAAATAAATAAGGGCTGGTGCTTGAATACCCGCCCGATGTAAAAGCTGATTTTTCAGTGGTAGAGAACAATAGGAAATAAGAAGCACTTTAGTCACAACCCTGTTGAATTTTAAGCGCCGGTAGATAACACTTACGCCTTAGGCGTCCAAGTACATAACAGATAGCATTTATTACGTAAGTACTTCTAAATGGTCAATATAGTGCATGAAGAAAATTTGCCTTGCTACGGTAACCATATTTAACTTACCGTCCGATCCTGTGTGTATGAGTGTCTATATCTCTGGCAACATCATAATTTATGACATTTTTAATTGATGGAATATCTAGACCTCTTGCTGCAACATCAGTGGCGACCATTGTTGATACCTAATAAAAACATGTGAAATTTCCATGACAAATTCAATAATTTTGCCACACAAGGCTAATTTGTCAAAACTTATATTGCACACAAAGAATGATGAATACAAACAGACAAAAACAGCTTCACTCCTGGTCATAAGCGGATACTTAGCGAAGTAATCAATCAATATTACCTGCTGTTTCTTGAACTCGCCAATTACTTTATTTCTATCAAATTGATTCATATCACCATGTAGTAAACAAACATCATATCCTTTCTGCTTCATTTTATTTGAAATATCCTCAGCATTAACCTAATAGAAACAAAACAAAACGTCGAAACAAGCTCTCAATAGTAACTGTTGAAATTTGAAACCAATCACTATCAATTTGTAATAGAAAAAGTAATGTCAAGATTATGATCATCTTTATTGTAGGCAATATTATTGTTACTAGGCCTATACAATCAATTATATTTAATTTACCTTCTTTGTGACAAATATCAATAAACTTCCTTGACTTGTTAATTGAACGATTTTACGTGTGAGCCAGTGCCATTTTGCATCCAGATTAGGCAAAACTTCAACAATCTGCAATAAGAATGTGACAGATGTAAGTACTTCTAAATGGTCAATATACTGCATGAACAAAATTTGCCTTGTTGGTTATGAAAGTGTAGTGTATTTTTTATCAGGTGTGTTGAGCCATATTGGTATATCATATATTCGCTGACAATGAGTTGAAACAACCCAACTTTGAATAAAAGTTCAGATTTTGTATTCTGTTTGCTGAATAAATTACTGTATAAACTTGCTAATGCCTAAATTAATAATTCTTTTCAATTCTTCTCAGTCAAATTAGTGAAACCGAAAATAAAGTTTCGAAATAACTTTCAAACATCAATTCCTACCATAATCATCTCTTCATTCTATTGGCGTACAATAAAATTTCAGGCCAACTTGAAAACAAACCTGCAATACATCTTGATTTGCTTCACCAACATCACCTTGAACTATCCTAACTGGGTCACACAATATATCTCGTGCTAGTTTCTCAATTCTTCTCTTAAACGTAGCACTGAAAAGTAGAGTTTGGCGGTCTGGTCTTATGTTATTTGCAATCGATCGAACCTGAAAAAATAAATTTACAGTAAAATCAAAAGATAAGACTCATTGAAACAAGAATCACACGAACGAGCAAAGATCAAAAAATAGTCACAAAGGTTAAGGGTTACGGTAAGTGCCATACAAATACAGAAGTGTGAATTGCAATGAGAACAGCAAAATTTAAAGGAGGGAAAGATAAAAATTAAAAGTTATAACCCTCTGGTGGCTCAATTATCTTTAAGTAATGAAAAATTGAAATCGATCGGTCAATTAGTTCAAAAAAAAAAATTTATTATATGGAAACAATTTATTATATCTATCTATATCCATCTTCTATATCTAATTGAACCTTTCTGTGGATTTCAATGCTCATACCACCACAATTAGGAATAAGGATGTTGGATATTTTGCCCTAATCACAATTTAAATGGCTTTTCGCTCATTACTTCACAATTGAAAAATGGAATATTTGTATAAGCCAGGGGTTCCAAGCTTTTTCAGGACGACCCCAAAAACAACTTTGAAGTGTCCAGTGCCTCCCCCAGGTCAATATATATTTTTTGCACGAAACTTTAGAGCTTCTTTCATTGGACTTTTGAGTTTGCTCATGTGGTGGTCTTACCGTAAGTGAATTAAGCTAAAACCAAACAGTAATGTCACAATAATCACCCACAATTTCTATAGCATAAGCATAGAGCGATGCCTATGGGCCTGTTTTACAGTAAGCCATGGTACAAACTGCTAAATTTAACAAGGTTTGTTAACTCGTATACCTGATATTCAAAACCCATTTCAAACATCCTATCTGCTTCATCAAATACGAGGTAAGTTACTCTTCGCATGTTAGTGTAATTCTTCTGAACATGGTCGATAATTCTACCAGGAGTTGCAACTACAATCTCTGATCCTTCGGCAAGTGATTTTTGTTGTTCCCACATACTACCACCACCATAACAGGCTGTTGATCTTACTCCATAAATCTTAAAAGAAATGAAGGAATGAACACTGTCTAAATGACTAGTAGTGTAGAAGGATAAAATACAAATAATTTTAGGCACTCCAGAAGTGCGTGTGGAAGTGCAATACGGAGGTAACTAATTTTGTTTGCCTACTTGACATCAAGTTGTGTAAAGAGAAGAAAGCCTATGGGCAGGGGATATATACACTTGGCTAACACAGACAGTCCCCGAACTCATAATAGAACTAAAATATAGAACATCAGAATAAAATTATGGCCTAACCTGGTACACACACTACGGAAGTACCTAATTCTATTGTAAGTTTTCATTTCAGATATACAAAAATATGGTATCTCATTACTTTCAGATAATTCTAGTACCAAACCCATGTTGTTTTGGAACTAACAAAGATATCAAGCAACAATAATAAATATTAAACAAGAGAGCAATGAGCGATGCAAATATATGTACAAGAAGGCAACAAACCCCATCAGTAATATAAATACCGTACCTTGCCAAATCTTTTTACTTCAGCATGTATCTGTTGACAAAGTTCTCTTGTTGGTGCCACAATAAGTGCAATTGGTCCATCACCTTCTTCAAGTACAGGTTGATCCAGTACATGAGACAACATGGGCCAAACAAAAGCCGCTGTTTTACCAGAACCAGTTTTGGCAATACCAATTACATCCCTGCCTGATAATGCACTTGGTGTGCCTTGAGCTTGAATTGGCGTGGGTGAAGTATATTCCATTTTCCTTCGAAAGAATATTATTATATCATTTATCAAATAATTCTAATTTTAGCTGGGCATGAATCCGTAACATAGTACTCACAATGGAGCATATTTTAGTAGTAAAGTTTAAGGTTGGTTTGTCATTTCCCTCCAAATCAAGCATTTTTGAATCTGCATTTACACTATGTATTTATGGTAATGCTCAAGCTAAAAGAAGAAAGATTAAAGAAAGATTAACATAAACATTTCTAACTATCCTAGAAAATGCAAACTCACCTTATTACTTTCATCAATTTTTCATCAAATCCGAAATGAGCAAAACTTGTTACAGGCTTGGGTGGAAAGAAACCGGAAACTTGGATCCCAAGTTTCCCTCGTAACATGGAAACTTCTGAATCTGTGAGTCTTTTAATATTATCATGCTCAACATAAAAGTTTTTCTCAAAAGTTTTATACTCAATTTCAGAGTGATAAATCATTGGTAATGGATCAATCATCTTTCTATCTTTCTGTGTTCCAGGGATTGGATTTCCATCTTCATCATATTCAACTGGGTCATCAGCATCCAGAAACATTTTCCCTGCGAAAGAAAAACTTGACGGGTTTGTAAAACGAACAATATTACATCATTCCACTGCCTCATTTTCATTCGACATCAATTTCACACAATAGAGATGATCTCATAAAGATTATGTTTAAAGAATATCATATAAACTGTTACTCAAATATGATGTTTTTTTCTACTAACACAAAAAAAATATCCCATAAATTTTCAAAGATAATTTAGCATCTACCTGCATCAGGATTTTCTTCAATATATTTATAATAGGATTCTTCATCATCCATTGTCTCTAAATCATCTCTGACACCTTTGATTGTATCTCGCTTTTGTACGGAATCCTTTTTGTCCTGCTTTTTGACCTTAAAAATAACAAACGGCTCAGCCATTAAGGTTGAAGTTATGAATACACCAATAACTAGATTTAAACTAGAGCATGGTCTCTTCAAGATAGTAACATTAACATATCATCATTGCAAAATGAAAAGAAAAAATAACCTCATTTTCAATGTTAGCCATGAATGCATCAAGAGGATCTTCTTCTTCACTTTCTTCTTCTTCTTGTTTTTTGATCATGTCCTTGTGACAAACATTAAAATTCATTAATACATATACTACGACTAGAGTGCTATTTATATAACCTTTTCATTCCATTTTTGCAAAGTTATTTTTACGCGCGGCGGTGTGGCTCAACGGGCTAAGCGTTAGGAATACGCTCGCCACCGCACCTCTAATTACTCTGCGTGGGTTCGCAGGTTCGAATCCCATGCAGGGATGGTTATGTGCGAGAGGATTGCTGGACTCCTCGCCGTCGTTGGGTGGTTCACGTAACCGCTGGTCGGTTACGGCTTCCTCCACCACCAAGTCCATGCTTCCGAAAACAAACAATACAGTAAAAACTAATCCCATAGCCGACTTGGAATGGTAACCGGACGAGAGGCCGTGGTTCGCCATATGGATAAGCCGTCTTATCGGCTTTCCTCTCCCCCGGGATAAATATGTAAATCCTATCCTATCCTATCCTATAATAAAACAGGACATTTTTATACTTTTACTTATTACTTTTTATACTGCAATTATATAATTGCAGCAATCTGTGAGTTAATGTTACCCAGTGCAGCAGTGGCAGTGTAATGTTTATTATTTTTATATGATATATACATGACACACATTTGACCACTTCTTCATCATTTTTTTCAAGACTTGCGCTTGACATGTAGCCTAACTTTAACTCAAAACAGCGCTGTAATATCAGAATATGTAGGGTTGGGTCCACCAAGTTTACCTGCTTCTCTTCTTCTGATAAAAATGGACATCCAGCCAAAATATCACGTTGCTTTTGTCTATTATCTTGCTGCTCATCGTCATCATTGAAGTATTCATCTTCACCCTCCTAAAAATTCAATGTTGTTTAAATCTGACTTTATACTAAATATAAAACTGTTTTTGAAACAGTTTGCCCTATAGTACCATATACATACAGACATAGAACTAGGCTAGCCTACTTATATTACAATATTAATCTTACTCACACTCAACCTCCGTTTGGATCCGATTTTGTATGATGTGTTTCCTCTAGACGAGCCAGTCATATCAAAACCTTGAAACCCATACTTTTTATGTCCTCCACTCATTCTCTTGGCACCTTTGACGCTAAAATTAGATATTGGAGCAACGCCTGGCTAGGACACTGCCTTGCGATAATCCGCAGAATTTTCCAACCAAGTCTGTGTGTTAATCAATGATGCTGGTGCTATGGTTTACGATTTACATTGCCCTGCAGCACAACTGCGCGGTTATGTTCGGATGACCAGGCGTTCTTCCCACAGAGATATATAAAGTGTGCTTCTCTCTCATTTTAGCGGGACCAATAGAAGCCTCTCTCGTTTTGGCGATAGACTTCCAACTTTTGTGTAGCGCGTAATGCATTTCTTATGAAATTTGACAGAAATCAATCATTTGCTTCGATTTTTCTCACCTATTCGCCTGATCTGGGGTTGTTTATTATTATTAAATATGAGACGCTAATAGATCACAGTTCAGTGGTCCCTTCGGGTGAATGGACTTTTCCCCGACCTTTGACTCCCCAAAATTCTTCCTATATACCATTGAGAAAATTCCGGGGCTTATTTTAAGGGTAGTTTCGCGAGTTGGCGAGCACCGGTAAAGAATTTCAGCCTAGTCTATCACAGCTATTTCTACACTAATTTTTGATTACTGCAATTAAATTGAAACTCTTAAGAAGACAAAATGATCATTGAATTATCGGATTTATATTTAAATTTTCAAAACACAACTGAACACTGACGAATAGAATTCAAAAACGCGGAAACGAGGTAATGTTTACGACCACGCCTGAAAATCTGTCTGATTGAGAAAAGTGTCTGAGCGGATGCGAAAAGGGGCGTTGTTATGTCACTTTTTGTATCTTGCTGATTGGCCCATGGCGACTCTAAATGCAATTTTGATCCTTTCGTTAACTGCGCCTTCTTTTATTCAATTACATTTACATACAATAATGAATAGATACGTTAACTCACTAACGCTACTGCAAGAGTTGCAAAGCACTTCTAGAAAACACTTTCAGCTCAAGAATTTCGTTGTCAAGCGGAAATCGCTACAAAGAATGGATCAAAGTCATTTTATGAGAACAAAAACTAGAAGTCAGGTAGGCTGACCTTAAAAGATTAGGTCATAGTGATAGCGTCATGACTAGACCCAAGTTTTTTGTGATATCAAGATAACATGTCATTGTGTAGTTATAGAATTTTAAGTTGTGTGAAGGAGAGAATTGTTAGATTATCTAACATGGGTAATAGTTTTCTGCAATCTTCTTCTAGCCCTGTGTTTCCCAACCCGAGTCCGCGGAGCGTTTGAATGAGTCCGTAACGAGCCAGAAATTCACAGGAGCCGCATTCAAATATTAGAATAGCAATTTACTATTCGAAAATTTGGTAATACGTGACGCGACAGTTCACTTGCGCGTCGCTTAATCAAACGATTGAATTTCACAACTCACTTGCGGAAACGGAAACGTCGATAGATACCTAAGTGGTGTTTCTCGCGAGTTCGAACAACGAGGAATAAATGTTTTTTCTGTTAGGTGTAAATGGTGGCAACCGAAATTTTCAAAATTGAAAAGCGGCAATACAAAATACTAAAAATAAAATGGAGAATACGATAAGTTTGGTTTTATGATGGTCTTCGACCGAATAAAAACGCTTTTTTACGCATTGCGAATCGCAAAATTTCTGATGCTACCGTAGTTTACGTACCAGGGCATTTTCCCTTAGGATTCTTTGCTTTACTCCACATCGGTACGTATAGTACTGGAGCGCCGTAAGTGTTGTACGAACAGCTCAGATTTGTCGAATTTACAAAAACACGAATCAAAACTAAATATAATCCGGCACTTTACCACGCATTTTTGTGTGCACGGATTGTCATGGTATTTTCTCAGTAGTATTGCTAAAAGGATCACAAGTATGGATGGATTAAATTTTTTATGCAACAGAAAAAATCATTGAAAAGTCGGCTCTTTTAACGAGTGACGTATACGCGACGATTACTTCAGGAATTGTTCCGCGAGAATTTCAAGGCGATAAATATTTAGGTTTGATTTACTTATATACTAAATACAAATCTATTTTTAATAAGTACTAAATTAAGTTGTAGGCTACATTCTGGAAATTTATAGCAGATAGTAGGATTTTTCTAACGGCGATAACAAAATCGCAAGATCGCAGAAAATATGTATCAAAACTGAATATAATCGGGCAATATATTCTCACATTATTATGTTCGCAGATCATCTTGTCGTAAGTCGAGTAGTCGACGCAACTGCGAGTTACCATGGACGCAATTGAATTCAAATAGAAAGTTATTTTAAATTCTCGTCGTTGTCATGAATTGAATATTGTGTGACAGAAAAGTTCATTACACACTAAAAAAGTGGGCTTTTTAACCAACGCGTAATTGCGGCAAATTTCCGATTTTTAAATTCGTTAAGGTCTTGTTGTGTTTGGTTTTATTGCTTCTTCACAAAGAGTACGGTTGCAATAAACGCACTTTGAGTCCGCAAAGGTTTTCGCGGGTGAGAAAATAGTCCTCGACCAAAAAGGTTGGGAAATGCTGTCTTAGCCTGTTGAAAACAGAGTTATCTTCTAAAATTTAGATGTACATGCTGTTTGTGGGTTAGCCAAATTCTGCAGGTACTTGGAAAACGATAGCGTAAAGCGTTATGTGATATTTTGCTGGTAAATCTGAAATCATTGCATGTTGGACGATCTCCTAAAAACTGCTTTTCAAAATTGCAAAAACCTCTTATATATATTATATTAAATTATTCTAATTTTCGTGGGGGATTACGTGCTGACATCTCTAGGAGCATATTGCCATAGTACAGCTACAGCGAAATGTGGACCCATGTGGAAGAAATAAGAATCCCTTTAGACTTCAACCGAAGAGACATTTCTAACACGCTGTTATATTAGTAGAATTTAATTATTCTTCCTCTCAAATATTTTAATCGAATGACAGTTGTACACAAAAGGTTGAGCCTTGTAGACTTAAGCTATTGAAAATTGTGTTGAAGTCCACTGAATAGGAGAAATAGCCTACTCAAGATTACAATCTGATACTCGACCAAAATAATCACAAATTGCGAATTTACCATAATTCTTTATTTCAATAGATATCAAGAAACCACATCATTTTTTTCACTCAAATTCGAATTGCGTCTCATAAGTTTTCGCTTATTCATGGCGTCATTGTTGATCTTATTAGTGATGCATCTTTCTGATCCGGTGATAGCAACTGGATCTAGCGTAAGAGATTTTCTCATAGCTTCTGTAATGTCATGACGAATAATAGAACCCAGGGGAGGTCTGAGTTTTATCCGTTTATCTGAAAACGCACGAGATTTTAGACCCAAATATCCTGCTGTTTTTTCAAATAGCCAGTGCAGCGCGAGAGTCTCAACTTGATGAGCCTCCTCCTTCGTCGCTTCATTTTTAGCGAAAAACAAAGCATCCGATAAAACAGTGGCGTAAAGATTAGTGTAAAGCGTCAATGTGAAAAAGGCAAAAAGACAAAAGTAAATGCTCCACCACATTTCTTTGGTTACGCCGAACTCCGGATGTGACACATCCATGCCTGCAGCCACACTTGTAAGAGTAGTTGATGCTGTTAGGAACGAGTGGAAGTTCCATCGCTGTGGTCCAAAAGACACTTTCCCAATTAAAGACGACGCAATGGTGATGATTGCAATCAATGTCGCAACTCCGATTATGCTCTCAGTTGCCACAGATAGAGTATAGGTCATGATTGAAACAGATCGACTCCCCCTTAATATCTTCAACAGATGAATGTAACATAAAAATGCATCAAAACTTATAAGATTCCAATAAATAATTTTAAAATAGGCTGGCTTCGAAAACGACAAAAACTGACTTGGATCGTTCTTGAAAGCGCGAGTAAGTTGTGCTGCGCTAACAATGTGCATGATATAATATCCGTAAGCTGCAATAGTAACGACGACAACCAACATGGTTAGCACATTCCAAATATCGAGGAACATATTCATTATTGACAGAGCTTTCCAACGCACATCTGAACAATCGTTGAAAAGGGAATATAGATGTGCAAACGTAACAAAGATATGTAGAACTTGAAGGCAAACAATAATAATATCTACAGCATTGTACATATAAACTGGCCTGTAGCTGTGAGCTTGGTAAAATTTATTGACACCTCCAGACGCCAAAAACTCAAACACGAATGTCGCAGCGGTAATATGACCGGATACTGGTTCAAGTAATGCAAACTCTAGAAAAACAGCCGCAGATTTTCTGTCAATCCATTTAGCATATTTCAAGGATTTTGAAACAGACAGTGCCTGTTTCATCTTGTATCCAATATCCACAACATAACCATCAGCCGGATAAAAACTACGGTGTAGAATGCTCCCCGGTTGGAAGTATGTATCAGAATTGACATCAACTACTTGATACCTCCAAGGACTGACAAAAGTGATGTTGTTTCCAAGATATTTATCTTTATTATTCCATGAATCGATGTAGTGAGATTTGTCATAATAATTAACTGTTGATGAGTCGCTTTCGGGGTACAAGCAAGCACAGCCTGCTCTTGTCAGCTTGGTATTGAAGCAATTGCATTCATTGTCACTCGGGAAGCGTAGTTGTCTTAGACGTATCGGTCCCAAAACCTTCATCTGGTCAAGGTATGACAATTCGTGGGTTTTGTATAGAACCGGTATGACGGAATTATCCAGAAAATCGAACAATTCACCTTTTCTTTTTACTTCATTCAATGAATCATGGAAATAATTTTGCACTTGATTACTTATTCTGGTTATTCTATAATCACGTTGCGTCACAATTAAAAATGTTACGAACCCTGTCAATGCTATCCATAAAAATGTATCATACCAATATCGCTTGACTTGTCTTACCGCCAGGCTTCTTTTCCCTGTCTTGATACGCCGCACAGACGGAAATACATCGGGTCCTATCCATGACTTACTCTTGTTGAAACATCTTGATACATTCAATTCCAATAATGTTGGTGACGACGTCTGGCATTGTCTCCATCTGATCACAGCATTTGCTCTTGCTGCTGTACCAGTGTAAGCAGCCCAGTTGTTTGGATCTATTTGTTTACCATTAAGTACGGCATATATCGCCGCAGTAACGATCAATCGGATTGGAGTGATAATAAACAGCGTTTGGAAAAGAGACAAACAGAATGTAGTGAACCATTCAACAAACTTTACCTTCCGATAAGAAAGGCCATACACCAAAGAAAGGACAGAGCATACAGTTATGTATGTCACAATGAGAATCCATACTACCCCTGATACCCAGCCTGGCAGAAAAGATTTGGAATTTGGCATATAAACGATGTCATGAAGAAACATATTGGGTTCAAGGTATGCCTGAGAACGCGTTGAATCAGCATCACCACCGTCTGTATTAAATAATGAATGAAATGATGAATCAAATTGAGAAGGTTTGTTGCGGTTATCTTTTGCATGTTTTCTTCTCAATCCCCGCATTATGCGTTTTGATTTGAAACGTTTATACCAGACTCTTTGTTGAAGTTTTTCTTGTCTTGTTTCCAGTTCTTTGACTTGCTCGGCCACTATCGGAGTTTCTTGGTCAATTGGGAAATCCCTTATTCTAACTTTCAATTTTCTCTTTGTTGATGAACTATTTCTATAATTGACCTCGTATTTTTCACATTCCCTTTTTATATTATAAGCAATCTTCTTTATTTCACGGCAGGTTTCAAGAGTTTCGAAAACGTTTTGATCGCTTTCGCAACTGAGAAAACCCTCCGAATCTGATTCAAATAAGTCACTGTTTTTAATACCATCGGATACTATGCAAGATTTCACGAATGAACGAGGTGGAATATATGTACCCGACGACTCTTCAGTCACTGCATTATTGTGTTTCTTTCCACAAGATGGCATCAAATCATTTGCATCTTTGACAATTCCAATATTCAAGTCAGATCGCGCACTTCGGTATGATTCTTGACGTTTAATATTAGTCCATTTACTTTTATCTTTTTGTAGCGTTTTCAAATAGTTGGCCAAACTTTTATCCCCAATTCTGCGATAAGGTTCAAGACGACTGAAATGTTATAAATATTTTAAGCCATGCAATTACTAAAGGGAAATAGCAAAATAAAACCTGGGATTCTACTCACCATATAAATTCTGCCAATATAACATGAATAGGTGTTGTAACGATCGCCCCTTCAAAAGCGATAATTATTGGAGATAAGTCAAATTCTACAAATCCTATTGTCATAACATAATAACTTGATCCACCGACTTCAAAAAACATATTCATGATAAGCATTGTTCCGAAAAATGCAACTGCAAGACATCCCAATCTTTGTACTCTAGTAAACGAGCTACATCTCGGCCTGTGAATAATAAATACCCGAAACGTGAAGACGCCTGTAATTGATTTTCTAATTCAAAAAGATCATTACCCACTTAAAAAAGAAAGACAACCAGACATCTTCTTCGCTCACAATTTGACTCAAAAACATTTTCCATAGATGACAAAAAGATGCAAGCCTTTTTGTGCTGTCTTTGTGTGCTTCAATTTCACATCGAAATGGATAAATATCCATAGACAACCATTTATTAATCAAGAAATAAGATGGCGGACATTCAGGATTGTGCAAATCAAATACAGCTATCCGATTCAAATGCCAGGATGGATTTTCTCCTGCAATGACATACACATGATACTTTGAAATTGAAAAATGAATCCAAAACGCTATATTTGAGATATGAAATTACAAACCTCCATTATCATGCCAAACTCGAAGTTTTTCTACTTGTCCCAAACTTGACGGAGTTGCAATAAGGAAAGAATCTTTTCCCGCACGCTGTAGTGTAGAACAGTCAGGTGTGCTGATTATATGTGGCTTGGTGGATACTCCTTTACTGCCTTGCAAGATAATAGATACTTTGGCGGTTGTGCCGGCTCCTCTCAACATTGCAGTTGAGACAACAACTTCGTATAGATAACTGTGTTTTGTATTATTGTCCTCAGGAATAATAATATCTGATAATGTGTAGCTTTTCAAGTCATCCCTTTTAGAAAAATGAATTTCCAAAAACCTTCAAGTCTAGTTTGAGTTAAGACTAGTTTATGAAAAGTGGGGAGAGCAGCGATCAGTACTAACAGATTGGAAAAATATATATATACAATGATGGTTTACGATCCAACGATTGCGTTTGTTGGTTGGTACAATGCCTGGTTTGCGATCCCTGCTGCGTTTTCTGTTTAAAAGTTATGTTTTAATCTAGGATAGAAAAGATAAGGCATCAAATAGAATGTTCAAATATCTTTTCTAATTAACTATATTTTGATGAAATATGCTATTATATTGAATTTTGTACGTAGCATTAAATTCGTAAACTGATTATGTATGTACTATCTTAGCAAAAGTAAAGATATTTACCTGCGCGCCCATGGCAAAGGAACAATAAAAATGGCCCAGCAGAGAAGTATTACAACCATAACATAATAATGTGAACGTAATCTGAGAAATAGCGAGACCACATCATTGAATTCAATTTTGTTGGGAGTGATTATCAAAGCTGATGTGAAGAACAGAGGAACCTAAAAAGGTAATGCTTTAAAAAAAAAGTAAAATGAAGCACATAAAATATTATTTAGCACAAAGTAGCTCACATCCTCGTCGTCTGAAGTCATCGATGCTAGATCGTATGGTTTCCCAGGTTGTGGGCCACATTGGCAATGAATCATGTTCTCCTTGGACAGTTTACCTACTCCACAATATTCGTCATTCCATGAGTCTTCATTGCTATTCCAAACCATACATGATGCGCTAGCAAAAGTCAGAGATACCTAGAAGATGTGACAATGTTAAAAGATGACATTTAAAAGCTATTCTTCAAATTTAAGCATTTACGATCAAAGTATCCGTCGCTGTTTGAATAACGATTTTCTAAACTGGTGTAAATTGTACGTACACTTTGATAGGATATTGTGTCGTCAGATGTCGAATCCGACTGCAAATGTTCCATAACAACGATGATTTGTTCACGGCCATCTGAAGAGGATTGCTCCAACAAACTGCCAGGTGTTGGAATACTCCAAGGGTCTGGGTCAAACTCTGACGTTGAAGATGTTTCTTTGGTAATTGGCAATGTTGTATTATACAAAACTTCATAAGCTTGAAAACATTTAGAATTTTTTGCTAGAAGATCGAGATTTTCACATTCGCCAGTATCGAATTCAACAATTTTTTCCGCACTTTCTTTTTTATTTATAGGCAGCATAAAACTTAGTTTAACACACGGCACATTAGGGATGCGGCACGGGCGACTAGGACGAACAACAATGAAGCTATTCTTGTACTTTGATTCCACCAAACCTGGGAAAATAAGATTGGAACATGAATATGCCTCTGTCATAAAAATAATACGTGCATATATCCTGACTTATATCATACTTACTCCGTTTTCGTCGATTTGATAAAGCTGATAAATCAAGATCCAATGATGCAACTGCGTAACCGCAAGATTGAGTTACTGACGAAACAAAAGTTTGGTTGTGGCCTGCCAAGCAGGGCTTCGGAAGATTGATCGACAATGATGAAATGATGTTTTTCGGTGGGAAAGGAACTAAGACATGAACTGTTTTATTCCGAATAAGGTTGAAGTTTCCACCAGAACTCTCTGTGCGAGCTCTACTGTTTGTTTCATTTCCCAAATTTTCTATTTTTAAGCTGATTCCAACAATGAAAGACTGTTCAACTCGTTCATTAGGCTCTGTAATTAAGTTTGGTTTGAAACTACCCAGTGGATGGGATGAGAATGTAGATATCCCAGTTGAGATATCAAATTTTCCACCGTTTGATTCTGCTTCAGATGGGCCAACATCAATCTTCAATCCTGTTTGGGGATAAAATGGCCCCGGTGAAAGCAAATTCAATTTGGATTTCGTTACAGATATATCAATATTTTTAACCGATAAATCAGTTGCTTTCTCATCCATGCTTTTGTGTTCTGATGCTGTCAAAACTACCATATTCAAACTTTTCAACATGCCTTTTCTGATTGCTTTTTTCATATCGCTAGCTGAACTAGAATTTTGTTTATATGTTTCTAGTTCAGAAACAATTCCAAGTTGACTGGACATTGCACTGAGTACGTCTTTTGAAACGCCTTCGAAGCTTACACTGGACTCGGTTTCAAGACTAGAATAATGTTTTAGGAACTTAGCAATAATTGAAGTTGATTTTTCTGTAGAAATCAAGATGTCCTCAATTGTATTCGACGACGTATGTTTATACGAAGAAGCGATATTTGTCGCCTTCTGCAGGACTTGTGACAACGATCGTGCATTTTGCAACGAATCCGGTTTTATGTTTTCCAGTTTTTTGGTCACACTTTTCAAAACGGTATCACTGAAGGATTCATCTGGAAAAACAGGCCATTTCAGAATATTTCATATGAATGGAAAAACAAATGATGAAGAACATGTAATTCTATTACCTTGCATTGACTCCAAAATGGATAGAGAGGAAGAAGCAATCCTAGCAAACTCTACTATATTCTTTTCTCGGAAAGCTTCGTCCAACAGTGAATGGTCTACAAATTATACAATATTGCTATAATTTAACTTTTACATTATTACTACTTCTGACAAAAACTTAAAAACGTAAATCAGCACGCAATGTGAATTAATTCATTCAAAAACTTTCAAGAAACAATATTAAATTACAAATTTGAATATTACAAACTCACCTTTTATAATGTGCTGTTCCAAAAGATATTTTCGTTCTTCGGGCGCCGGTGGAGTTATTTTTGCCATAACAAATGATTCGGAAACACCACATGTCTTCTCATTATATGATCTTATAGTTATTATTAATTTATATCCATAACCCTTTTCACCATGCGGAAGTGCAACTCCTGCAATAGAAGATGCAGTTTGTGCATAATTTCCTTACCGAAAAATTTGTACATATAAACTGGTAAAGCTTACCTTTTGCATGTGGCGTATTACCATGATAAAATACGATACCATTAGTGTTGCATTGATGGCAATCTACGTATGACATTTCGTAAGTGATGTGATAAGATGAAGTGTGACCTTGACACCCAATGTCAAACTTTGTAAAAAGCGCTGTTCCCGTGGACGGACTAATAAAACATATTTTTGGTGGAGGCGAATCTGATACTTGTGCATAATAGGTTGCGGAGCCCGAAACATACTGTTCTTTCGAGTCCTTGTATCTTGCGTTCATATTGACTGATATACTGTATGTTCCGATTTGAGAGAACGCTGACGATTTTAGTTTAAGGTCAACACCTCGTTTCGCTGTGTAGGAATCACGAGACCAGGAAAATATTTTACTAAAATCACTGCTTTTAGAATCGGGTTCCTTGATAAACCACTCAAACTCGACATTAAATGGGAGAGAGATGTCATCAACACAATTTTCACATGTTGCTTTCAGGTGAAATTGTTTTGTGGAGATTATGTTCTTACCACAATTTTCAACACAATGGATTGCAACATACGGTTGACCTTCAGTCTTGTTTTCAGAAAGCATATCTAAAAATGATGTCATAATGAAATTAGGTTTTTATGTATATATATATAAGTGCAGCAACATACTTACCTAAAACTGTTTGAATTTCTGGCGGTGCAACTTTTAGTAAAATTGTTCTATCATCGAATGCTATATTTCCAAATTTATCAATAATCACAAGTCGAAATAAATGTACTCCAGTCAAAATATCAAACTTCGAGACCCGGATAGACAAAACATTTTTGTGGGATTTTGTTAAATGTTTCTCGTGTGTTCCACTAAAATCAGATACTGCAAATCCATTGCTAAAACAACCGCCATCATCAGCTGCATAAATGATATAGAAACATTAGTACGCACTAAATTATATTGGATAATATTTTAGTTAGTGCCCTCCAATGAAATGCAACTAGGCAACCAAATTAAAAGTATTTCATCCTGTAGTAAATATGGCTAATAATTTACAAAAAATCTAAATAGAAAAACTACATTTTACCTGGAAGTTCTTCATCAAAATTTATTTTGTTAATATACTTTCGAAAAGCAGCTTCCTCATTTTTCTTTCTGCAAAACCACAAGTATCTGACGTCGCGGTCCGGTGTATATTTTTGTTCGCTTTCGAGATGAATAGTTGAATCACTAGTCACGTACACAATAAATTCTTTTGCGCCTTTAATTTTGGCTTTCAACGGAGGAGAAAGTATTTGAATCACGAGAGTGTCGGAGGAGTACAAAGGATTGTCTTCACAGAAAGAATTATCGGCAACACGAAACACACAATAATAAAACCCCGGCGTCAAAATTTTTGACGATAAAAAGAATTCAGAATTTCCTCCTCTCTTTGATTTCCAATTTGGATCAGAATGGTTGTCGCTGAATGCACCTAAAAGGAATACGTTAAATTTCAACGTTTGTAATTTTTCATTTATATCACTGCTGTAAGTTATTTTGTATGACACGATGATTTTGCTCACCCATCTCTCAACTATACTGACGCACATTATTTTCTTATAAATGAACAAATGATTTTGGTGCTGCCACATATATAGATATATAATATATATATATACAATTTTCAACGTATAATGTCATGGATATATCAAAATTGTTGATGACATACACTGTAAAAATATTTTATTCAAGAGCTTACGCGGAAAATGAAATTAATAAGGATTAACCGTTTCAATATTATATAAAGCTTTTTATAATGCAGGCTTTTTGTTTACCTGAAACGTTGGAATATTCTTTCTTGATACGAGACACAGTCCAGGAAAAACTTATGCTAGTATTTTTATTTGGCATTTCAGGACAAGGACGCTGAATGAATTCTCCCGAAAGCACAATGTTACGACCTTCCTCCAGCTTTATGACTCCATCTGTTGATTGTGTTTTTATCTTGGCTTGTAGTCTTGGACAAGCAGCAAATTGTGATACGCATATCTTTGATTTTTCGCGTATATGCGTTAGCTGAAAAGCAGAAACATTTTTGCTATCTCGATATTCTGCACATCAAATATACTTTGGAACAGAATATTGGTGTCGGAGCCAAGGTGCTGCTCCATTCTTTCGTTCAAGATGTTTTCTTTGTGTTCCTATATTAGATAATATTCACCAATCTGAAATGAATTTCAATGACTTACATATACATACACCTATCCAATACATAGGTGTTATCAGTTACACTCATTTTCGAAAATACAAAACCTACTTGTTGATTTTTTTTTGCAATTTGAAGGGCGCACTATAACAGAATTACAATTGTGTAAATGTCTATAAACTAAAATGATGTTTGTCTGTGCGGGTTTTGACGTTTTTTTTTTATATATCTTCGCAAAAATACCAACACTATTCCTAACTGAAATACGGGCGTGGAAATTTGAAATTTGTTAGAAATTTACAACAACGCAATCAATAACTTACGTACTAGAAGACTAATAAACTCTCGCTACTGATAGGGTGTGTAATCTAGCCTTTCCTCGCTATTTATACCATGCATAAAGAACGAGTGGTTAGCTATGCCTAATATACCCGACCTGCACTCGAAACTGGAGTGGAGGGGCCTACTCTACAATTGCCGCCTTCTCCTGCCCCTGAATAAATATTAAAATAGTAATTCGACCTGAATTCTTTCTTACTATATTGACAAGCTCGACATAGAGGAGTCGTAACTCTTAAGTTTTAGAGACTCCGGTGAAAAGCGTCACTTACCTTATTTTTTACGTCCACTGTAACATAATGAGTCCCGAATTCAGCAAAAGTGAGCTTGAAGTGCAACAAGCAATAAGATTTGGATTTCCTATTGAAGTTATGCAAATTAATATCGGGCCACCGTTTCACGTATTCCTCAATAGACCAGGAGTTGTCAAAACAAATCTTTTTATTCTTGTATGGTAACTCAGAAAATATTGTTTTATTTGTGCTCAGCGTTGAGGCATTGACTGACACAATGAAATCATTTGCTCGACTGAAAATTTCCTTCGGAACGTTACTCGCGACGACCAACTCTAATGAAATGTTGGAATTCTTGGTCGCGGTTACGTTATTCAGAATTAGAATTCCTTCCGTGACACCCATGGGATTGAGTAATAAGCTGAAGTGAAATGCTGATATTCCATTTTTCACAATTCCATTTAGGGGTGTAGGATTTGTTGAATTCAGTGTCAAATTAAAATCGCTTTTGTAGCTAATTAACACTTCGCCCAAGCTCCAGGTCCACTCACTCGATTTATTCGTGGATATTCCCTCAATGTGTAGTATATTTCCAAGTGGAACAGCTACATCTGGAGTCTTTTGTTCGTTTTGTGTGATTGTAAATGAGTCATTGAAAAGGTAAAACGAGGTTGCGCAATGGAAATTCACAGTGACTGACTTATTAAACTTCTCAGTGTATATTGTCATAGGAACTACGACAGCGGCAAATTTCATGTCACCACCTTCTAAGTAAATGTCTAGTTCGAACAGCATATAAAAGGTTCCTATCTCATCAATTCGCCTCTGTATCAAAATGCCATCCTCTACTTCAGTGAATATAAACATGAATCTTGAGCCTGGTTCATATTCGGTATCATTTAGAAATTTATTGTAGAATACTGTAACTGAGGATGCATTGTTCCATTTTCCAAGATTAATTTCAACTTCGACGACATCTCCGTTAGCCACGGGACTATTGCTTGTAAATGTGACCGGGTTATCTGGTTCGTTGATAGTGACATCGCTTGTCATTAAAGCACTGTGTTCTGAAAAGAAACGATGCCAGTGAAATATAACGTTAGGTAGTAAACGATACAATATTGACAATCTTTGCTTTAAAAAAATGTAAACATATATTCCTAATTTTGTTAAGCCTTAACTGGCTCACCTTGGTTTTTAAATTCACAGCGTATTTCATATTTTCCCGCTTTCTGAAACGTTACTACTCTTTCATAATGCTTCGTTGAGTTTTTTATAGTGACTTCAAAAGTTTCCAAGCTTGTTCGTTGCTTTATGCTTATTTTTCCAATGGCGCGACTCAATATTTGACAATGGGCAGTACAAGGAGCGCCAGTCAGCACCCAGAATTTAAAAGTGTAATTTCCCGGATAAAATACAATGTCAGGTGAATGCCATATTCTAGCTCCTTTAATTTGATTTTCAACATTTTCATCGCCTGAAAAATTACAAGAAATTTCCATCATAGATAGATAGATAGATAATTTACAACATCCTAAATCCTCTCATCTCGAGTCGATCGTGCTCAATTTGTAAAATAATACAGAAGCATTACACAAATATATGTGCGGTACTTTCATACCGTTTGTTGACATGCATCTCGCCTGATCAATCTAACCCAAATTTAGAAAAATAAACTGCAAAATTTGGGATGAAAGCAACATGGACTCAAGTGCCCAAAAATAATATAAACGGGAAAAATTTTATGGCGAATAGTTCTGAATTTAATGGAAGGGCAGTATTTTCCAAGAACAATCTAGCAAAAAGATCTTTGGGTGAACTAGCGTTCAAAAATAAATCTATAGATATACTGCGAAGAATAGTTGTAGCGTAATAAGTGAATTTTTTTAATCTTCCTACATTTGAAATTCACAGTTGCCAGTCAGACAAATTTCATTTGCAAAACCTTCAAGTTATCAACCACTTCTTGCTGGATGTTCCAGCTCGAAAGTATAGCTTGTCGGTCGTCTAATATTCTAGCTTTGGTTAATTACAATGTCTACTCTACGCCACAGTCCACTAATAAATAACCCAACCAAATAGCTTATCATAAAACAGTTGGTCAGTAATCGGATGCAATTTTTATGTTTACCGACTGCCAATATTAACTTCATATTTTCTTCGCTTTATTTATTCGTCCTATATATCGTTATTATTTTATCCAGTAATACCGCATCTCTAATGCAGTATTCATAAGCTCACTAGTCAACTCACCTTTGATCGAACATAAAATCGCCCACAAGGTTAAGCCATATATCCAATGTTTGAGTTTGATATCAGAGATAAGATTCCCATTCCAAAACATTTTTTAATGAAAATTTCTCAATTTTCTCACTAATGATTCATTTTTGCTATCAACCTGTTTTGTGACGACACAATGCTGAAATGAAGACGTTGATTTTAATCTGGCTAAAACTTACACAAAACCGCAGAACAGATGGTATAGTTTGAGATGACGTAGAGATATCTCAAAGTCGTACACTTTTAAAGGAAGATTGATTTATTGCCCGCAGTCGTCACCATTCAGACATTAGTTTAAATAAATGTGCATGTAACTATGGAGGAAACGGGTCATAATCAAATTGTAAATTGAACTCGTTCATATTTTTCCGCGATATTCGACGTCGAAATTTCTTAGAACAAAAACTTTTCATATAATTTATTTTGCAAGCCTTTTGTTTTCGATTACTTTTATTTTCTTTAATTGTCCCGAAAAGTATTGAATTTTTTTTGTTAAAACATCGGAGACCTTATTGACCCGTATATATTTGTTTTCACGCAAAGCTATTTACCCGTCAGTCGGTTTTAGCTTTGGTTTGAATTATGCTAATCGTTTCCGAACGAAAGAGGTATTCTTAACGCTGTCCTTATTACGAAAGTCTCTTTCAATAAGGAAAAAGATCACTCTTGGATATCCAACTCTCCGTGACAAAAAATATGGACTATATAAGGCGCTATTGAAAACAATGTCTGGATGTGAAATACGACAAGTTTACTTTTCATGGATCAAATAATTCTACGGGACCTTCCCATCCCATGCTTCCGATGAATACGACATATTAGTCGAAAAATAATACGAAAAGTAGAATATTAGCAGAGCATACAAAAAGTCTGAAGGTAAATTCCCTAATTTAAAAGTTAACATTATCTGGTTATCGGTTCTGATATGAAAAAGAGGTATGTATTTTATGAGGAGAAAAGCATGCTTCATGCTAAACAGAGTTGAAAAACATACAGTTGGTAATTTTTTACCATTATTAACATAGGAGCATTACTGAGGTAGGCAGCTTTTTATTATAATAAACTCATTGCTGTAGTTTGCTTATTCATAAGGTTTACTGCCAATTGAGCGTAGCAAAAGCCATTGAAATTCTGTAAGGCGAGTTTAGATAGCTGTTAATTAATATTGTCATGCAATTTGCCATGTCATTTATGTCGACATATTATGCAAATGTATACCTGAGAATTTGTTATAGAACTATGACGTTAATATTCCAAAATGTGTAATTATAAATGTGAGTTAAAATTAATTAAATTTTGAAAATAAGAACGACGAACCGGATGATATCCGGTATTCATATAAATAAATCCATTTGTATTCCTTCCTATGCCAAATACCCAACCGTAACGCTGTCTATTCGGGATTCCCATGATTCATCGATGAAAACACGGATATAGAATTTCAAAATTAGAAATACATACTAGCTAAAATCTTTATCAAAAATACAAACAGAAAATTTTACGTAACTTTGGCAATACCAGGCAGACAGCCTGATTTAGCTCCATTTCTAATGTCAGATTCAATATTTATTACTAATTCGCACAGATACTAACATTTTTTATCACTACCGCTTGAATGAAACAGCAATGATGATAAACTGGTAGACATGGTTTTCATTTACCATAATCCTTGGCTGTGACAGTTCTCGATTGTGGGGATTAAAATTTAGACGTTTGGGTAAAATAAACTTTATAAGTTGTCACAATTGTATGGCACGGAAAATGAATCTCTCATTATATATTAGTCACGTATAAAACTTCCTTGAACATAGAATTCATTATAGATTCAGCCTTGGTTAGGAAAAACTGGACAAGTGGAATGTTTTGTGAATATTCTAAAATGAACAATTACTTGTTTGTTTAGTTCGGGAGATCAGAAATACTTTGATGTGGCGCCATTGAGTTGTCGATGACAAATCTTATCGTGAGTTTATATATGGAAGTCGAGTGTGTGTTCAGTTTGTCTCGCGATGTGTATCAATTAATAGAAGACATTTATGTAAATATTTTATTGAGTTTTGAAAGGCACAGAATTATTGATTTATATTACTTTGTAACTTTGGTTTATATGGAAAGGATAAATGATATAAAGTGATCAAGTATACTGTGGGATATTAAGACACGGCGGCTTATTGGAGAGTATAAGAAGAAAATTACAACCGAAACGTCTTTCTATTGTTGGAAAATATCAAATCAGTGTGTGATGACGCACAAACTGATGAGAAATAACAAAATTTTGCGAGTGATGCAAACCCGTACTGGCAAATATATTTCCGTAGGAGGTACCTACTAGCCTAATTATTTTAGGAGGTTGATTGCTTGGAGCGCAAGTAGGAACTTTGCCAGTGCCGATGGCGAAACATGTTCAGATTAGAAACAGTGTTTTAAAAGTACATTGGTTCTCCTCGGTTTGAATAGTTAAATCAGTTTAGGTTTGAATAAATATATCAATGCAATTGATATGCGGGTCATCCGATTATTTATTAATAATTTATATTCCGATTTCTGTCTCGATTAATAGCGATAAGGCCCCAACAAATTCATGGCTCAAAGAGCTAATTTACATATGAAAGTTTTCAAACTCAGGCGACAAAATTCTGAAATATCAATGAGAATTATCTAAGAATGGCTGGAGGATCTAGAAATAGCTATTATATTTTAATTAATGCGATATCTGTGCATGCTTCGATGAGTGCAAGTACTCTATTTTTGCGGGGTTTAAGGAAGGACAAACATACATTGAATGCTTCTTCATGTATTTTCAGTTACTGGCGTTTATTAGATATTCTTTTCAAATATCTATCCATTGCCGCGAGCGTGTTTGTTATATAAATTACGTTGGCAAAATACTGCTATTGACAAATTTTCATGACTATTAAATTTATGTTATGATTTCATAAAACCTAAAATGATATTCGGAGATTCTAGAGTTCGCACCGTGGATTCCCAATATCAAACAACAGACTCATCTTAAACCAAATAAATATGTTCGTGGTGAATCTTGATTTCTACTTCGTTCGATTTATTATCACAAATAAGTCAATTAGAAAAATTTGGGAAACAACAATTTGGCACGGAACACCTGAATAGAGTTCGGGTAAAGCTGTGGTATGCGACATGAGTAACAGGTTGGATGCTTGCTTGTGTGAATGCAAGCTGAATCGTTATGCATATTTACATGTGTTGACTAACTTTGACGTGTTATCGTCTAAGTCTTTATATTGAACCCCAGAGAAATCTGGCAAGACTCGAATTTATTTTTGAGCAGAAATAACACGGATTGAATAATCGGAGTGGTACTTTAAATAGTTCGCATCCTCTTGAACCAGACACGACCTATTATTATATTTATATACAGTCTAGTTTGGCACATAGATAAGTGGTCAAACCTGGCTCTTGTATCACAATATCGTTTTCTTAAGGATTAATATGTTATCATTATTGGTATATATGGACAGTTCTCAATTTTGGTTCAAGTGCCAATGTACTTGAAAAGGTTTTAAAGCTATTACTAGGCGACATTGGTGTGAAAATAGGCCAATGTTTTTATTGTAGTCAGCATTTTGAAAGAGAATTGACGAAATTGAAATAAGATAAATGAATGTTACATGTGCCAACCATAATAAAATGATTAGAGGATCGCATCTATTTGATTCGTTCAATGACGTGTATACAGCTAACGAATCAAAAGGGCCGCAATGCCATTCATTCATTACCCACTATTTTACCGTGTCGATTTAACATCATATAAAATTGATGTAGACGGTAACTAATTGTTATGCTTATTTGATACAGCATGGCTTTTTCTATTACAACAAATTTTACATAGAGATCGATGAATAAGTACGTATGAACATCAATATCACCCCATTTCTCCAGCAGAGTCGTGAAATATTCACCATTATCTCTGACATTTGAAAAATATATACACTTACTCTTTCTCTCTCGGCAGCGCTTCCCGTCCATTTCCTATGAGATACAACATTTATTATTCAACACTGGTGATACCGATACTGGTCCACAGGGAATGTGGTGTCATTTCACCGGAGATCGTGTGTTACTAAATCGTATTTTATTCGCCTTCAAATTTTTCAGTACAAAACGTAGAGAAATATAGTATCAGTGTTGATGGAAATATCTTAACAGCATTGGGACGTAGAAGATAAGTATACGATACTCCCGAGAATAAGATACTATTATGAAATAAAAGAGTGATAAGATAGATTAGTTTTTAAACCATACCATTCCTGTTCTGGGAAATTTCACTTCTTAGTATGAAACTTATTATCATATATCTTTGGTTGCGAAGTGCAAATCCATCTCTCTCCTGTGTTATGTAAGAAAATAAGATAGCAGGTTCACAATTTAATTCTTTCATAGCTGCTTCGTGTAGAAGAAATATATATTGCTATTAGACTCGAATCTAGAGTATTTTTAATCCAACATTAATGTTTAGTTAATACCGAAAATAGATTTATCAGCAGTATTACCGTCAACAAAAACGGATTTTCGATAATTAGTTTGACTCGTAAAATTATATTTTTTCCATGAGTCATTTATGACTATCTGCGCAATAATTTTAGCTTTAAATACCCCTAACTAGAACGAAATTGGGCAGTTTCACTATGATGCTTCAATACAAACTGATGTCGGGTCAAGGTGAATTGAATTCACATGAAAAATGTATTAGCCGTTTCGACTTTCTGAGCATCGATAATTACTTTTGGGTGCATTAGGAATTTGAATACATGGACTCAAACGTACGATGCTTAAAATTCATTGGCACAATGGCATAATTTTTATTTTTTACTCGACATTGACACATTTGTGATACCTTCGAACCGAAGGCAGTACAATGATATTTGATAAAATTTCGCTAGATAAATGAACAATGCAACAATAAAGTGAGGCCAAGATTCCCCCGTACGGGGCGGTATACAGGACGAGCAAGGCTGTTTATTCGAAGTATGTTGAACACTGAACAGCGTTGTTCTATCAGCAGTTTTGTTGATAATGTTATTGATCACGCATAGATAAAGACGAACTTACACAGTATCAGTTCGTGAACGTGGAAATGAAGAAATAAAATAAAACAAATAATATATGTGTATGGGAAATCATTACTGACGACCAGAATTAAATCACTCTATTAATTTACAGATATTTAAATATGGATATATAATAACGGATATATATAAGATAAATGTATTTATTGATAAATACTCATATATTCTTTCCGGAGAATTTACGCTCAAAAGGATCGTATTAAAATGAGGGCACGATGTCACAAAAAACTTTCTTTAACTGCAATAAAATACTTAGTTGTAGGAACAATTTTATTTGCGTTAGGGACGCAAATTGGTATGGCAATGTGGAGTAAATATGTCGTTTATACCTCATTCACACGACGACGTGATAGGACTCATACAGACATTCATTCATCAAATATCATAAGAACTTCTACACAACGAAATACTAAAACAACGGCAGTGAAAACAACAAGACCTATCAATCCAACAATTGGATATACTTCAAATATCGTGCAATGGACGTCCTCTGAAATGGAGTGTTCTTTTAATAATATTCCTACGAGACCACCGATAGACGAGCGTCGATATTTCAAAGCGTTGCCTGAGAAATTCGAAAGTACTATATGGCCGCCTGTCCGACGTAATGACTGTGGCACAGGACGTCTTCAACGCCCGTGGTCGTTGGACAGGATCAAAAATCGTGAGTATTGAGTATTGGCCTTCCTGATACTTGGTAATAAATTGGAAAATCGGAACACCTTCTATTATTTTCAATAGGCTTAACTCACACGGAATTACAAATTTCTCATTTGAATCGCGCTATTTGTATCACGAAATGTAACCTATAGAAAAATAAATAGGTTGCTTGGTACTTGATTCCAAAGATAAATATACAAAAATAGTAAACTACTGATATTCAGTCGACCCCCATATTTGTGTGATATCAATTGTCGAAATTCTAAAACTTCGGCAACATCGGACGAGTCAATGTCATTGTGTATATTAAGGCTCGCTGTTTAATCTCCGTGGTGTAATGCAAATGTAAAAAAATATATATATTCACAGTATAGTGCTGACGAATTATTCCAATTGCATTTGCCAAATTCGGAACTGGCATCTCTTTTTTTCAAATCGAAATTAGGTTTAATGAACGCTTGAGATCAAGATGCATATTTTCATGGTTGAGAACTATTCAATTTAAAAAATATGGCAGACAAGCATATATCGAGAATTGAATATGGCCACGTTTCGACAATACAGTAAACAACAGAATGCATTGTAATTGCTTTTTTTTTCGATACAAAATTAAGCATCAGTGCTCATTGATTGCCAGTAGATTTACTCGAAATTACTATTTATATTCCCGGTTCAACATATGATAGTGTACGACCCTTGTACTTCAATTGAATCGAGCACACGGTCAACTTCACCGCCAGCTAAACATATGGTTGCGACAAACGTGCATAATTTATACGCGAATTGCGCAAAAGGATCATTTGAAACGACGGGCGCTAATTCGCTCAATTACATTTATTCATATAAATTACAAATAAATACACTTTTAATTGAAAGAAAATTTAAACATTGTGACCTTTTCGATCGAGAATGTTTTACTTTTCATAGAAACAATAAAATATTAAATTGTACCCTTTCAAGTGAAAAAATCGATTGTATTGTTGAGGCGAAGGTAAAATTTAGCATTTTGGAATGCGATGCTATAGCTATGACGCAAAATAATTATTTGGTTATAGTTTTACGTCGTCAACTGATACATATTTTCTATTGTCTCAGAAACGAAAATTGTAAACAAAAAATGAACTAAAAACAACATCGGGACTATTTCTGCCTTATTCAATTTGATCACTTTGATCTAATTAGATTTACCAAAATAGCATTTTGCGTCAGGTAATCTGGTTATCAAATTTAAGATGGCATAAAAGCTATGCTTCCCTGCAGATGCAGATGCATATCGATGCCTTATTTGCAACGATCGCTCAGTAGTTGTAACCCATATTTCCCATTCGGAAATTTATGTTGCAAAATAATATCTTTTAAGTAAAATTCACTGTGAATTCAGGGAAAGTAAAGTTGATCATAAATTCAAATGCTCATTGTGAACCTAACTGCCGCCTTTTTCTGCCAAAAGTGCAATATTGGATCGGTTGAAGAGATCGTATGTGTGACCGAATTACATATTCACCCCACGTAATTGTAGTCCCACCGGGGAACCGTGCCATATATTATCCGCTACATAGCGTTTAACAACATTACGTTGTTAATACAAAACACCATCCTTATTTTTTACAATATTTGCAATTGTTTTCTCAGCATGGATGATTTTTATTGTCAAATCGGCACCACATCATTTCCCTCAAAGGCACACAGTTCGTTCGACATGGGGATCAATATCTTCTTTCTACAATAAAACCATAGTAGTTATCTTCTTGCTTGGATTGCCATCACTACCAAACAAAGAAACTTTGTGGCAGAAAGCCATTGACGAAGAAAATCTAGTATTTGGAGACATATTACAATGCCACGTTTTAGATAGCTACAAAAATCTACCAAATAAGGTAATGCTGTATGTAAAGAAGAAACCGAACTTCTTATATTTGGCAAAACGCTGACTGTATGACTTGTTTATAAAAACCATTCCTTGTGATTGGTACTTAATGCTTTATTTTACCGTCAAGGTAAGGTAAGTAAGTTGTTTAAAAACCCAACATTGAGTAAAAAAAACTTGCTTTGTTAATCCAATTATAAGACCAACCAAGTGTTTGCTAAAATAGTTATTTGATTATATATTTATATGGTAATGCGAAACCTTGTGAAACACAAGAATTGAGAGGCTTGACTCGCCAATCCCCCGAGCAACGCTCTGCGTGTGATTGACAGTGTTTAAAAAAATATAGGCATGTGAAACTTGGAGGAAGTGGAAGTCTTCTGTTTCGGAATTATTTTGTATCAACGAAGTTATGGCATAAATCAAATGAGCTTCATTCAGCGTTATTTATTCATATATATTCTTTAGCGGTGCATATTGACATGAATGAAACTAATTTTAAAGAAATCGTTGTAAAATCTCTATTCTAAACATAAGCTAGAATTCTTCATGCCAAATTTTCCATTAGCCAGAAATTGATTTAGCATAAACATATTTCTCTTAATTGCATTAGGCTAATTTACGTTGATTTGGCACCGATTTCGCGATTTCTAAAGTTTTCGTGTCAAATGGGCAATCGTTGTGACAACCTGCTCAACTTTGCGTTGACCTTTTCATTTGTTCTGTAAAATCAGTTTATCTTACTCAAGAAAATGGATTTACATGCATTAAATGGACAGCCACGCCAATATTGCCGGTACAAATTTTGTCCCCTTGTCGTAAAATGGATTATTAGAAGATCCAGTTATTGGAAAAACATTTTACAAAAAAAAATGAGAACCTTTCGCAGATAATGCCCAGTACAGTAATTGGATAATAGATAAAAACTTCTCAATTTTAACTTGGGATTAAACTGCCTGCATTATTGATGCTAAAGTCTACAAGATAATGGAGATATCGTATTCTTTCTCAATGAAGATTGAAATTCTTATTCGCAAGATAAATGCCGTCACATATATCGACCAGTTCAAAATTTACTACATAAAATATAGCAAGACTTTGTATATAAGAAATTGATTTTTCGACCCACGAGAAAAGTATTATCGTGGAGAAATACGTTATGTGATAAACGTGTTACACTCATAAATAACTGCGACATTACCACGTATAAATCATAACATCAAATCTACCAAACTTTCCAAAATACCAACAATAATATTGTCCACAACTCTTACACCTCAAATATATTGCAATCGTTAATTCATTTTATGTATTTACAGGTTCTAGATTCATTTCAGTGGGTATTGAAGCAAGATTACAGGGGAAGTTTCTATACATTAACAGATGATGATTGCATGATGAGGATTACAAACATTCATATGTATTTTGATCATCTGTCAATCGATGAAGCTCGTCACAATATTTACTGCGGGTTTTTATATGACAGAGATAATAAAGCAATTCGTGCTGAAAAGAGCAAGTGGTGAGTTTGCGCATTTGTTATTATTGGTGTTGCAGTTAAGTTGCAGAAATTTGTATTCTTTTGTCCTGATATTGATGGATTAGAATATGAATGGCTTAGCTTAGTTAAGACACATGACAGTATATATCTGATGCAAGACTTCTATTAAAATAATGCAATGGCCATAGTCGTCGGAGCTTCTGGATTCAATATTTTGGTTGGACAGTACACTATTCACACTCAGGGTATGGTAAATTGAGTGCGTGAGCTGACGAGAAAGACTATGGCCTTATCACAGTTTACTTAGTCTTCGTAATCTGGTTGTTCATATCTTTGTTCGTAGCAAATATATTATGATGCATGTAATTGAATCGTGACCATATTCGACAAATTCGATATTGAGGTGGTAGCTTATATTTTTGTTCGTTGCTTTATTTCTAATATTTACTTAAATCTGCAACGGAGCTAGAAAGTGCGACAGAATCCCGCGCAATGCTTTGATATACTACTGTCGAAATTGAGCAGACATTTTGAACAAAATAAAATTTCACTGTAGTCGCCTTTACGTAAGTGGCGGCATCATTATTAATTGATTTGTTTAGGTCGATGAGTGCATGGCAGTATTCAGAAAGATACTACCCTACGTTCTGTCATGGTGGAATGTACACAATGAAACAACCAATGTTGAAAACGTTGTATTGCATCTCTGAAGTTACAAACACGTCCGGATTTCATTTAGAAGATGTCCTGATTACAGGTGAATGCAGATGAAAATATCTCACTATTTATTGGTGTCGCTGGGACGCCTGGTGTTAATACATTCCTTAAAGTGACAAATGAGATGCTTTATTTTACCAGTTTCAAGTTGAGTCAGATATTGATGTTAAGAGAGAAAACCATGTTTCAATATATCTTTCATTGTCGTTATATAATTATAGGCATATTGCGTGAAAAAATCGGGGAAGGAGATGTCAATATAAAACCAGTGACAACCAACACAGGTAAACGACTAGATTTAATGTACTATCCATGGGACGACAATGCTGCTCGAACTCTGTGGAAAATGAACCACAAATGGATAGCATGGAACCGGACACTCTCCCAATATCGATACCGAGGACTTTTAAAAAGTAAACCACTGCCAAGTCGTAGAAATCGATTGGAAATAACTAAATTACAGTCATTTTGGCGCCAACAATGGATAGACAATTTTAATGTTAATCCTAAACCTCACGTTGAATATGAAAACCGAATTTCCTGACCTACTCTCAGATGCAGATTTAGACGATAAAATTCTATAGCCCGAGAATGGCAAAATATTTTTTAATGAATGAGTCAAAAATTATATTAATATTGTAAAAAAGAAAAAGAAGACTGTGTGTCATGGAAATTTTCCAATGTATGCATCGATGAGAAACTTGCAGTTGCACCTTTTCGAAAGTCCCATAATTCTTGATTGGTATTTTATAGATTTCATTTGTGTAATTTTACACATACAAGGCTCATATCAGAATTGAGCTGATTTCTGGTACTCGATTGTTACGAGTTTTCCAGTTGTGTGCAAAAACGTGGATTCGCATGCATATGAAATACTGAAAACCTACGGGTAATTTTTCCATTGTTTCGAAAGAGTTCAAAAGAGCAACTCCACTCTGATAGAATTATATTTTTCTATCGACAAGCAGCCGCATTGAAGTCACTACCTCACTGCCCCGTTGTTATTTTAAAATTCTGTTGTCGTCAATTTAACGCTATAAGATTTTGTTTTCCAACCGACAATTGCACGTGGGAGAAAAACAAACTGCTAATTAGCATATAATTCTCGTATACCCCGCCAAAACATTCTTCTGCCATTTTGGCTATGCGAAAAGATCCCACTGTAGCAAAACAAGTTGCAATAAATGAACAGTTGAATTGTATTTGGGAAATAAATAGTTGGGCCATATACGCTGTAACAGCAATGTTGTCAGTAGATTGGATGCATACCACGATACCGGTGTAGCAAATGTGGCGGTATTCACTATAATTTATCTCGTCAATCAACTCTTTGTATTAATAGTATGTAATTCATTTGTCCTATTTTCCTGATTATGATTTATTGCGACAAGGCTTAGCAATGGATTAACGGGTGAAATACGCACGTGCTTATGTCACCAAGGAAAAGAGGGCACCACAGAAATTTCCATTCCTTTATTACCGCGACGCCGGCTAAACTGAACTTAAACATATTCCAAGTGCAGTTTTAAGTATTTTATGGCGTCTGAAGCTGCCGCAGAAGAGAGAGAGACCCAGTCTAAACCGAAAACTGTTCCGCTTTTTGTTAATTATGTTTTTGTTGTGTATGTGTTTACTGGTGGACAAAACAAATTCTTTCTCTCTCTATTTCCTGAGACAGGGAAGCCAACGAGGCGGCTTAACCGGGGGAGGGCATGGTACGGATCCGTGCCGTTTTGATCGTCTTGGGTGAAGTCAAAATTGCTAATGGTGACTCAGCAATGCATAATAACAGCTATACTACAAGTTTTGACGGAGTATTTTGAACAGTATTGAAGTTACGGCGAATGCTACAGGAAACATTCAACAACTGACGCTTTTAAAATGTATCGCAGTTACGGCGAAATGCTACTCAAAACACTTAACGACTGAATCTTTATAACAGTACTGATGTACTGTTAAAAACCACTATTCGTTGAACTTTAAACGCATTGGCCCGCTTGAAATCAATTTCAGTTGTTTTTCTTTCTCAATATATATATCATCTAAAATCTCTATAATATATATATGTTTGTAGGCATTGGAAATATTTTCAAAAATTATAATGTAAGTCAATCATAATTCGGCATTTAATCGGCAATACTGAACTGATACTTACTTATTCATATCCAGATAACACGGAACACTAGTTACATTCATAAAAAGTTATGTGTAAATTTAATTGTGCAGATAAGTCAATACTATTATTATAATTTTTTTTTTTTTACAGAATAAAAGCATTATTAGGGGATTAAGTTAATTTTTAAAAATTTTTCCTCATTATATTGTTATATTTTTGAACCTTTCAAATGGGAATATTTGAAAACAACAATACCGACAATTAACCTTTGTAAAAATGAAACAAATTTTACTTTCAAAAAAATAGGATGAATTTCAAAACACGACTTTAGCATACAGTCACTTGTTTAAATATATTTTTGATTTATTGTCACTAATCTCTAATAAGACGATATTATTTTGAATTAATAAAAAACTGAAATCACTGTAAAGACATATCTTTTCAATAAAATAATATGACATATTGACTTACAGTCATGCATCGTCAATATAACTGTATTGATAATTTTTTTTTTACCAGCCAGCACCGAAAATTGAATACGACTAAATTTCTAACTAAATGTCAGTGAATATATTGTCTGTTTTTAAATACGTTTTTTTAATTGAATTATATTTTACGTTCCTGCACAACTCAGTAGAAACCATGTCAAGTTATGTCCGGAATTTTCATATATGTTTGCTGATAGCGCTTAGAGAATTATGTGACGCTATAGGTCGAAAATCGAAAAAAACTTGTAGTTTTTGGCAAATTCCACAGAAGCGCGCCCCCAACGAATCATGCGTTTCTTGCGAATAAGCACGTATTAATCAAAGTTTTATCATAACTCCGTACAGTGGTTACCATCATATGTTTTAGTCACAATGCTCAAAAATTGGCGCAGTATAATTGCTTGATTTATAAACTGTAATGCATTTTTCACTTAAGAGATTTCATGGCGTGGAATTATTTCAGAAGGCCTTCGTCAATCCCTGGAACAGCTTCATCAAACCCGAGAGGTTATATCGGAAGAGGTTTTAATCTTATTACAACCAGCTGTAATTGAAATCGACGTCACCGATTATATTTGTTAATATGAAGACCTTTTCGATACACCATAAAACTCCAATTAAGCTCTTATCCTTGTTTTCCGAAATAGACTTTTTTTAATACATTTTAAGTTCTGTAGGTGGAAAAAGGTACGTACACCCGTATTTAGCTGCACAAAGCAGCTATGTCACCGAACGAACTCTAACTAATTTAACATTTTGAAATACGCCCACCATCCGACCTAACATTACCATGCATGGGTTCGCAGGTTTGAATTCTGTGGAGATAATTATGTACGAAGGATGCTGAACTACTCACCGCCAAATGGTGGTTCACGTGACCGCTGATCAGTTGCGGGTTCCTCCACCATCAATTCCATGCATATGAACCAATAACTGGCTGATCCAATACCTGTCACTGATACCGGACGAGAGGAGTGGTACACCACATGATTAAATCGTCTTCCATCCTCCTGGAATAAATATGACAATTTAAATTATTTGCGTTGTCGCACCTGCGGCATTTCCCGTGAGATAAATAACGATTTATTGCCGATTTTTCATTACATACAAATTACATAATGCTGTAAGAATAAACAAACAACAATAATCATGAAATATAATAAGAATGGAGCCGACAAGACTTCAAGCTCGACCGAGGAAAGTTTCTATCAGGACAAGATACTCTGGAGCAAGCATCTTAATTGCTATAGGGAGAAAATAAATTTTAAGAAATAATTAAGCGGGTTATGAATTCTCAAAAATCAATTCCTCAAAAAGTACTAAAACGAGAATAAAAATTACAAGAAAAAAGAATATCACATTATAATGCAAATCATAAAGATTGTCAACAGTAATACAACATGCGAAAAGAAGAGAAAGAATAAGAATGGCTTACGGCTAATTGTATTTTTCTCAATTTATTTTTACTTTATGTTAGACGAAAATTAAATCGAATTGTGATCATGAGACAATTTGTATGGATGGGTGAAAAAAATACCCTGGTTCTAAAGCTATATATATATATAGTACATATAAGATATATAATAATAATCTTCGATGATTTTCTTAGAAACCTACGCAAATCCATCTATAAAATTGTTAATTCATATATATCCATTTATGAATTTAAGGGAGGATAAATTAAGACACGGACCCCAAGGGGTCCGCGAACCCCTTGGGGTCCGTGACGACTACACAGGGGGTCCGCATCGATATTGAGAGTCTGGAATATATACCGGTACATTCAACGTATATCCACTGTTAATAGATATTTATAAACGAGATAAAGTCATGGTAATTGTTCCCAAATCACAAATGGTAATTGTTACAAGACCTTAACAACGGGAGTGAAAAAGTTGTAAATTATCGTTGCTTTCAGCGTCTGTGAGGTAGATCTCTGTCACAGAGCTACATCATCGGTAATAATTGATTGTACGCGTTATTGAGTTATCACCAGTTGAGAACTTGTGCGACTCTGCCGTGGTCATTTGAGCCCCGTCGATGCAAGAAAGAGGCGTGAAACCCAGTTAAGGTTATTGTGAGAGACTATCCAATTATATATATACAATTAATTTAGTTCGTTTTAGAGTTGGGCCTACGAGTTTGCTTCTCAGAAATTGATCCGTCACCCTAAATTCAAATGGAAAATTATCCTTACTCCTTGGTCACGCGGCCCGAAAAGATTAGGAAACTCTGAATTAAGAGACCCTTAATGGCAGGGGTGTACAACCTTTCGTCGCATTACGGTTTTGTAAAAAGACTACGGCCGCCGAAGAGATTGATCTCATTTAATACCCTATTTAATTAAAGAATTCGTTTTTATTAATATCTTATTGACTTGCGTCTACAACTTTTAGTAACTAATACGATTTAAACCAATGTACTGAATAAAATAAAAGTAACTTGGATTGGTCGACAATTGCAATATGTTCAATAATTTTATTATCTACATTCGGAAGCGATGCCAGAGCACTGAGGGTTGATAGTCTATGCCTTGGAAATGTCTATGAGTCTGTAAAAAAAATTTTAACAGCGCGACGTATTTTTTCTAGCGTAATTATTTTTGTGGCAGCGTTCGAATGAGTTATTTTCCCGCGGATTCTCATTGTCAAACGAGTATTACTAATTTTTGTGTCGGAGCGGACATCATAAGTTAATTTTTATTTTATTTCTTTCTGTATAAAAAGCACAACGACAAAAGAACAACCATAATGGCCCTGTCGGAACTCTAGCTGACAGAATACTGCGTGTTGTTGCTCTATGTCAGTAGAAACCAATGGTTCGCTCCGTCAATTTTACCAGTAATAGAATTGTTGTGACAATATTCAGCGACGATCAAATCAGCGACATTAAACGATTTTCTTGAACGCCATTAACTGTGGACAAAACAATTGAGTACAGTTGACAAAGATTCCTCGGTGTTTGTACTAATTCTTTGTCCTGTAGGAGAAAGTCATTGTAAACCTCTCTCGGCTTCTTTTGTTGCAATTCTTGGGAAATTTCCTAGAGGGTGGCCGGTCTGGTACGAATATACTGTTCATCACATTTTGCATTACCGCCACAATCGTCCGAAAATTCGCTTCGGTATCCATTCCTACTATACGATTCTATGCATTTTTGGTGTTTGTGGTGAGAAAACCAGTTGGAATTTCAGGTAACACCGTGCCTGGTTCACAACGGCCAAAAATTTGAATAATATGTTCCAAGCATGAGAATTTTCCGTTTGGCTGAGGAACGCCTCTATTATTGGATGCTCTGCATGTATCGGATATGGGATGAGGCATGTCAGGAGTTAGAACTTACAACCACAACACCTACAGTTCTTTGATGTCCTTTGATGCATCAACATGTTCGTCTTCGCTCGTCGACTCGCCTGTTAATAATTTGCCATCATTACAAAATGTTTCCGAGTCCGATAGGCTATAGGGGAATCTGGAATTGAAATCGTATCGTATTTTTGAAATGGTTCTTCGAGAAGAGGTACAAAATCAGTTGTTCTAAAATTTTTGGCTTTTGGAGGAATCGTCATTTGAGTCCACATTACTGTCGTTTTTGATTGTTGCGTGGCTCTGACGTCACGGCCACAAATTTGGCAGATGCCATCTCATAAAATCGTAGGTATACTTTGGCTAGCTCTATGACGTCGTAGTGACGAAATTTTTGGATGACGTAGTCAGGTAGGTGGGGTGGGATTGAAATGTGCAAAAATCGTTATGCCACGCCCACTACAAGTGCCGAGTGCTATACTGTTTTAACAACTACCACCCAAAAGTGAAGCACAAATATATTGGATCTCCGCTCTATAGGAGACCCTTATTATCAGTCGTTCTGTACGTCTGTCTGTGTATCTGTCTGTCTGTCTGTCTGTCTGTTTAGATGTAGCGTCTTAATGGCTGGACCAATCTGGATGAAATTTTTCACATGGGTTATCTTGTCACCCTAGTAATGTGCGTTTTATAGAAAGTCTAGATAAATGTTTCGTTTCCATGGTAACAACGAAAAACGCTCCGATCGTTATGAAATTTCTATTTTTTTTACAGTTTATCGCCGTTTTCTCGCCAACCAAGTCGAAAATTAAAATTCCAAGAGCTCTTCCTTCCGCATGGCAAAGTACTGTTTCCAATAAGTCGTCTTTGGTCTCGATACTTCATAAACTGGAGAAGCCTTAGGGATTTCAGTGAACATAATTTCCCCATTTAGTCACAGTATATCAGTCACGTGAGTATGTCAACGGAACGCGCAGCGTTTGAAATGAACTCAACGGAACTGGTGAGCCGGTGCAGGTGTTCTTGATATACGGAATTATTGGACACGTAGTGGACATAACGATCGTTTCAATATTATGTTGTTGTTGTTCTTGTTCTTGTTCTTGTTGTTGTTCTTGTTCTTTGACACGTTTTTAAAAAGTCGCTTTTCTCTTCGAATACTGGACCAATTGCTTTGAAATTTTCAGTGGTTGAAGATTAATTTTTTCGCTAGAAGGCTATTACTTTTGTTTATACTTAAATTTTATATGAATCCTATGAGATATGATATTTCATACAAAATTTCGCGGTATTTATTTTTACTCATGGGAACACTGTTTTACACTTATTTCAAGCGGTTTCGCGATCGATTGTCTTGCTCAGTACTACAGCTACTGTAGGTCGGTACTGGTAAGTTGCCATACCGGTGCCGTAACGCAGTGAAATTGACTTATTCCTTCCGCGGTATTACTAATGCTGCAATGCAAGTTTTATAGCCTATCGTATGCGGAACGGAATATCAGACCTACAGGTTCATTCAACATTCAACCTCAAATTTATCCGGCACTAGCCATTACTGTTCTAAATGCTATGAATTGATAATTCCCGTTCCTATCAACTCTGATTTTATAGACAGAGAAACCCATGTTTTGAATACAACTACCTTCGACTTTGAAAATGTTGAAAATTGTGTTTTTCTTAATAATCCGAAAGATGTGTTAAAATCACTCACTCAATTAAAAAACTCAATAGTTTTGGCTCACATGAACATTCGTTCTATCCAAAAAAATTGTGACGAGTTGTCAAGACTTGTTTACGAACTAGAATCTACTCCAACATTTATCGCAATCTCAGAAACAAAACTAAAATCTAACCCTGTGACTAATATCAACATAGATGGGTATGACTTTTACCACACACCATCCAACACTAATGCTGGTGGTGTAGGTTTGTACATGAAATCTCACTTTTGTCCAAGTTTTATCGATGACTTTCTTCTGAATCTTGTCGGATGTGAAGAGCTCTGGGTGGAAATACCCATCAAATCTGCCAAACCCATTACTTTAATTATTGGCATCCTCTACCGCCATCCCAATTCGAATTATCATGAATTTTTCAGTAAATTACAAAACAGCTTGCATAACTTAACTAATGATGGGAAAATTTTTATTATTGTGGGTGATATAAATATTAATCTTAACGCTAAAACACTTTTTATCAAGGAATACTTAGACATGCTGCAGTCCCATGCCACAATTCCCATGATCACGCTTCCCACCAGAGTGACTGGTAACTCTGCAAGTTTACTCGATCATATATATACTAACATCACTGATCAACATATGAAACCAATTGTATTGAACGATACTACGACTGATCATTATCCTATTCTATGTCAGATTGACCTGGAACATGCACCCCCTCAGCATGTTGCAGAACTCAAACGAGACATGAGACATTTCAGTACACACCAGTTTTTGAATGATGCCCAAATTGTGTTTTGCAATGAAACTATGCCACAAGTAATACAAAATGAAAATTTTAACAATATTTTTGATGAATTTGTCACCCATCTCAGGACCTTAATCGATAAACATGCCCCCCTAAAAAAAATAAGCAGGAAAGAAATTCGATTGAAACGAAAACCATGGATTACTCCAGGTATTTTACGTGCTGCCAAAACTAGGGATAAATTACACAAGGTATTATTTTTGAATGGCACTGATACTCAAAAGCGCCAATATAAAAAGTATTCGAATGCCCTTACTCATATCAAAAATAAAGCCAAAGAGGACTACTACAAAAAATGTTTTGATAAGCATAGATATGATACGAAAATGACCTGGAAGACCATCAACTCTATCATAAATCAAAAAACTAAAAAATCTCATCCCAATTCTTTATTTGATGATACTCAAAATAGATTGACTGGAGAGCCGAATGCTCTCTCTAACTTGTTCAACAGTTACTTTTCTAAAATAGGGCCATCGCTGGCGTCATCTTTCTCCAACACCAATGATTTACTGAAATATTTGAAACATCCGAATCAGTCGTCCATGTTTTTGGAGGAGACCTCCCCTGCTGAGATCGAAATGTTTGTAGATTCCCTAGCATCTGGTAAGGCGGAGGGTCATGATCACATCCCAACACACCTTTTGAAGCTTTTGAACAAAATTATTAGTCCCATATTAACCAAACTTTTTAATGCCTCTATGTCCCTTGGAATTTTCCCCAGTCATATGAAAGTAGCTAGAGTGGTGCCTGTGTACAAATCCGGGAATAAGAATATGGTTTCAAATTATCGCCCTATTTCAATTTTATCGTGTCTGTCTATTCTTTTTGAAAAAATATTACTAAAGAGATTAAAATCTTTCCTTGATAAATACTCAATATTGAATAACGATCAGTTTGGCTTTAGAAACGAACATAGCACATCAGATGCTATCTTAGATATTGTGAGCCAGTATTATGACATTGTAGAAAATGGATTTGTAGGGTGCAGTGTGTTTTTAGATCTGAAAAAGGCATTCGATACCGTAGATCACAAAATTTTAATTCGTAAATTAAGTCATTATGGAATTCGCGGTGTTGTAAACAAGTTGTTTGCTAGCTATTTGGAAAATAGAAGTCAATTTGTGAACATATCTGGTACTGAATCACTGAAAGCGAATGTGACTGTAGGAGTTCCCCAGGGATCTGTACTCGGCCCAACCCTTTTTTACTCCATATCAATGATATTGTCCATGCCACTAATGCTTCGATCAAACTTTTTGCGGATGACACCAGTTCCACCTCTGCTACAAGAAATCTGTCCGACTTGGAACTAAAAGTTAATGTTGAACTTCATAATATTTCTGATTGGCTCACTCACAACAAACTCACCGTTAATCCCAACAAGACGCAAGTCTTACTAATTAATTGTTTCAAAAAGCTTAAAAATTCCAATTACAACCCTAAGTTCACTCTAAACGATTTTGAATTGACTAACCATGATTGTGTAAAATACCTTGGAGTCATCCTGGATAAAAAACTTGATTGGCAAGCACATATCAACCAACTAGCTGGTCGGCTTTCAAGGGCAATTGGGGCCATGACTAAATTAAAAAAATTTGTACCAAAAAAGTTTTAAAAACTGTGTATTTTTTCACTCTTCTATTCCCATTTACAATATGGAATTGTGGCATGGGGCTCTGCTTGTAAAACTTATCTCAATAGGATTTGTGTACTTCAAAATCGTGCCCTAAGATTAATGAGTGGCGCACGTATGCGTGAAAGCTTAGATCCTATATACAGACAGATGAGTATTCTCAAACTTGCGGATGTATATAAATTTGAAGTTGCGAAATTTATGTTTCGATCTAAATGTGGTATTTTGCCGGATGCATTTGAAAACTACTTCACAAACTCTAGTGATATCCATGGACATAATACTCGGTCGGCTGGTAGAGGAGCCTATTTTGTTAATAGAACAAGCTCAAATTTGGCTCAGAGATCCATAAAATTCACTGGTCCATGTATTTGGAACAGTATTCCTGACAATATCAAAGAATCATCATACAATAGTTTTAAGTATAAATATATGAAACATCTCATCGATAAATATTAATATCAGACATTTATTAATAACTACGTCATAAAGTTCCCCAAAGGTTAATACCCTAATCATCCAACCAACCGTTTGTATGCTGTCCCACACACCGTTGGATTTGATTGGTTGATCTTGGACTTATATGGTAGGGAGTTTATATAACTGTTTTTATTGATTACCATGTCTTTTTGGTATTAAATCATGTAATTTACATGTGCTTGCATAACTATTTGTTTTTTCATTTTATTTAACTATTGGCAAAACATGATGTAGTATTACCTACAACTGATAATTACCTATAGCTTGCATTTGTTAAAATGGCCATAAAGCTCTAACCTTGAAATGTAAACATTTCAATGAAAAGTGTTCATCATAATTGTAATCATAATTGTATACTGTGTGCAATCCTGAATTTATGTGTTTAGGAATACTATGTATCTGCTTATACTGTTTGTGTTAACATTGCATATTCTATAATTAAGTTTCCTGAAAGTCATTTTCAGTAGTAACAATTTCACCTCCATTTTGTGCATTCACATTTTTTGACCAAGGTTAAACTATTTATTGATGACCCTACTTTTTACACCGTGTACAGTATAACATCTAGATCAACTTATTTTTCACTATACATCATTTCAAGATCCAGGAACAAATATATTTACTATTGTTCTTGTGTTTGGTCTGCTTCTCCCAATCTTTACAAACCATTAGTAGAATTATATAAGATATATGCCTATTACGGTTGTAGTTTTTCTCTTAAATATTGCATTTATACAAAACAGAAACTTTTTGTTACCAATTTATCTGAGCTATGCATGTATATATCTATATCTTTACCGTATTCACTTTACTTCTGCCAAAAATAAGATGATTCTGCAACGTGGTCAACTGAAATCATATGCTTTGTGTACTATTTCCTATAGTGTGCATTTGTCATGATATCACTATGTCCTAACCTTAGATTTAATCTATGAATCAATGCATTTTGTTCATATATATTCATATTATAATTACAATTACACTGTGTGCAACCCCAAACACCATGCTTTTAATATTTCATATTCTGAAATGCTGTTTTATTCGATCATCATCCATTAATCTATTTGATTGGTAATGTGTCTGCATATGCCGCTAGTATTGACATTGCGTATTTCAAAACTTTTTGTAGGACTGAGCCAATAGGAACAGGAGCAGTTCTAACATCCCTATGATTAATCGTAACCTTGGATCAATAGTCATGCCCTGCATTGTGTAGTACCGACTTTAATATATTATTTACTATGCCAAGACTTAAACACGATGCTTACTTTAATTATTTTTGTTTTCCAATAGACTTATATGTTTACAATCTTTTGTAAAATTATCTTAAATGTTTATTGACTGTTGCATTGTTTCTCTTTAAAATTGCATTTCTATAAATGAGATTTATTCGAAAAGTTTACTCCAAAATTATTCAATCAGATTTTATACATCATTCGATTATTGCATTGCTTGCATAGCTACATTATTATATTTACATGTTGAAAATAACAAGATTGAAATCTTCTTGAATGTCCAATTTTCTCTAAAATGACCTAGCCATACTCTGTCTAGGATTGATATTTGTAATATTAAATGTTTCATTAGATTTTTAATTTATTTTTATTTATTTATTTTTACTTCATGAGGCTGTCCAAAATCGAATAATTGTTCGATTCGAATCGTATAATTTGTCGAAACGAATATCCTCCAAAAATCCTATTTCGATATTGTAATAACGTATTATGCTGTTACATTTAAAATGATACTGATGATATTTTGTATAACTATGTTTCCAGAGTTATCAATGGAGTATGGAAATCACATGCCTCCCTAAAATATGAGTGTTGAAAGTTGAAAATTACAGAGACTCCCAATACCTTATTTACTCAATTCTTATATATTCAGTTTCAATAGGGCATGTGTGGCCTGTATATACTCTTTTAACCCTGTTATCACTAGTCTAAATTTGTGCAATTTTTTAATAAACATTAATATAAATAAAACTGTTGCCCAAAAATTTCAAAAATGTAGCTAGTTTGATGATGATAATATCCCTAGATGAACCTATTGTTACTGTACCAGCCATCAAAATGCAAGAGTGCAGTTATTTGTCTTGTTAATAGATGGTTAATACTAAGTATTGCCATCATAAAACCTCCACAATGTGTGCTTCCCGATTACTGACTTGAAATGTTCGAATTGATTTCCATTGATGGAACTATCGTTTTCTATGGATACTAAATTGCTCTTTTTCCCTTATGTACTCTCTCTAAACATATACTGCCAATAATAACTTGTCAGTCATGATCACGCATGATATATACCCTCGGCATTAGGAGAGACACCCCTTTTCATCGCAATATGAAGGCTAGAGAAATATCGGGTCGTGAGGATATTTCCGCTTTATGTAGATAATATTGGCCGAAAACGATTCGAATCGTTTTTGATCCGATTTCGAATATTCAGTTCGCTGGACATCACGAACTCCATGTAATTAGGTACATTTTTTAGTATGCCTTCCGAAATCTAATTCATTTCTTTCTCTCTGTGTACCCTTCATCCTTACTAGATGAGGAATAAATGCCAACAGATACACTCTGGATTGAAATAAAGGGCATTTATTTATTTATTATTTATTAATAGTGATTATTTGTTCAGCAAACTGTAATGTACTATTTATAAAGAATGATATAATAAGCAATTTCATTATAAGCACTATGAATATAATATTGTAATCAAATAGTCACATTATCAAGTTTTCCATCTTTGTATCATATTTTTCTTGCCGTTGCATGTCTTAATAGTGAAAATTTTCTGCCATTTGTCGCACCAAGTTTTTCTGTATGTATATTTGTACATGTCATTTGAAGCCCAATTGAATTTAATGTATCTTGGTGAAGTATGAAATCATCCGAGACTGGACTGGAGAATTTGCTTCATGATTAATTTTCAAGGTCCTCGATCTTCCCCTAATCATACATGTATTAACTGTTATATCACTCCAATTATCGCTTATTTCAAGCCTCAGGCAGTTACCGTATCCACTGGTATGTTCTGGCTTCTATCTTTCAGTAGAAATCTTTGATGTGACGAACAATATTCAACCAGCTTAATACATAAGTATTGTATTTATTAGATAGTCTCCTACATTGCATGCAAAACAAAAAAATGTTATGAAATGGACCTACTAGGAGTCAAACCCCAGACCTAAAACCTGAAAATGCCATTGCTTCAACCATCTTATATCCTAATCTCAAAAATATTCTGTAAGAGTTCTGGTCAACTCTCCAATGAGTATCTTTTTTATTTTATTTCTTATTTATATACATTTAACTGTGAATCCTAATAGTGAACTTGGGGGGAGCTGACTCCGATGACCTTATGGTCGTATCGCTCCCCCCAGTCTATACCGAATTAACTTTGTGTATATTGTATATATTATTTTGTATACCATTGTTCGTTTACGGTTGACAAAACAATAAATCTCTCTCTCTCTCTCTCTCGGTACCGGTACTGGTAGCTCAGTACGTAAGTACGATACTGGTACTGGTGCCGGTACCGGTGTCTTACCACAATGAAATTACCGTAACTTATTCTTTCACGGTCCTACCAGTGCAGTAATGCAAGCGTTGTAGCACTTGTAGCCTACTATATTTGTTTATTTTGATGAGAGTCTACTGGAAACAACATAAAATTTGAAAGGGAAGAATTGTTCTGTGATCAATTATCTGTCCTAAAGTGTAAATAACATAAAATTTGCAAGGGAACAACTGTTCTGTGATCAATTACCGTATATGGCCTACAGTGTACAGGTAAGATGCTGGCTGACTGCTAACCGGTACTGGTAGCTCAGTACGTAAGTACGATACTGGTACTGGTGCCGGTACCGGTGTCTTACCACAATGAAATTACCGTAACTTATTCTTTCACGGTCCTACCAGTGCAGTAATGCAAGCGTTGTAGCACTTGTAGCCTACTATATTTGTTTATTTTGATGAGAGTCTACTGGAAACAACATAAAATTTGAAAAGGAAGAATTGTTCTGTGATCAATTATCTGTCCTAAAGTGTAAACAACATAAAATTTGCAAGGGAACAACTGTTCTGTGATCAATTACCGTATATGGCCTACAGTGTACAGGTAAGATGCTGCCTGACTGCTAACTCAGTACCGCTTGACACGTTTTTAAAAAGTCGCTTTTCTCTTCGAATACTGGACCAATTGCTTTGAAATTTTTAGTGGTTAAAGATAAAAATTTTCTCCAGAAGGCTATTACTTTTTTTTTCGCTATGACGTCATCAAAATTATGTGACTCTACGTGTCCATATATTTGAGCATAGCTCTCTTGTTATTTTCTTGAGATGCAATACGAGCTGCAGACGCTGATACTTGTTGTGTTGCTAAAATAGCGTACTGGCTGTCGTACCCTTTTTTACGAAGTGCTTCTACGGAATACGTTTACAATCTTTGAAATACGCCGTCATTGCCCCGCAACAAATAATCGTCAGCTAGTGCAAAACCTACTCGCCTCTCGCCTATTTTTTGCGAGGAAATTTTCATGAATTCACTTCCAAGCGCACAAATTAAAGAGATTTAAATCTGAACGAAGTTAGGCCGACCACTATAGTGCTACAGAGACTAAAATGAATTGGATCCTCGCGATATACTGTATGCCGCGGGCCTGGGTGTCAGCGGAGATCCTGGACGCCTACCGGCTTGTTTATATATTACTTGCACGTACAGAGTTAACTGCAGTTAGAACTGTAGAATGCCAGTTTGTAAGTTCTGCAATGGAACCGAATTCTTTTGTTTGGACGGCAAATTTTTTTGTGCCGAATGTGATACTCAATCTCAAGATTTTGTCGAAGAACAAGCACCAGAAATCCTTGCTGATAAATCGTTCACTACTAAAAAACTGAAGGAGCGGAAAGAAAAACAAGCTGGTGATAAAGGCTTGCCATGGAATTCCGTTGAGGGTTTCCAGTTGATTGTTAAAGCTCACGTAAAAGCTTTCATTGAACTTGGTATCAACCCTGCAATAGATGATGTCATGCAGCAAATATGGTTCAAATATGTACAAAAATCAGGCATGGCTAAAATGGATAGACAAGTTGATAAAGACCTAGATGCAGACATAAGATTTCGAGATTACTTTCTACAACATTTTAAAGATGATATTTTGCCGAAAAGAGATTCCAGCAAAAGCCTACGTTTGCGGATATCTAGAAGTGCAAAAAGAAAGTCGGGTGGTGATGAATTGGATAAGGAAGAAGAGTGGTTTTCTGTAGATTCTGATATTGCAACAGATCAAGAGACAGATGGCGCGTCATCTGCTTCGTGTTCTGAAGGTTCTGTAGACTCTGGAGGTTACAAACGTTCTTCAGTTCAACATTGGTATAAAATAAGTCACATGAGTAACATGAAGGTTATATGTTTCTGTTATCTTGCTCTGCGATGGTGTGAAGAACCTGTGACAATTGCTGACCTCATTTTCTGGGCTGAAACTGGAAGGATTCCTTATTATGGTGAGTTCTTCAACTGCTTAAATTCGTCTGACCACACATGTGTAAAGAAACTTTTATTTTATAGGAGCTGTGGATTCTTTTCTTCCACATATGAAAACTTCCCAACATGATCATGAAACTTTCTCTCGTTTGAGAAGATTAGAGCATACCAAGGCAAATGAATCTTTTCTATATTCCAGTATTACTTATATTGAATGGTTTTACTCTATGTGTTGATTTTTTTAATAACAATTCAATGGGAGTTAGAGCTGGTCTACATGAGTGCAATTTAAAATCTTTTGTTATATTTCCTATGTATGGTCATGTCAAGTTATTTGGAGCTGCTGTGTTGAAAGCAGCTTATGTTCAATTTTATTTTAACCTATTTAGAAAGGCACATAACATTAGACCATTGAGGAATTATGCATTAGGATACACTGTCATACCTATCTTTATGTTTTGTAGGTAATGTGGATGTCTAGAACACTGCGGAAATACATCAAAATGCCATACCTGCCTAAAGTCAACATCATGGAACTTGTTACACGCTATTTATACCAGTTGAATTTGCCTCTCGCACTGGCATCATATGCAAGTAATTTACTGCAGAAAATTGAATCTTCAAAGTATGTGATAAATATTGATTTCTCAATCTTATTCTCACGCCTTATATCTCAATTTGACAAGAAAAGAAAGTTATCAGGCTGTGTTCAAATTAAAAGAATCTATTTATGAAATATACAAATTTTCACCTATGACCTATAAGATGATTTTGATAATTTTACATTTTTGCAGTCACAAATTGGTACATTTCTGGAGCTCACGAACAACTTGAAAAAGTCCAGAATCCTTTTTTTTATTAATAGGTATTGACTGACATTTAATATATCACTCGATATGTCTTTTAGCTGGCCTAGAGGGAGCACCAAGTTTTACAACAGATATGAGAACCCTGTGAGCTGCCGCAGTCCTGAACTGATAGCAGTATCAATAATCGCAGTATTAATGAAGCTTTTATTTGTTTTGAATGATCGAGACGAATGGAAAATTAACTTTGATCAAGAGACCTGCTCTATGCATCATGAAAATGAAAGACTTTGCAATGGTTTCACATGGCAAAACTGGGTTAAACAACATTTGCTATATCAGAGGCATCATTTTGAAAACGAATATACGTTATTTGATCATACTAATTTGGGTCAAGTTGGGGATCTACACGCATGCATGGAAAATTATGTGTCTGTCATTTTAAAGGGTACTCATGTGCGATCAGAAGGCGGAAAATTCAGCTGGAAAAAAGTGCAAGATTTCGCTGAGACAAAACAATTTGCATTCAATCGTCTTGTGGAAAAACAGGGCAGTGAAGATGTCAAGCAGGAAAAAAAAGAAAAACGACAATCTATAATGAATGCCTATAAACTTTTAGGAAGAGGAAATTTTGATGAAGATTATGAGGATTTGACTCCCATGTGTATTAGTCTTGCTTTCCAGGCAATGAATGAAAGAGATTCTCACTATGTCCGATATAGAGAACCTCAAGGAAATGATGACTCGTCAGACTTTCACCAATCTTATTCATTTTTGTTGAGCATACTTTGCAACCTAATGCACACAACATCACAGAGTGTTCATGATTATATATGGACCACTGAATCTATCACTGTGGCTAAATATCTTGTATAATTTTTCTTTGATATAAATAGTCATGCCTTTATGTGTTGACTCAATTTGAGGTGTAGTTTGGGGAAGTAGCGCAATGAAGTTGGCTCAATATGCAGAGCTTTAGGTATATTGTAGCCCATCAGGCCTTCGCAAAGCTGATTACTCCAATGTGGATTTGTGCTATCTTATATTAACATAGAGGAGAGGGTTGAATAACTTTTGTCTGCCCTGGGCTGAAATCAATTATATCTTCAGCAGGACAGTACAAAATTACTACTAACAATTGTACATGTTACCTACTTTGGACAGCAATGTACAAATAATGCATGTAGTATCCTTAGAAGCCTATATTTGGCTTATTTCGTTCACAAGCTAAGAATTCGCAACCATGGATATATTTACAGTGATGGATATTTGCATCCATGGTTATTTTAACATATTAGATATATTGAATCCCATTGCTGCCTAATGAGATTATGAAAAAGCGGGATTGAGAACTCTGATTGTGCTGTACTCACCACTGAAGCTTTACGAAACTTGTTATATTTAACCAAAATTACACTCAAACTCAGGTACAAACAAACTCATGGCACGATCTTGGCTGTTGTTAATTCAAGCTATTCTCATCTGATCAATACACGTTTGGGGACAGGGACCAGGTAACATGCATCTGCGGCTATCGAAGTGTACATCTAAATGTTCAGTCAGGCTGGAAGAGGGACCAATTAACATACATTATCCCCTTTCAATTGGTGCATACACCAAAGCTTCTTTATCACGGATTCAAAGAATATTTTGTGATAAGCCCAATCTTTGCAAGTATACCACACGACACTATTCTCAACGTATGCTCCTCTTATGAAAGAGAAATTAGGCTGAAGACCTCCGTCCCACTTACAAAATAGAAATTGCTATGCTGTTGAAAGAGGAAGTAGGCTGAAGACCTCGGTGCCACATATAATAAAAAAAAGAAATTGCTATTTATAAGCATTTTATTATGCTACAAGTCACACCAAATCAAGGAATACACAAGGGAAAAAGCTAATGGCATCAATACAATCAAAAGAACTCCTCAAAAATTCAAACGAAAGAAATATCTTCACCACACCTCGTTCAAATCTCGTTACACAAAGCATCTTCATTCAAAATCAGCATACACATGGAAAAAGTTTATCTGTTTGAAGTGGCTTTTCGACAAAACATGAAATCATTATCTTTAAACTACAGGTCCCAGTAAAATAAATCTGATGTTGCCAGATTGAAATAGAAATAATAAAACACACAAATGCAGACCTCAAAAATTAATTTAGTCCAAAATTTTGTATAGTACTTTCCCGGTTGTCATTTGAAATCGTAACTGGTTTTTATACATGCTTTCGAATTGCTGGTACCACAAATGTAAACAATAGAATATTAGGTACATAAAAATATTAAACAGAAGTTAATATATAACATAGTAGTCTGATATTGTATCAATATTAGGGATACAACAAAAACAGCATATTGATAGCAAAGTATAAATGGCCAGTTGGTCTAACAAAGTCAAATTTTCCAGTTAGGCCAAGAATGACATTAGTGAATAATTAATCCCAGTTTCACACATTGGTAAACAGAAATGCTTTTATCATAAATTATCCATACCAGGGCACTTTGTAAGTGAAGATGCTATAAAATCAGAATATTACATTTTACAGTATGTTAATAAAACTGGCATCTTGTTTCGCATTGAATATGAAGTTCCGGATCCAGATATATTAATAGCAGCAGCAAAGACAAAGTGACAATCATTTGTTTGATTACTTCAAACTCCATAAATGGAAAACAAATGTATATCATTATCAAGGTGCAACCTAAGTTTGGCCCATGATAACTCAAACTGAAACCATCTATTAGGTATTTCTGGCGAAAGTTATTAACAATTGTTAAGGATACAAATAATAAAGATGTAAAATACAAGAGTGAGGAGCTTTAAATGTCTTCAATATCAAAATCATCATCTTCATCACCACCGTTTACGTTCTCCATCTCTGCCTTTTCTTTTTGTTTTCCTGCTTCTTCTTCACGCTTCAGTTGCTGCTCGGATTTGGACGTGTAAACAATTTCCACCTGAATAAATATAAATCAAAAAAGATTGTTATACTGATTCAGTGTGCAAATCCAAATTGAAGACAAAGTATATTGAAGCTTACACCTCTTCAAATACCCAAAACTCAAACGAAATAAATGACCAGGTATAATTACCTCATCTTCTTCATCGCTGGACTCTTCTTCTGCTTCCTTCAGCCACTTGATGAAGGGGGCGGCCTTTTCATGTATGGCACGACTCAGTTCCTTGGTAACATATTTCTTACTGGGTTTTTCTCCCCATTCTAACATGACCTCTTCGTCCACAATATCCAAGTCATAGAGTTCCTGGGTTTACAATTATACTACATTTCTATGGTGCTATACCAAATTCGAATTTCTGACCACGATAACAACACTGCAATGTCAGCAAAATTATCAGTCAAAGTCAAATGTTAAAAAAATGCACAGAACAGTTCATAAAGATATACCCAGAAACCAGGTATCATACAAACCAATAAAAATTTGTATGCAAAATATGGATTAGCGTAGTAATTGCTGGGAAAATTGATTTTTTTCTATAAAGAACAACAATTCACCCATATGCCCATGATAAAAGTATTCGTATTGCACAAAGTTTCTTGTCGAGACATTGCAAATTATTCTAATATGCTCTCTCTATTAAGCATATTCAAAAAAAAGTATTGATGGTACCAGAATAAATTCGTTTGCCAATCAAAATATGATGGTACCTTGAGTATATGCATAACCTTTGGTAGAAGAACATCCTGATGCAACTCAATCATTTTCTCCACAGCTCCCATTAGAGATTTTTGAGCTTTCACATTTCCATGGCAGAGCTGTATTCGAGTATTTGAAAATGATTAATCTCACATGCAACAACATGAAATATAACATTCATAAAGCAAATCAGTACACAGCCACTATATTAAGTGATGTAGTTGTAATACAACTTACTCTCAGGAAGTGATTCTTATAAGTTCTGATTTGTTCTCTCATGTTTTGGTTGAACAAGACTTCCACTAAAATAAGTGGTGCTTTGTTACGAATGTCCAGACGTTCAGACTCTGCAACTATCTCTTTGTCAGCCTAAAAACAATAAATATAAAATCAATGTTAGCAAAAATATACCCAAATAGTGATGATATGGGTTGAGAGTCTTAGGATGTTCAGATTCGGCATGCGATTGCGAACACATTCATAAATATTCTACTTTTTTAAATAAAATATAATTTGAATTTTTTTTCTCATTTTGAGCTATTTATTATAGTCTGACTGAAAATTAATCCAACTCCTAAAACCAGACAACTTTGCTACATTATACGCACTCTAGTTACCGCAACATCGAAGTGTTTGTTCAAATTTAGTATTAATACTTAATAGCCTACCTTCAAAATGGTTCCATCATCAACTCTTGTTTTGACAAGAGTATACAACAAATCAGCTCTTTCTGAGGGAGTTTTTTCCAGATCATCATTCAAGGTCATAACTTTTGCTCCACTTGTTATTTCTTGCATTCTTGCAGCAACTGCTTCGGCAGAAACATCGACAGCCCAGTCATCATCGTCATCATCCTTCACATTTTGTTTTTTCTCCTAAAGTTTTGATTTCAGGTTTGTTAAAATTCACCCAGACATAAGAGAAGTTTTAGTAAAATTCCTTACTCAATGCCAGTCAAATGTAATTGACATATTGTAATATCCATATCAAAAGGACATTCTTGTCTATGATTCCCTTTTGGCAAATCATTGTTTCAATTTTGCCTACACATTCCATTAGTCAGTACTTCAGCTTCACACAACCCCAATTTTAATACATGTATGTGATAAAGAGTACGACTACCAAAGCAAAATTTTGAACATATAATATTTATATATGTAGATATCTGAACCAATTTATTGTGACAGACATATTATGAAAGAAAATAACAGCATCACATGCAAGTGTGAATTTGCATGAAAAACCTTGTTTAAGTATGACTGCTTCAAGCAATTATTTAAAATCGGTGTCAATCAATACTTAGCATATAAAAGAATTGCGTGGCTACCTTCCTGCCAGCTGCAATTTATCAATTAATTGTTAAGGATATAAAACTTCCTGAATACATGAGGATGAGGAATATCATCAAGTACTTAGAAGGCTCGTGACAAATTACATGAAATATCTTTTGCAAAACTAAATTAACAACCACATAGTTGCTACATTGGCTTGGCCAGATTGTCATTGCTAGTTTAAGTTAAAGTGCCTAAGTGATTCTCTTTCAGCAAACCTTATTTTGCTTTGGATGCTTTCCATTCTGTTGCTTATGGTTGTGGTTGTTATGGTTGGTATCTTCTTCACTGGAATGTTCTTTTGACTCCCGCTCCTAAAAATAAATATAAATCAATCATAAGAAAATTGGTGCATCAGTAATATACTTTATTGCTTGAGTTCAGGAGAGTTTATTATTACAGAAATATAACTCTGGCAAATAATATGATCTTTTTTGTTTGCCTTGCGTAAATATTACTTCAAATGAATTTTAATCACTTCCGACATGCTTTTGACAAAAGGAAATACAATTCAAACATGAATCATTAAAATTTGAAATACATCATACTTTATTGCACCAAAAATAAATCTTAAGAACACTGCAAGAGCATATAATTAAAGCACAAACATATTCATTACTCAAGGGTAAAAGTACCATAGTATTGACTATTGATTATTTATGTATTCAAGTTATAAGATTTTTAAATATCTTAAATTCAAATTACTGGTTTGACATGTTATTAAACAACAATTCATATTATTTAAATGAATGAATTGAGAGTGATTTTTGCAGCCATGATACCTGGAAATGTAATCATAGACATTGGTGCAAATTACCATAGCAGAGAATTCCCCTAATCATTATGAAGTATTGATTTTTAAATCACACTTCTGATTCGGAAATGTGGATCAATCAACAGTTTGGATTTGAACAATGATAGGTCCTTCTCTGAATTTGAAAAGGTGTTCCATCGTCATACTTGATGATATTTTGTTTGATGCCTATTAAAAATCCAGACTTGCAGAAATACAGAGAATTTTTGTGAACTCACTCTTCCTTTCTTTTGCTCTTTCTTAGTTTTGGTGCCTCCACTATTTTCTTTTCCAAAGGACTGAGGGGGATTTTTAATCATGTAGGTGCAAAGTTTATGTCGAAGATCAGCCATGCTTTGGTCTCCACAAGCTTTGCAAATTAATCCAATGGTCCCCTTTTTTACAACCTGAAAAGAAAACATTGATCATAAACAAAGAGTGCTCAAACCAGACAAGTTTGCCTCGGGGTGTTCTATTTTAATTGAATCTTGATACAAACATAATCTCACAATTAAATATAACTAATTTATATTTACCAAATTCAAGATTTCTTGTCAGACGAAAAATATTTCAGCGCTAAAATATTCATAAGTAAATATTGCAAACTAGCACCAGTTTACACAAAGCGATGAATATTTAACACATCTTTCACAAAGACCAAGTGAGTGGAGTTTTGAATATACTTCAAATTTCATGGTAATGTTAACGAAAAAAATATGGAATGCTTGTGCTAATTAACTTAATTATTAATTAAAAATAGCAATTTGGTTACACTAAAATGTTGTCTCTTATTAATTACCTCGGCAAAAACTGATACTGAACTAAAAAGGTAGGATAGCAATTAGAGAATACAAACCAGGGTGGTCTCTGGGTTATCACATTGTTGACAAAGCACATATTTCTTGATAAATGTATCGAGCAGGTCTTGTAGTTTAGGGGCATCATGGGACCCATTCACGATGTAGCGATCATTTTTAATATCAAATTGAGTCTGGGCTCCTAATTCACATCCAAAATATTTGCAGGCATCTAGGATAAGGTACAATAAAAAAGGTTATTTAATTGTAAACTATTATTTAATATAATAAACCATTAATTCAGCACCAGTTAAAGATGTGCTCTTATCTCATTTATAGCTAGTATTAGCAAAATAAATAATCTAGAGATGATTCCTATGCCCATTTATAAGCAATTGCAAAAAAACAGGACATAAAAGTTCTGGTTCTGGAAATTATTTAATTTGAATCCCCTCCTCAGTTTCAGTACAACATCACCTTTGCATTGATAGGCTACAGACATATCATTGATTTGTTCATAAACCAGAATAACACTCGACTACAATATGACTCGATACAAATATTGTAAAATGATGAAAAATTTTATCATCAACCCCCGCCTTCCACACACAAATTACACATGTTTGTATGCCAACAACCAACAGGTGAATCGCACTAGTATCCATACAATTTAGAGACATACATGTTGGTGGTCTTCCGAGTGCTTTTGCGATGTCCACCATATTAACGATGACTGTTTTGATGCCATTACCTTTTCCCTCTACCTAAATTCAAAATATAAAAATAGTATTCAGTCAAACTGTCAAAAATCCTGTTGCATACATGATTAAATAAGAAGGCAACTATTACTTGAAATAGTCATAATCCTACAAGACGAACAATATAAAAAAACTTCTTTCGTTAACAAGAGAGTTAACAATGCTCAAATATATGGACACAAAAAGCCAAAACAAAGTAGTACGGGTAAGCAATCTGCCACAGTAGACTACCGGTACGGCAGTTGTTATGGGTTACACAAAAACTGAACGGTCCCCAAGTGCACGATTTTTAATGAAGTCATTGTACACAAAAAAGAATCCTATAGAGCCCACAGAAATTTTTCAAATAAATAAAAGTAATCGCGAAAAATACAATCTTCAACCACTGAAATTTCCAAGCAATTGGTCCAGTAGTTAATGATAAAAAAGTGATTTTCATCATAACAATAAAAGGGGAAAATACCAACAAGAACAACAACATTATAACAAAACGATCCATACGTATACTTCATGTCCAATAAAAGATATTGTAAAGCAACCTTGTACCTTGGCTAGAATACTTGGCATTTTATAGCGGTAAAATTGATCCTTGACATCTCTGTTGACATTAAGTAGAGCCATGATGACGTTTTGTTGCTATTTTTGATGGCTTTGTGCTTAGAAGCTTTATTTTTTATATTGGACGTTTTTCCACAATAATGGATTTTTGGAATGAACTTTGAGTGTCGATAATTGCGCTTGCTACTGTGCTTTAAACACTGGCAAGAATATTTTCTTATTAAATGTTTCTCATCGATTTCAATATCATCGGCAGGAGAGGAATATAACTCTCTTCGTTTGATGGAAATCCCATTCAGAAATAAACAGACGCCACATGGACATGTAAAGTGGTTTGTTTGAGAACCCTCCAGTCTTCTCCGACAGTGAACCGCTATTGAATTTGCAGAATCTGCTACAAGAGTATAAAAGGAAATAATTACTTAGAGAAAGGAATAATGTTGAGATTTTAGTGCTGAAATATATAAGAAGTATTTCTATTCTAATTTTACCAATCAACACAATTAATTTCTGAATTGTACAGTATATTTGAATCATATATAATATTCTAAAAAACCTTTCAGATATACAAATTTTTTAAATAATTTACTATAGCGAGACAGATACAAATCATATATTAAATATCGAAAAGCCTTCCAAACAACTACGGGATAATGCATCTAAATTCAGAAATTCTGAATTCAAATAAACTAAAGAATAATAAAAATGAGGAAAGCAACTTACCGTTCCTTGCAAGACAATACATAAACTCTTCAGGTCGATGCACCGAACCGTGAAGAAGTAGTTGCAAACAGATGCCGAAAAAATCACAAAAATGTCTATTAAAAAATGCTGCCTGAAGTAAAAGGCAAGCGTTAAGTTTACTTAAATAACCTGAACAGTGGCATGGTCGGCCCGCGGGTAAAAAGGAAATGACTCCAATGAACAGAAATTAATTGAGAAAAATTGATCGCAATCAATTGTCAGATTGTTCTGTAAATTATTGATATAACATTGACAGAGGTTTCTCAACCCTCAGACCTTTATTTTCTCATTTAATCCATTTTCATTCCTAAATATGAATAACATATTCTCCTTCCACGAAATAGTAGTCTACGGTTTAGTTATGAGCTTTCGTTAGATCGTAGTCTAACTTCTTCAGATAAAACAAGATATGGCTTAATCAAACAGCAATAATGATTTATTCTTAATTAGTCTTATTTTTTGACTTTTACAGTTTTACAAATACCAGAATACCGGTACCCAATATAATAACCGTACAATGACTAATGGCAGAATGGGCAAGAAGGGGAATTTTCATGCAGAATTGCGAATGTACCGTACGGTAGATATTTAAAACTGATATTAACCGTATTCTAGTATTCGGCATTCAGACAGTGGAATCATACCGGTGAAACCTACAGTACTGGCCGCACAGTTACAAAAAAAATATTTATTTAAATTAAATCCGCGCATGCACGGCTTACGGCATTGTCTGATTGTAAGCTGTCCATACCAAATACTGAAATATCTGAGTCCAAAAGTTGAATTCTAGAATACATAACTATTAAGATCACTTTTAAACACAATGTAATGGAAAAATACTACATACATCTCCTTAACGAGAAACAAAGAACCTGCCAAACTCAACGCTTCAAGTACCGAAGCGTGGCAAGGGTGAAGGAACAAGAACGAGGTTGGAAAGACATCGCAAACATTTCGCAATGAGCTGTCAAAGTCCCGGATGTACAGTAACCACGGCGCTCAGCATGCGTTGGTACGATATTTTCGGTGATCGTATTTTCCGTTCTTTTGAATGTGGGAGTATGAATACAAAATAGGTATGGATGCACACAAACGAAAAGTAAGTATCTATATGCATCAATGCAATATATTTCAATGGTTTTCATTTCATTTTCAATAGTTTTTCCTTTAAATAGTCATTCGTGATTGAGAACAGTCCTAGTCATAAACAGTGGAATATGTTTCTATCCCGAATATCAAATTAGGCCAACGGCTTCGGACATATAAGACTGTACGTGCTGATTAGTGGTCCCGCTTGCATGGAATTTAATTTAAAAAAAGATTTTTGCACTTGAGCAAAACTCAAACCAGCGGATATCAAGCTTTGTAGTCTGCTATATCATCGGCTCAAAGTTCGTGAGCCTACAGCCTTGTTTTGTGGGGATCCCCATGGCAAGGAAATTGCTGCCAAAGTGCATTTTTGCGGTTTTCAGCAAATATTGTTACCCACAAATTTGAGTTCAAAATGCTTGTTCTACTGATGCTGTGATGGCATTCATAGAAGTACAACTTTATTTCTTCATTCAACTTTCGGATAGTGTTAGTTGCAATTTTCTCACTTTTGGTGACGATAAAACTCTTTATTACTGGTATGATATTAGATCCGATGATTAACTTCGTCCGGTGAATTCTAGATGGCGAACATACTCAACTTCATCTAGAATTATCCGTCGCCTGCATATATCATGGTATTTGTCAATAACATTTCGCATAATGTCAGATGCTGTTACTTGCCCTGACAATATAGGCCGCGAGCCGAGGCCCTGAAAAACGCTTAGAAAGTGAATTCGTAGCGCACATCAGGTAACTAACTGAAAATGATTTTAAAATGTTCCTTAAAAATTCAGTAACAGATATTGCCTTGTTCCCACTTCCATAAGTTGCACGTTTTACGAAAAAGACGCTTTTACTACAAGAAATATGTGCTACGATCTGTCCTATATTCTCTACATTTCCGGCAATGAACAATGACTTCTGCATGACGTAACAATTGAATCGAATCAGCTGTTAGCGAGCGGATGAATTCTAGTTATTACTGCTCGATCTTGCGTTGAGTTGGGCAGCCTTTCCATAGCCCTGTTTAGTTATTATTAGTTAAGTTATGCTAAGACGTTGTTAAAAAGTATAAGTAAGTTATTAAACACTTGTATATCCCACGGATATGGGCCGTGAGCCGAAGCCTTGAAAACCCCAGAAAATGAGTTTCGTAGCGCACATTTGGTAACTAAATAAATTCTTCAGTTTTGTGTGAAAATGAACATACTGAACGCATTACAGCTTGTTCCACAATCTTGATGCGAAGTTGAATATAAGAGGTTCCCGGAAATTCAATAACCATAAGTTTACAACACATACATAAGAACTATGCAATTCGAGAGACCTACAGCACACTAACACAAATGTATTCCTGTAATGTTTTGCCTGACCAAAATCAGACTTCCTCAGTCAATCATAATTTATTAGGTAGATTACGAAAAATATGACATACATCATGTAACCAACAACAAAAAATACTTTAATTGTGTGACAGGAGTCGCGAGTGACCTCGAAAGGTCTTCAAGCAGCGACACCAACAACGCTGATTCACATTAGCGAATAAATTTTATGTAATAGCCACAAGCAGTTTACAACAAGAACAGCATAAAAAGCTACATCCATTTTTAGAAGCTATCAAACGTATTTATTTTTAAGCAATGAAGTCACAAATTAATATCGTGAGCACGAAAACACAAAAAAAAACAGTTATTTCTCACTTAGAAATTTACCGGAAAAGTCAAGAAAATAAAATGAACGTACAATATGTACATAACAAAGTGAACAGAAATATTACAATTAGTCTTTTTTTAGTTTATGTGGTTATGTATTTGAACAAAGACAACATTATTTTTAGAAACAGGACTACGACACTAACAAATGTCCAAAAAAACAAACAAATAAATGATACTTATTAAATCAACGCATAATCTAATTCACTTTCTTCTGAATTGTTTTCGAAATCCACTATCTCGAAAATCGACTTTTCCTCTATAAGTGTACTGTGATTTTTGCAGTCAATACAAAACAAAAATCTGTGCAATTTAAGTTGATTTTGGCACACTCGCATAAACTATTTAGACTATTTTTCTTACACTTTCTTACACTGCCAACTCAAGAACTGATTTGAGGGTCACATGCTTCTTCAGTGAATTATTGTTGGGTGGAAGACAGTGGCGTAGCAAGACTCGTGCAACCCTCCCCCCCCCCCCCCCCCGCAAAAATATTTTGTGAAAATGACCCTAAAAACTCTCGGTCATAAGCTAAAACAACGCTTTTTTTTATTTCGTCAAAAAGCATAACATGTCGCTATTAAAAGGCAATGATAACCGGGTGTTGGACACGTGGTGTAACACCCGAGTTATTTTCATGCCGCTCTTGATCAGGAGATTGTTAGTGGTGATCGCGAAGTTCTCCTCCGAGGAGACAGCCCAGCAAAGACCGATACGGCGACCCATAGGGCGCAGTTGGCCCCACAGATCACCACACGGGCCAATGCGCCGCTTATCTGGCTCACAAGAGTTATCACGATTGAGAAAGTCGATTACTAGGGCCTGCGTCGCTTCCTGGACTCGATAAAACCTCGCCCAGCCGAGCACGAGCAACCGAACGGACCATAAGAGTCGGGAGAATTCAAAGTTTTGAACGCATGGGTGACTCGAAATATGTCCGCTTCGAGGGCAACATTCGGGACGCCCAGACCCCCCACCGCAGCCGAGAAATGAAAAAAACGGCTGACAGGTACGGACTGGTAATCGAAAAACGGTCCGCATTAGACAGCGAATGCTTGCGTCCAGCCGCTCGAGGTCGCGCCGACGAGAATACCGTATCCGTAATTGGAAGAAGAGCTTAGGTAGAACAAACCTCTGCAGCGCCAACAGTTTTTGAAACGGAGTGAGCTCAGAAGCAAAGAGCTTCCGAATGTAAATTAAAATTTGGTTTAAAAAGTCACTCCGTCCGACGATCCGGTATCCCATATTCTTGCCAAGGTACCTCCAGAAGTCATCTCGACCGAGAACAGCAACATCACCACCATTGAGATGAAAATGCTCACTGTCCGCGACCATCGTGCCCCCCGACCCCCAATGCAAGAACACGACATTTGGATGGTTTGAATTGCATACCGGACCATCGCGTAAACTCTTCACATATTGAGAGTTGCGCCTCTAACTGATGCCGCGGCGACGCACACAGAGCAGAATCGTCTGCGTAGCCCTGACCGTTGACGGTCACATCCGGCGCACATCGTAACTGGTAACCGACGCCCGACAAACCCCCGACGCCCCGGAGAAGAACTTCCATGACCATATTGAAAATGATTGCCGATAGAGGGCATCCTTGACGGACTCCTCTACCAGATAGAATAGGGGACGTGTTACCATCCATAGTTTGAATGGTGAACACGTTATCCCTGTAAACGTCAGCAATCGTTTCCAACATGTACCCCGGTGCACCAAAATGTCGCAGGACTTCGAGAATGGCACCATGCCTTACCGACCCGAAAGCATTACGGATGTCAAGCCACGCTACATGAAGATTACGCTTATGTTTCTTGGCATCCGCAATGACCGAATCAAGCAAGAAAACATGCTCGAAGACGCCTTCGGAAGGAACTTTCCCCCTAGCTGCCCAAGACTGAAGACGACGTGCAATCACGGTTGCATAGATTTTATACAGCGTGCGGCAGATTGCGATGGGTCTCCAGTTCCCGACGTCATTCATATTGCCCTTCAGATCCTTAGGAATAAGGATTATCCTAGAGGAACGCCATGAACTTAAAATACGCCGGGAACTCCTGCAGATTTCGAAGAGCTTGGAGAGAATTTCACCCCGTTGGTCATGGCTCTTCCAAAATCCATGGGAGAGCCCATCTGGTCCCGGGGAAGTGCCAGTTTTTAAATCCCGCAAGACCGAAAGAACTTCCGCCCCACTGACAGCCACGTCCTCCTCTACCACCACGTTATCGTGGCATCGTCCAGTCACCATCCACGTGCGGAGCCGAATCAGTGCGATATTTCTCCTCCAGTATTGAGGATGAATTAGAGCACCGCAGACCATCAAGGGAATG